TTCTGGCGCAGTTTTTGATGCCCTCAAAAATGATTTAACTCATTCCCCTTCAGATCTATTGGACCTCAAAGGCAAACAACAAATTTAGGCACATTTTTCGTTTTTAATATATACCGATTTTTCTAAAATTTTGATAGGAATGTGCTAGCGACTTTTTGAAGGGTGCAAAAAAACCGCAACTAGTACATTTATATATGAGTTATGAACAACAAAACACCCTAAAATGCTTCCCTTTAAGGTTATGGGAGAAAATGTGATTTTTCATCTGCAAAGCCAAAAAATCACATTTTCTCCCATAACTTCAAAGGGAAGCATTTTAGGGTGTTTTGTTGTTTATAACTTATATATAAATGTGCTAGTTGCGGTTATTTTGCACCCTTCAAAAAGTCGCTAGCACATTATTATCAAAATTTTAGAAAAATCGGTATATATTAAAAACGAACAAGAATTGCGCCCGTTGTTTCGTTTTGGCGGACGCTAGATTTCCATTTCACATTTACTATAAATTTAAGTATAAGCTCCAATCAGCTCACTTCAATCTTCATGATAATAATATTGATAAATTATGCATCAAATACGGGAAACACTTGAAATTCAGTTCAATTGCCGTAGAACTTAACTTGTATCTGTAATTCAAGAAATTATCAGCAAAGGTAAACTATACTCGTGTACACATCAATACACTACGCGTGCCACGTACAAATTGGGCGTATTACCTAATAGTAATATTATACATTACATGCATCATATACATTATAACACAGTCGCGCCGCGCATTCATAGATCACAGGCTATCTCACAGTGGAAAATGTTGGGATTTTAATTTCGCAGAAAACGATATAAAAATAATCGTACGATTATCGAAGATAATCGTCGCGCGCGCGTTAAACGCACGATAATCGTCTAATCTGACGATAATCGTCATATTTGGCGAATAACGCTATTTCGCGACGTTTATTAGGCGATAATGAGCGATATCACGATAATCACACAATAAATCATGGAAATAAAATGTATTTGTTATTTCATGTAACGAAGGAAGTATTTCGGTTATGCTTTAATATGGAAATCAGAAATCGGATTCATATTTACAGTCTACTGGTAATGTTCCGCAAGCTTCGTAATCGTAGTGAACGCAAAACGAATGAAATTGAAAATGTCATGTTTCACAATGAAATTTGATACTTTAATTTATTGTTATTGATAAGATTAGTTACATATATGATATAAGACAGCGGTAGTAAATATGAAATATTTATCATCTATCTAAGTTTGGCACGCAGTGCGCGGGCCGGTATCTTTTGTATAATGTATAATATGTAGTTTCCTAGTGTAATGTTTAACCCGAGAAGTAATTGCCACAGTGAAAAATTAGATTTTATAAAATTATATTATTTATTTTAACTATTGTGTTTAGTGAACAAATTTTAGCTATCATTGAAAACATTTGTCAAATTGAATTTAAATTAATGTCTAAGCGGCGCGCCAGCGCGTTATTCTGAGCCGCGCACCAAAACAGATTTTAATGGACTTAGAATTCATAATACGAATCGAGCGCCTGTAATGTCGTTCGAGACAGATACGCTCTCCTTGGTAACGAGCCAAGTCTATTGTTTACATTTTGTACGTGATAAATCTGATCGGGCCTTGTGATAGGAATTTAGTAGTCGGCAGTCAGAACTTTAATGACGATTATTTAGATACATGAAATTGTGTAATTTGCAATCATAACTGTTAACAGTTATGACTTTTGAACCACCAATTTTGACTTTTGAACCACGCAACTAAATTACTCTTGGTAATCAGTAAAAGTAATAACACATTCACAATAGAACTCAAATGGATAATTCGAGACTGGTAATGTTCGCCGGGCTTACTGAGACGAATCAGCTGAAGCCCCTGGGCTCAAATGAGCTCAGGGGGAAATGCTGGCAGTGAGTTATCTTACCTCAATTATGAATATTCAAACATAGCATCAAAAAATTTCATTTTGAACAACACTTAAATAAAAAGATTTTATCCGTTGAGAAACTAATAATCACCAATTCAATCCGATTTTATTGAATCACAATTTCAGACACTTTCGAGCACGGTACCCCGGGCTGAAGGAGACAGCGATCAGGCAGGCCATCGCCAAGTTCTGCTATATCGAGGGTAAGAAATTACATAATGAGTTTGGCTCTAACACACTTGATTAATTTTGTAGTTCAAATTAATGTATGGTAATCTACCAAGTCAATACGTTACATTTGAGCTTGATTCGGTGACTTGAGGAACTGCCCATAAGACAAAATATTGCAGAGAGTGCTGTTACCCCAGCACAATGCCGGGAGGTGCGGCTGCGGATGAAAAAATACGCAGCCGACGAGAAACACCGGCTGAAGAGAAGAAAGCTGGATCAGGAGCCGCAGCAGAGCACCAGCTCAGGGACCCAAACGGATCCCATACACGCTCTGTCTTGTAAGGTAGGGTCTCGTTTCTCAATTACCACCACATATTTGGTATTATACTTATTCTAACTGCCACGTATTTTCCTCATAATTGTGATGACTACATCCACCAACTTCTAATTAGGATTGCGAGACCGCCTCAATGAGGCACCAAGTAGAGTTGCATCAGGCTAAGCTGGCGGAAATGAGGACCGAGCTGCTGCTGCGGGAGTGCAGCTCACCAGTTCAGTCCCAAGTGGCTGAAAGGAGGGGAAGGAGGTAAGACTGATTGATAATATTTCTACATGTTCCAATATTATTTTCTCATCTCTTTTCATACTCATTGGGAAGAATTCACCCGACAGTTAAATCTTGATTTGTAACTTTATTTCAGTACGGCGGTGATATTTACACCACAGCGGGAGTTTGCTAGCTCTTCGGCCCTCCCGACTCACGAGGTCAGACCGTCACCGAGGTCGAAAGTCGCCTCACAAGCCTCGTACGCCTCAAGGTGAGAAGTCATTATAAGAAACTTTTTGCGTTTTGTTTCTAGATGTTTGAGCAAGTAAGAATGATGATTAACAAGAGCGCAATGCACACTTTCTGCTATCATTAACAACTGATTTTCACTTTCAGTGCGAGTGATTGTTTTGGACCAGAGTCCATTATTGAGAGCCGGGTGAGACAGGCGGCCCAGAAAAGGGCTTTCAATTTTCATGCTAGACAGTCACTATACAGTAGAATCTTAACAGCGACAATTTTCAGATCACATTCGCAACGAAGAGGAAAGAGTGACTAAGAAATGTGAAATAGCCACCAGGAAATATCTCCTTAAACTTAAATCACGGCAAAAGTCATGAGCGGACACTATTATGATATTTGAAACACATCTTTCGGAAAACGCTGCCTATTCATTATTCTACTAAAAAGTTTTCGTAAGCAGCGACTGCAACAAGATTCGCGCACGCGCGTTTTTATCGCCGCGCGAAGCTTTTAAAATTTTGATTAAGTGTCAAGAGTGTGCGATTAACACAATGCTAGACCTGTACGAAACCTTATTGAAGCTCTTAAAACCGATTAACGTGCAGTTGTCAAGCATAATTCCGAGTTTTCCGGTCAAAAATGGATTCAAAACGACTGAATAGTGAAAATAGTTTCAATGAAACTCGTTTATTCAGCAAACATGGAGAATAACGCTCCTTACAGCTCGATGCATTGTTTTAAGTGACTTTCAGGTATTTGAAACTGAAATGCAAGCAAGTCAGCTTAATTCTGACCCATTGATGAGGCATCAAATATTAAATAATGGTAAAGAGACCGGTTCCTCCCAAAACCTAGTTTTAGAACCTACTTAGATGTCAGACTTGGGTGAAACATGTAGCTGTTAAGATATATCAACTTATTTGATATGTGCACGCATTCTACATGAGTTACTGATCATACTCAAATCACAACCACCATGCTAATAATATATTAATAAGCAAATATCATACTTGGAGTTTTATCCTCGATGGGCGAGCAATAATTGGACGTTTCTCGTCATTCTGACGTTTATCGTACGATAGAGAGGCGAGAAAAGATTATCGTGCGAATATCGACGATAATCGTCGGGATGTATAATAATTGCGCGCAGCAGACGATTATCGTCGATTATCGTCAAACTGCACGATTAACGTACGATTATTGTGCGCGACTAAAATCTGCGAAATGGCCCATATTTTCCACTGTGATCTATATGTATCACATCTCTGCAAGCAATCCTCGCGCGCGCGCAACTTTTTCGTTGCATGGTAACTAACGAAAGGACTGATGACATATTTAAACCCACCTATCTCGTTCTCCAAAATCCACGTTTTTCTGCAAAAACCTCCATTCGTAACCTTTCACTATTGCCTTTTTTCAAAAGGGTGAAAAGGAAAAAATGTGCCTAAATTCGTTGTTTGCCTTTGAGGTCCAATAGATCTGAAGGGAAATGAGTAAAAACATTTTTGAGGGCACCAAAAACTGCGCCAGAATTCAGAGAACAATTTGATGTCAAGCATCAAATCAATCCGATCTTCCCTGACTGACTTTTTGTTAAAATAAGCCTGAAAAGGACAATTTTAGCTTTTTGACTTTAAAAATTCATAACACACCAGCCTTTTTAGATACGATATCAAGATTTTACACACACATTGAAATAGATGTGAATAAACGGCGAGCAAAATTTCAACCCGATACCGCAAGAAATGATTAACTTATAGCGTCTCAACCACAAAATAATTTTTTCCGAAAATTGCACCCTTAACCAGGAAATGCTCGATTACAAAAATGGGAATTCTCAAAATAATTTTTTTTGGTGTGGAAACGGTGCGCTGGAAACGGTGTCACTGAACTGCCTATGAGGTCATTTGGTCTGGATAGATTTGGGGTTTGCCCCCTTAAGTATAGTAGTGAGCTTAACTATCCCCACATTCCCACATTCCCAGATTCCCATATTCCCCACATTCCCACATTCCCACATTCCCAGATTCCCCACATTCCCTACACTTTTGTCCCTGTACAGTGTACTGGACCTCCAAAATACCATACCTTGTTATCAGTGAGGAGATCAGGACTGGAGCTGGAGAGAGTTGCGTTAGATAGCAGGTTATCAGGTACACAAGTGTCCGTGTGTGTCGTGCCGTCTCCGTTAGGCTCCTCTGTACCTGTGATAGAGCTGGGGTCAAACTTCTCACTGGTAGCTGTTTTATCATTTTGTAAATATCTAGAGTTAAGACACGTGTTTGGTTTAAAGCTATGGTAATTTGGTAAGTATGAAAGAAAGCTGATACAATAACGTTTCAATGACTAAGGTTTATGGTTATTTTTCATAGGACTTGGTTTTCCGCCCAAGTTTGTTGGTGACCGTAAATGCTACAATTTATTATTATTATATTATATTATATAAATAATCTATAATTTGGCTCATTATCAAAATTTCAGTAATTGTCTAAATTATATAAGTCTTATTTGGTGTTCGTGAAATTTTTATCGTATAAAAAAATATCCACCACAACCGAAGATACAGCCGATTAAAATGTAAAACACTTTGGACACATATCATTTCTTTATTACATAATCATAAATTTAAAACATAAATAGATCAAATATTAAATAGAATATTCAGCACGCAATTAAAAAAAGAAGATATACGGCACACTGTAGTACTAACAATGTTTAGTATGTTTGGGACATGTATTGATACTGTTGCGGCTACAGTGATTTTAAAGAACTTATTTAAGTATTACTGAATAATTAGATATCATCGTTATTGCTATTGCTACTTTCGAGTTATATAATAAATGGTCGTCAAATTTTCACTTTTTAATTAGGCTTGATCTGTGATCCTATCTATATTTCACATTTAATACAACAGAATTATCCTACTAGTAGTATATTATCATAATTAACGTTCATCGTATTATGTGATATGTAATTTTTCATGGTACATCATTTTTCGCACTAATTTAAATTACACGGGACAATTAATTGCATAAACCATTAAATTTAATCACCTTATCATTACTCCGCATAAATGTGTATCAGTACACTTTATTATTTCCGTAAATTTAATTTGTATGCGTTTATTTTGTCTCCATGGCACTTTCCATTATTTACATGCGGGGGTACGTGATTTGATTGGTTTGTTTGGTTAACGGTGTGAAGAGTTGCACAAGAGGTGAAACTCAGCACTAACGCCTTAAAATTGTATTAGTTATTATTATTAACAAAGATGTCGTGGTGAGCATGGCGGAACACTCCTGCTGACTCAATTACGGTCTAAGAAAAACTTTAACTGTTATTAAAATTATATCATGATTAGTAACAGTCTACACCTGTCATTTTCATGACAGATAATTGTACCCACTGGAAAGGTAGAAGTTCGTGTTCGATACACAAAACAATCAACACTGTGTTGCGTCTGCTTGGTACGTTGTATCAGTCAAAACTAACTCGAAAATATATAACTCATATATTTAGTAGTGACAACAACCTGAATCATTGCCTTAATAAACAGAAACTTGAAATCCTTAATGTTTTTTAATTCACTTTCCTGTCTTTAATAATATTTTATTTTCCCACTTTCACTTTTTATGTGCAGTTTCAAAATTTTGTAGTATTTTAATTTACTTTTTAAATTGCAACCGTTATCATTTAAAAATCGATTTGACCGTATATTGGTTATGATGCTGAACTAGTCCACCATGTCAACATCATTTGACAAGGACAATTTTGAGGTCATTTAATTTCTAAATGTAGACCGGTGCCACAAAGAGAAAAAATTATAAATCGAATAAGGTTCTTTTTAATATGACGGGCTCCAATTACTATATAGTAGCCACACCATCGCCTGAAATCACATCTTCATCCAGAACCCAGAATACTCTCACTTCGAGATTACATACCTGAGCATGCCATATTTCCATCGCGTTACATAATACTCGATAAAATATGTAATAGATTTGTAGTGTTGTAATTAGTCTGAAACTAATTACAACACTATTAATATATACGATAATAATACGAGTGGCATCTAATATTCTATAGAAAGGATATTACAAAGTGGTCCAGCTATTTACGTTATATATAAGCAAGCCACCTTCAATCTGTTACATAATAAGGAGCTTTTGGTGGTATTTTTTATTCATAGTGCATTATTCAAGTGCTTTGAAGTGAAAGTGCTTTGAAGTGCTATAAAGTGCCTTAAAGTGCCCTAAGTGCTTTTTAAAATTGGCTCTTCAAGATTCTTGTTCAATAAACATTATTGCTTTATTACTTTTATTTATTTATTAGTGAGCCAGGTTGCGTTGTAACGATATTTATAAGACTTGTGACTTAAGGACAGTTGCTGAACAATACAAACCAGTCTCGTGACACCTGGTTTAACACAACTCTGTCCTCTTTTGATCGAGTTTATTTCTTAAAAAGTTAAAAATAGGTTATTTTAAGGCTATGATGCTCATAAGTCCAGTAAACAGCTGTATTTTTCCATAATCCATATAATATTCTAAACATATATTTTCTAAAACCTCTAATTTTTAATCGATTTTATTTCTTGAATTACAGATACGGCAATTGAATTGGATTTCAAGTGTTTCCCGTATTTAAAGCATAATTTATATCAATATTATTATTGTGAAGTGAGCCGATTAGAGCTTATACTTATAGTCATAGTGAATGGAAATCTAGCGTCCGCCAAAACGAAACAACGGGCACAATTCTTGTTAAGGCTATGATGCTTATTAGTCCAGTAAACAGCTGTATTTTTCCATAATCCATATATTTATATATTCTAAACATATATTTTCTAAAACCTCTATTCCATGTGATTACATTTAAAGCACCTGGGCAATGATCTGTAGAAACATGATTTAATTAGGATACTTATCCGGGAAAGTAATAACCAGATGCTGAATATTAAGTTTAATAATATTAATAGGATTCGTAGTATCATCTGCCACGGTAAATTATTGTTGCCAGAATTGTTGCAAAGTTTTCAACATTGTTCCTGAATAAGAGCTTTTCCTTCTATAATTAGCTGTAATTCTGTCAATATTAAAGAAATACCAAGTACTTGTGATATGTCTACGAAGAAGAAGATATGTCAAGAAAGGTGACAATAAAAGGAGTACCTGATAAACTAAGGACTTACCCGATCAAGTTCCTGTTAAGAAGCCTTTCTAATTATTTTTCGCACAGAACTTCTTAATTGCCGCACTACAGTTTCCCCGAGTGATGACATGGACGACGGGAGGTCCACAGTTTTAACAAGCCGTTATGTCTTGACAAATGATGGAGAGTTTTCTTTTTAGAGGTCTTACCTATCATATATCAAAATTTTTAAATACAATGTCAATACGACTAACACATAATAGTATCTGTTGACATCTCATTATTGTTGATATCATTATTGTTGATATCTCATTGGCAATTGTTCAGTGCAAGTTTTATAGTCTAATGGAATAGTTCATACTTACCCAGTAGTTCACTTGTTACAAACTTTTGTGCTCAATCAACCACTAAAATTGATGTAAACTGACTAAAGACTGTGCTATAGATTTCTTTAAGATCCTTTAGAGATTTCCTCAGCTGGTGCCTGGCATCCGACAAAATTTTCATCTTTACACTTTTTGGTCGCAAAATGTGACAATACCACATCTACATTATAACAGATTATTAGCCCAGTTGTTTTGTGTTCATAAACAAATAATGTTTTGTGTTCATAAATAATAAAAGCGAATATTGGTATTCAAACGTTAATCCGCAAATTTTTAAGGTATGGGTCCAGAATTCTCCCGCCCAGCTGATATGCTGATAGGAGTGCTTCTCAGCGTCTGTATGGTGCTAGGAATACTCGGCAACATGGTCTCTCTATACTACTTCACCACCACCCCTACTAAGAACAAGAACGCCACCTTCTTCAAGCACGTCTACGCTGTTATCAGCTTTTTCAACCTCCTTCTCTGCATCTCTCTGTTTCCGGTTATCGACTCTGCTTTTGCTAACGGTAAGCTATTTCCAAGTTTTTCTAGACAAAGCTGATTCAATTATAAGTCCCTTACTTCATGTTTTGCAATATGACCGAACAGCATTTTTATCTAATGATTTATCCCGCCCAAGGACGGATAAGCGCAGTACTGACTTCAAGCAGTGCCTTCTGTGGTATCTGGACGGTAGTTTACGCAGTCCTTCTGGACATGTCCGTCTTCATGGTAGCTATGATCAGCGTCTCACGGATCGTCCTCCTGATCGCCCCAACTACAAATTTTAACGTTAAATTAAGCTGGCTGATCCCTCTCTTCTACAGCATCCTCACCCTCACCCTCAAAGTCATCTACAATATCCTGAAAGTCAGCACAAACTCCTTCATCCCTCCCCTAATGGCGTGTGTCTTCATAGCTTCTGATGGGACAGTGAGTGAAGGAGGGGAGCCTACAGTCCATCTCCCCAACGAACTAATACTGACGATAACAGACACAATACAAACTGGGTTCACTGTTCTGCCCATATCTCTCTGTTCAGCTCTCAGTCTGTGGCTGTTGAGGAGGAGCAAGAAGATGACCAAACAGATTGGGGGTTGCAAGAAAGCACAGGACGAGGCTTCCAAAACTGTCATCATCTTCACAGTCATGTACGTGGTTTGCAACATTCCTATCTTCATATACCATATCTACTTCTGGGTGTGGAACCTGTCTATAGATCGGAGCAGTGTCTATGTGACTCAGTCTCAGTTCATGATATCCTACCTGGAGATGTACTCCACGGTGTTTATGAACAGCTACAGTTCAGTGTTGGTCAGCCGAGTCTTCCCGGCCATCAACAGCACATTAAACCCTCTTATCTACTATTGGAGGATGAAGAAGTTTAGAGGTTTTTTAAAGAAAACAATGAGTAAAGCTGTCGGGAATGCGAATAGTGCAGCAGGTGTGACTCAAAGTGAGAACCTGGAACTCTAAGTGAGAACTCTAATTGAAAGTGCTGCGTCCAATGTTGGATTAGTGAACAAGAAAGGACTTTGTAGAGAACAGTTTGACTATAGTTTTTTCTGTGATAGATTTTTGTAAATGCAATTTTAAAAGAAAAATCATGATGATGTATTCATCTTCTAATATTTTAAGATTAATTTGATGACAGATGTAATAGTCGTTCTTAAATCCTTTAGGCAAGCTCTCGTAATAATATTCTCCGTTCATTACAATACGATATGTTAAATCGTGCTCGAATTGACAAACTTTTACCCAACAAATTGTCAGATTATGCCATATATAAGTTTTTAAAGGCACAGCTCGAACAATCTACCATTAGCACCTTCAACCCCTCCACACCAATCAACAGAGCGCTCCAAACTGAGAGGGCCGGGGTACACCATCACTAGGTCTAGGGTGCTATTTTTAGACTGAGCAGCTACACATCGCCACGTGCCGGGAACAGAATACAACCACCAGTAATTGAAAATGACCAGCAATAGCATGATCGAGAGGAGTAAAGCTGTTTAATTTCCAACTCTCTCTCTCTCTCCCTCCCTGACAAACTGGTCCGTTACTGAATCTATTGCTCTATTATGAGGGACTACAAACGTTTAGTGATGCTATATATCCTATCAAATCAACTCGAGGGCTAGAATGTGTACAGTTATTACTTACAATAGTCCGTTGCATTGCTGCGCAGAGTAGGTATTTCATGATTACTTTGAGTTAAACATGATACGTTGCTTTCTTTAGGCATAACCACAAGTTCTCCCGAAGTGTAGTATTGTATTAGATATAATGTGATAAAACTTAGCTTAGCGTCCACTTCCCTTATCTTAGTATCCACTCCCCTTATCTTAGTATCCACTTCCCTTATCTTAGCGTCCACTTCCCTTATCTTAGCGTCCACTTCCCTTATCTTAGTGTCCACTTCCCTTATCTTAGCGTCCACTTCCCTTATCTTAGCGTCCACTTCCCTTATCTTAGTGTCCACTTCCCTTATCTTAGCGTCGACTTCCCTTATCTTAGCGTCCACTTGCCTTATCTTAGCGTCCACTTCCATTATCTTAGTGTCGACTTCCCATATCTTAGCGTCCACTTGCCTTATCTTAGTGTCCACTTCCCTCATCTTAGCGTCCACTTCCCTTATCTTAGCGTCCACTTCCCTTATCTTAGCGTCCACTTCCCTTATCTTAGCGTCCACTTGCCTTATCTTAGCGTCCACTTCCTTTATCTTAGTGTCGACTTCCCATATCTTAGCGTCCACTTGCCTTATCTTAGTGTCGACTTCCCTTATCTTAGCGTCCACTTGCCTTATCTTAGCGTCCACTTCCCTTATCTTAGTGTCCACTTCCCTTATCTTAGCGTCCACTTCCCTTATCTTAGTGTCCACTTCCCTTATCTTAGCGTCCACTTGCCTTATCTTAGCGTCCACTTCCCTTATCTTAGCGTCCACTTCCTTTATCTTAGTGTCGACTTCCCTTATCTTAGTGTCGACTTCCCTTATCTTAGCGTCCACTTGCCTTATCTTAGCGTCCACTTCCTTTATCTTAGTGTCGACTTGCCTTATCTTAGTGTCCACTTCCCTTATCTTAGCGTCCACTTCCCTTATCTTAGTATCCACTTCCCTTATCTTAGCGTCCACTTCCTTTATCTTAGTGTCGACTTCCCTTATCTTAGCGTCCACTTGCCTTATCTTAGCGTCCACTTCCTTTATCTTAGTGTCGACTTCCCTTATCTTAGCGTCCACTTCCCTTATCTTAGTGTCGACTTCCCTTATCTTAGCGTCCACTTCCATTATCTTAGCGTCTTCCCCTATCTTCCCAAAACCAGAGTAAACTCAGTAACCAAAACTCAGACAACCAAAAGTTCGGTTCATTTGTTAACTGGGCAATTTAAATTTTAAATTAGTTACGTCATAAGCGCAAGCCTCAGTCGATGAAGCAATCAGGTACATGGGTCATTGATTTCTGTGTAATGAGCGTAAAATCTCCGAAATGTTTATCACTATGCGCGATACCTACCACTTTGCCTAACTGGTTTTGTGGTTTCCACCACCGTTAATACGCGTCATTCGTCAATGATGCAGCAGAAATTGACTGAACCAGTGCAAGTGAGCCACCCTCGTCCCTCATTCCCCCATTCTGTTGGCCATTTTAGTTGCCAACACGTGTTGTCTACCATGCTACCAGTTACCTGTAGCTGTCCGTCATTCCTTGTCATATTCGGACCTAGCTCACATCTTTAATTTGCATTTTGCAGGCTAACATCTATTTCCTAAAAATTCCCGCTGGCCAACCACCACCAGAATATAGGTTATGCACTGTAACTCAGACAAGCGGGTATGCACTTTGCAGGTCTAAACTAGAGTGATCAGTTCGTACCGTATAGCTGAGGTCTAACGCGTGTCCGCTTGTCGCCTGTCCAGACATAGCAACCTAAATCAAAACCTTCAACCCTATCTAGGTATTTCAGTGCGTCTTTCGTCGGTTTCGTATGTCGATACAATTGTCAGGAGTGTTTAATTATGTCCTCAAAAGATGAGAAGTTGACGGACTTACACCGACATTCCCTAAACGGAGGTGGAACAGTTGATCTACTGCGCGGAAACGGGACGGATTTAACACCAAAAGCCGCGGTTTGTAATTTGTTCGAGAAAAGGCCAGGGTGGGGATATTTTGTGACATTTTTGACTTTGTCACTCCGGCCGGGAGATTATATATAAAGTTTACAGATTAACTATCAAAGATTCTATAAACTAAATCTTTGATGCAATTATGATCGTTTAAGTATCAATAAATACTAACGGCCCCATTTTCTCAGAACGACAATTAAACATTTCGTTTTCGGATCATACTGCTTGCAAGTAGTTAAGTGTAATGAAAACTGAAATTAAAAACTGGTCTAGAAAGGCGGTCAGTATAAACGCAATTACCTATTTTACCAGTGAATTGACAGCTCGAGCTAATATCCAGCTGAATAGCTAGATCTGCTGTACCGATTAAGTATAAATCTAGATTTGGTATACGATCCAACGGTAGGTTGGTCTGCACTGAGTCTCCCAGCTTCTTGTCCAACTAACCGTACAGCGAGTGTCCACTAGGTTAGGCAGAAGGCACATAACCAACACTACACAGCGCTGAAGACACTACATTAACCACATCACGTCACTAATACTACTGCTGACTTCTTGACATATTTTCAATACAGCCGAGTAGTTGATAGTTAAACACTCAAGAGTGCCCTCCAAAATTTCTCGCTCGGGTTACATTTCAAGTACTGCCGTCATCACATAATTGGTCTGTGTGAATAATGACGTCACCAAACCAATCTTCTACTTGGTTTCAGTCGTTCTGCTTTGGTGGTCTGACTTTAGTTTTTTTGCACACAGAACTTGCTCGTCCAGTAGAACGTTGTAACACTATTCAATAAGTTTCTCCCTCACTTGTTAATGCTGGATATTGCTCTTGGACTTCTGCCAATATCTTGCCTTTAACACAGTTCACTGTAACTCCAGTAGGAGCTGCCACGAAACGTCACGACCAGAATCCTGCTGCGGAGGATGTGCTCCAAAGAGTTGTCAGGAGCCAGATCTGATAAGTATTTGTACGAGGAAACTCCCTCAAAACACGAGGACTCTGGCGAAATTATCGGGGAGATTTTCAGGGTGAGTTCGGTCGATCAAACCAGTATTTTGTGATAATACTTTTTTCCAACATTTATTTAAACTTCGCCCTTGTGTTTGTCGTTTCAGAAAATTGTGTTCTTTATTAGGCAATAGAACACAGCAGTATATGATATGCAGCCTTGATTCGGATTGACAAAGCCAGGATAGATATAAATCTCCAGTATTCAATATAATATAGGATATTTTACAAAAGCTCTTTAAATAACTCACCTAATAACGCGTACTGCGGACTCAATGCACGACCATCTTCATCGGGATCTTGCTCCTGTAAAAAGAGGTCTCTTTCAACAATAGTAATCCTACCAACAATACGGGAAGCCAGGTGTATTCTCAGTTTTCCTTTTTTATATTTCTCGATAAAAAATTGAGATTTGCGATTTAATTCAAATAATCTGTAGTCAGTAGCGCTAACAGCTAGGATTCAGTAAAGTCAGCTGAATTTAGTGTCTGAGAGTTTTACCATGGGTGCCATCTTTACAGACGCTAATTTAATCAAACAAGAGTAAATCTGAAAGCATTTACCGTGTCAATATATGCAGCACCGTCACTACCACCACGCTTCTTGCGGTTTATATTCTGGAATATCTTGGAGAGGGGCCGCATTGCTCCGTCCCTTTTTGCTCGACCTTTCAGGGACGAGTGATGTGTGGTGATCGTGGCGGGGTCGTAGCTGGAAGTGGAGGAAAACGTTAGTTTTTGTCATTTTGAAACGGTTTGTTTTTCAGATAGTATCGTATATATCAAACTGTCATTTATCCTATCTTAAATAATAATCTCAGAATGTGTGTCTGTGTGTTTGTCTGTCTTAGGTTAGCCTCGATATTCACTGTCATGTTATTGTAATACTATAAGCTTATTAGGGGAGGGGGCACTCATTGCGGTCTGTTGGACTGTAGAGAGATTTCATACTTTCATACGACAATGTTATGCGTGTTTTCAAATATAATAGGCGGGTTTATACTTTTGCATTTCAACTGCGGTAGTGAAGTCCCGGCCGTAGGCACGGGTTACACTAGTATTATAATAAACTGTCATTTATCCTAGTTCCTAGACACTATATTTATTCAAACTCTTCTAACAGTAAAACCAGTGCAGTCAGCACTGATAATTCTTGGCAACTTTCCTAATTCTCTAAACCCCCAGACCCAGCTTGTCTGGAGTGTGTCACTAGTAATTCTAAGCTGGCATCAAGCTGAACTTATATGGCCACGTGACATCAAGTCATTAATATAGTACAGACGCTTGTACACACTTATTGAGATAAAGTAGAGGTAGTATTCACACGAATCAAGCATTATTTTCTACTTACTTTCAGTTGCCTTCCATATTTTAATCTCATATTTGACTCTTGGAGTTGCTTAGGAGACAGAGTTGGAGCGGACGGTTTAAACAAAACGTTAATAGAACCTAGAAAGTGGTTATATGGTAGAGCCGCGGTTTGAGACATGGATAAATTTTATCGGAGACTGGTCCCGAGATCACGGAACGCGCTAGCATGCTCGGTAAGTAATGAGTCTCGCCAAAATATTTATAAAACTGCAAATCTATTTATTAGTTTTGTGATAATTTTAAGTTTCGTTATTACTTGTATGGCTATGAAATTTATTGTGTGTTGCAGCACCCACTTTATCTAATGTTAACGGGTTATGGGATTGATCGCATGTTACGTAAGCCAGATTTTGGCCATTTCAGATACCCCTTCGTACTTTTAAGATGGCTACGTAATTTGTGAACGATCCCTTATTATGAACATATTTTGTATAAGTCCGGTAGACATATTATTATTATAATTGACAATCTTTATTTTGGAATCAGATTGGTGAATCCAAAATGCCGACAGTTGTTAAATTGTGTATCCATTACAAAAAGTTTGAGACATTTTCCGTAAGAGATTGGGTCACTTTAAAAATCCTCAAACCTGATGGACGTGGCCTTATATGATCCAGCAGCAACACTTTGGTGCCTCTTTTTCAACCTCACTTTAACGTAGTCCCGGTTTTCTAGAAACAGTTTGTCGTCGTACTTTGCTCGTATCCACAACTCATTATCTGTCAAACTGATGGGGTGTTTGTCCTGGTTTAGATATCTTTCTTTCAATTAAATTAATAGTTTAACTCGGGGGGGGGGGGATCATGTTATTTTTTGTCCGTTTTTGTCCGTTTTTGTCCGTTAATTTTTGTCCGTTTTGAAAATATAGCTGCCAAACGGACAAAAACGGACAAAAACGGACAAAAACGGACAAAAATTGTAACTTTTGATTTAAATTTTCTCCACAATTTGTTACTCCAGTAGCAGGGAATAGTTGAGTGTGCACTTCGATGTACACGATTTCTGACAACACAGGGTTGTTTGTTAGATCATTCTTAACCAAAATCGTTTAGGTACGCAATTTGTGTCGCTAGACATAACCCTACAGGGCAAATTTTCTAAATTACCCTCAGTCGCGTATACGGGATTTTTGTATTTCAGCTCCTAAAGGTCATAGAGACTTGAATTTTAGCTTAAAATTACCGCAATGGCCACATTTATATACAAGTTATGAAGCAACATAAGGTCTCCAGTGCTTCGTTTTATAGATATTGACAAAAAACTGGTTTTTTTCTCAGCGAACCAAAAATGGCACTGAATTTTGATAACTTGGACTAGGAAAGTCGTAGAGACTTGAATTTTAGCTTAAAATGACCGCAAACATCATATTTATATACAACTTATAAAGCAATATAAGCCCTTTAATGCTTATTTGTTGAGATATTGACAAAAATCAGTCATTTTGGCTACACGTGTGAGGAAAAATACCAAATTGGGCAACTACTTTGGTATTTTGACACACCCCACAACACTTACCATCATCCTTGATTACACATCTTGATTCCACTGGCATCCTCCCACAGGACTGCCATACCCCAGGGGTAGGCAAAGCATTCTTATGCTATTCTCTCGTGGGCCAACCAGGCCCAGCCTCTCTAAAAAATAAATACAAATTTTTTTAAAAACTACTTTGGTCTTTTTTTGACAATTTTTGTGCTCAAGTTATTAAAATGTGCTTTGCAGTTGTAGATCGGATGTTTTCTTCCAATATGGGTTTCGGTATAGATCCGGAAGCACCCGGTTCATGGGTGATAGGGGTTAAAAACCCTGAAATGTCAGGCGATGGGCGAGACAATTGTCTGAATTTGGTTATAAAATCACTCTTTGCTAGGGTTTGCTTTTTTCCGCTACATCGATCCGCGTTCTAACTACTGATCATCCCCCTCTACATCATTGGTCATTCTCTTTTAGATACATGATTTCTATAAGTTCTTGAAGGTACATCCGGCATGATGTAAAATCTATATCAAAGCATTTTAATGTGGTCTTAACAAGTTGCAAGATATTCAAGTTCACTAATAAAACAGAGATTGTAGGATATCCTTCTTTTACATATTGAGTAATTGTGGGATTTTTGAGGGGGAGGCTATAAAATGGCCAAATATAATTTAAACGTAAACGACCCAATAATAATATTAAAAGTAGAATGAAACTACTTAAAACTTATACAGATTTATGGTATCCTGTTGCAAGACGCTTGCTCCTGATTTGTAGCAACAATATCGACTGACCCCACAACGTTGTAATATAATTGTGGGTAGGCAATCACTTGATCTATAAGTTTTGAACGGTAGTTTTTAAAAATAATTATTTCCAAGGTAATACTAACTTTCAAAGGTACATCTTAAGTTATCATCAAATTATTCGGGTTGACAGTTCTCTTTAGTGTTTACGTTCAGGTGGTTCATAAAGGTTTGGAGGCTGCAGTTGTAAATGACTCGAACTCCAAATTCTACTGTCTGGAGCTTGCAAGCCCATCCGTTGGCTTCTATCTCTTCTGTCAGCTGCTGATATCTCTTCATATTCTTTTCTCTTGATCAGCAAAGTTCTCCTCATTCAGATGCACCTTCTTCGCTTTATCTAAATAGATCACTACATCTGGTCTCAATAGTATTATCCTAATGTAATGTCTAACAATAACGTTTATAAGCGCTACAATTTCGAACTAGCGGACCATATTCGGAAGAGAAATTTGGGACAGTTTTTTGCTTGGAAATGCTGATTTAATCGAATTGTAACCACAAAAATGACTCCCAATAATAGTCTTATGGAAAGTGTGAATAAATATTAAATATTAAAAATAATACAGGTTTGACTATGAAGTTTCATCAATAATCACGTAAAGAATAATAGATAACCTACAATCTTTGTTTGGTAAACCAATTTGGTATATTTCCTCACATGTGTAGCCAAAATTACTCAATATGTAAAAGAAGGACATCCTACAATCTCTGTTTTATTAGTGAACTTAAATATCTTGCAACTTGTTAAGACCACATTAAAATGCTTTGATATAGACTTTACATCATGCCGGATGTACCTTCAAGAACTTATAGAAATCATGTATCTAAAAGAGAATGATCAATGATGTAGAGGGGGATGATCAGTAGTTAGAAAGCGGATCGATGTAGCGGAAAAAAGCAAACCCTAGCAAAGAGTGATTTTATAACCAAATTCAGACAATTGTCTCGCCCATCGCCTGACATTTCAGGGTTTTTAACCCCTATCACCCATGAACCGGGTGCTTCCGGATTTATACCGAAACCCATATTGGAAGAAAACATCCGATCTACAACTGCAAAGCACATTTTAATAACTTGAGCACAAAACTTGTCAAAAAAAAGACCGAAGTAGTTGCCCAATTTGGTATTTTTCCTCACACATGTAGCCAAAATGACTGATTTTTGTCAATATCTCAACAAATAAGCATTAAAGGGCTTATATTGCTTTATAAGTTGTATATAAATATGATGTTTGCGGTCATTTTAAGCTAAAATTCAAGTCTCTACGACCTTCCTAGTTCAAGTTATCAAAATTCAGTGCCATTTTTGGTTCGCTGAGATAAAAAACAGTTTTTTGTCAATATCTATAAAACGAAGCACTGGAGACCTTATGTTGCTTCATAACTTGTATATAAATGTGGCCATTGCGGTAATTTTAAGCTAAAATTGAAGTCTCTATGACCTTTAGGAGCTGAAATACAAAAATCCCGTATACGCGACTGAGGGTAATTTAGAAAATTTGCCCTGTAGGGTTATGTCTAGCGACACAAATTGCGTACCTAAACGATTTTGGTTAAGAATGATCTAACAAACAACCCTGTGTTGTCAGAAATCGTGTACATCGAAGTGCACACTCAACTATTCCCTGCTACTAGAGTAAACAGGCTATCTGCAGAAATGGGTAGCCCGGTTAATGACCATGGTCCTTTCTCAAACTTTTAATCTTCAATTAGGCACAAAGAATAGTCTACACATTTTTTAATAACATAAAAAGGGATGAAATGTTTTATTACTGGAGAGTAAAACTTTGTTAAACACAAAGATTCTTGAGCACATTTTGAGTCAGACTCAAATGCGCTTAAAAACATTTTAGTATATAACAATAAATTATGTTAACAATAACACCAACAATAATTATAAATTGAACAAATTATTGAGAGATGAAAGAGAGGAAAAGGAGGAGGGGGGACTGAGGAGGGGGACTGAGGAGGGAGAGGAGGGGGGCTGAGGAGGAGTGAGACTGAGAAGGAGAACTGAGGAGGAGGAATGAATAGGAGGAGGAGAAGAAGGACTCAAGAGGAGGAGGACCCAAGAGAAGGAGGACCCAGGAAAAGGCCCCATGAGGAGGACTGGGGAGGAGGAGGACCGATGAGGACCGATGAGGACTGATGAGGACTGATAAAGAGGACTAAGGACGAGGAGGAGGAGGAGGAGGAGAAGGACTGAGGAGTGAGGAGGAGGACTGATGAGGAGAAGGAGGTGTATGAGGAGGATGAGGAGGAGAAAGGAGATAAAGGATGAGGATAAGGAGGACTGAGGAGGAGGACTGGTGAAGAGGACTGATGAGGAGGAGGACTGAGAAGGGGAGGACTTAGGAGGACTGAGGAGGGGAGGACTTAGGAGGAAGAGGAGGATTGAGCAGGAGGAGGACTGAGGAGTAGAAGGAGGAAGAAGACTGAGGAGGATCAGGAGGACCCAGGAGGAGGAACCAGGAAGAAGAGGAGGAGGAGGACTGAGAAGGAGGACTGAGAAGGAGAAGGAGGACTGATGAGGAGGATGAGGATGAGGAGGAGGGTGAGGGTGACTGGGGAAAGGATTGAGGAGGAGGAAGACTGAGGAGGAGGAAGAGGAGAAGGACTGAGATGAGGAGGAGAAGGACTGAGGAGAAGGAAGAGGAGGAGGACTGAGGAGGAGGACCCAGGAGGAGGAGGACACAGGAAAAGGCCCCAGGAGGAGGAAGATGACTTGGGAGGAGGAGGACTGATGAGGACTGATGAGGAGGAGAAGTAAGTGGATGAAGAGGATGAGAAGGACTGAGGAGGAGGACTGGTGAGCAGAAGGAGGAGGACCCAGGAGGAGAAGGAGGAGGAGGAGGATAACTGAGGAGGAGGAGAAGGACTGAGGAGGAGGAGAGGGATCCAGGAGGAGAACCCAGGAGGAGGAGGAGGAGGACTGAGGAGGAGGACTAAGGAGAAGGAGGACTGATGAGGAGGATGAGGAGGAGGGTGACTGGGGAAAGGACTGAGAAGGACTGAGGAGGAGAATGCGGACTGAGGAGGAGGAACCAGGAAAAGGAGGAGGAGGACTGAAGAGGAGGACTGAGAAGGCGAAGGAGGACTGATGAGGAGGATGAGGATGAGGAGGAGGGTGACTGAGGAGGAGGAGGAGGACTGAGGAGGAGGAGGACTGAGGAGGAGGAGGAGGAGGAGGAGGAGTGAATAGGAGGAGGAGGGGGACTGGGCAGGACTGAGGAGGAGGACTGAGGAAAAGGATGAGGAGGAGGACTGAGAAGGAGGACTGAGCTGAGGAGGAGAACTGAGGACTGAAGAGGAAGAGGAGGAGGATGAAGAGGAGGTGGACCCAAGAGGAGGAGGTCTCAGGAGGAGGACCCAGGAGGAGGACTCAGGAGGAGGAGGAGGATGACTGAGGAAGACTGAGGAGGAGGAGGAAGCATCTAAATATTATTTCCATTTTTGTTATTTTTTGTCCGTTTTTGTCCGCTCTATTTTTTGTCCGTTTTGATAATATAGGGTTCCGAACGGAAAAAACGGATAAAAAACAGGATCCCCCCTGGAGGAGGAGGAGGAGAAGGATGACTGAGGAGGAGGACTGAGGAGGACTGAGAAGGAGGAGGACTGAGGAGTACTGAGGAGGATCGCTGAAGAGGATCGCTGAAGAGGATGGCTGAGGAGGATGACTGAGGAGGATGACTGAGAGGGATGAGGAGGAGGACTGAGAAGGAGGAGGAGAAAGAGGACCCAGGAGGAGGACTCAGGAGAAAGAGGAGGAGGAGGACTCAGAAGGAGGAATGAGAAGGAGGAGAACTGAGGAGGAGGAGGAGGAGGACTGAATAGGAGGAGGAGGGGGACTGGGGGAGGACTGAGGAGGAGGAGTACTGACGAAAAGGATGAGGAGGAGGACTGAGGAGAAGGACTGAGGACTGAGGAGGAAGAGGAGGAGGATGAAGAGGAGGAGGAGGACCCAGGAGGAGGAGGACTGAGGAGGATGATGAGGACTGCAGAGGAGGAGGACTGAGGAGGACTGAGGAGGATGGCTGAGGAGGATGGCTGAGGAGGAGGAGGAGGAGAAGGTGGAAGAGGAGGAGGAGGAGGAGGAGGAGGAGGAGGAGGAGGAGGAGGAGGAGGAGGAGGAGGAGGAGGAGGAGGAGGAGGAGGAGGAGGAGGAGGAGGAGGAGGAGGAGGAGGAGGAGGAGGAGGAGGAAGCATCTAAATGTTATTTCAATTTTTGTTATTTTTTGTCCGTTTTTGTCCGTTTTTGTCCGTTTTTGTCCGCTTTATTTTTTGTCCGTTTTGAAAATATAGCTGCCAAACGGACAAAAACGGACAAAAAAACATGAGCCCCCCCCTTAACTCTTAACACTTTTACCTCCTAGCCTTAAGAAGTAAAATTCACCAAATATTTATGATTAACAAAAGTTAAAACCTTATGATAAAGGTAAAACTAAAAGATTGTACTTACGAAAGGGGCTAAAGTGTCACTTACTTGGAAGATACGCCGGGTTTTCTGTAGGGTTCAACTATTGAATGCTCGTAGATCGCATTGACCTTTGAGTTTCCGAGTCGTAACATCAGCTGAAAGACAATCTTTTGTCACTGGGTATGAAACTACAGCCATATTTTAACCAATGAACTTGAAACTTTGGGAAAAGTTTTCAATTATCAAGCCAAATGTGTGCAAAAAATTTTGAGTTCTTAGCTTAAAGCGTTCTCATTTTATAAAGACAATAGTGAAAAAGAGGGAGTGTCACGCCACGCCCACTGTAATTGGGCGTGGCTTACGAAACTTTCAGGAAATCTAAGTTTGACCCATATCTATAATCTCTGAAATTTTGGTGCAATTTGGAGACGAATTACGTGAGTTATTAAGAGGTTGCGTGTGGGTAGTCACTTATGGGCCACCCTGTACTTGACGCATTAATCGACAAATATGTCTATATCACTTTTATTGTCTTGCATTTTCTTGATTTTACACTATTTTAATCATTGTAATCCAAAATCTGGCATGTCAAAATCGAAGTAAACAGTCAGTCGAATTGAAAGAATACAATATAATATATTTCTGACTTTCAGTTAGAAGGTATCGATTTTGGTAAGTCAAATGTTTATTTGACGGATTTTATCCAAAAAATTGTACAAGTTGTTCTGTTGTTTGCAAATTTTGTTCTGCTCGATCCTCTCTTACGAATATTTAAGTGCATTTATTTATTGTTCCCTACAATCTCAGATAGTGCGAACAAGGTGCTCAAAGTGTTCAGACACTATAGTATTATAGTAATAGTATATAGTAGTATTGAGAGTATATACTATTGGTACAGAGACTATTATATGGTACAGGACAAGACGTGTCAATAACGGGGATTGATTGTATTATTACTGGAGCTGAGTTGCTAAAAACATCCACTAGCACGGCACACAAAACCAAATTAATCAAAACAAATAGTCCGATATCAAGAAAGAGTCCGTGAGAGAGGGAGAGCAAGACCATTAATATAGCCCAATTAAGAGTCTGCAGCGTGAAAATGGGGATTCCGAGAGAGTCGGCCGATAATATGATGAAAAAACACGCTCTACAATCTACATGTACATGATGGTGACGGACAGCTGCACTGCTTACCGAACTGGTCTCTCGCTATCATAAACCTTAAAATATCGATAGATCCATTTTGTAATGATATTAGCTGCAGTGCACAGCGAGACCCAGTTCTTTGCGGGGGGCACTGAGCAGCAGGAAACCTCCCAATTCCGGTGACCGTTTCAGTATTATTGTGGCCGTCCAGTCACGCAGATATCACAGACTTTTTGATCAGCCGATAATTTGCAAATTGCAGATCTTGCTCTTGGTCTTAGCGCGCATATCTCCTGATCATGATATTGAAACGTTTGGTTTCAGAGACGTGTTTGGATATTTTGGAGTGATTGATATTGACTACCATGCAGTCGGGCGGTTTATCTGCGAGCGTACATTCATTAATGAACTGTGTTGTGCAACATATATATCGTATACACCATGCTCAGCTCATTTTCAAACAGTGCGTCAGTGGTAACGTTTGCAGCTACAGTGGTAGTACTACTAGTTGGTTGTTAGTTAGGCAGTCCGCTAGTCGATATAAGTGGGGTTTAGCAGATACCCATACCACTGTAACAACCCTCTCATCTTTATAATATAGATTACATAATCTTTATAACTTATATTATAAGTTAAATAACTTATATTATAGTCTCTTAGAAATATAAGGATACAATCCTCCTCCAATTATACATCCCTGACAAAATATACATAATTCACCTGCATTAATATCATTATACGTCCTTACAATGGCCGGTGCCTTATAACGTATGTACATTTAACTGTCGTTAAATCATCAAATATTTAAATAATGGGGTGCATTAATGTACAGACAACAGGCAACAGCCTTCTGTTTTGAATAGCAAATGTTGCCGGCGATCACGCTGGATCCTATTTAAGTTTACCAGGTCGCCAGCAACTCAGCAACTGGTTTTATTTTAACTTTTACGCAGTGATTCCACAACCATCCCGAAGTCATGGATGGTAAATTGCTTTTGGTTAAATATCGTCATAACAAGGGCTTTAACGTGAATATTTTGACAAATTCCATTTGTAGGTAAACTAACAAGTTGGTCATCGTAAATCTGCCGTTTTCTGACAAATGTGCTTGAAGACCATTTTTAAAATTCTGCATTCTTAACCCAAATTTCTTTTTTGAATCAAGAATATCCCTGAAAACCATCAGAATTTAGAAACCATTAGAACTAATCGTTGGCCACCAGAAACTCTCTTTTTAGAATCACCTAAAATTACAAAATTTGTCAAAAATGCGTCAGAAGTGCTTAACAACCTCGGATTTGTGAGTGATCTTTAAGCATCTTTGTTAGAAATAGGCTACAAACTTGTTATATCTACGATAAAGATTCAATACTCGATGTATGATAAAATGTGTGTCACATGACCAGACTTCAAAGAGTTACCCACTTAGAGCTATGATAACTTATGATTAAATATCTGTTTTGCTTTAGCGTAACCCTGTAGAGGTCTTGCCACAAACACTCCGATTAATTTCTTTTGTCCAGATGATTGATATCTGAATTTTAGACGAAAAGAAACTCATTATAAGACGACATCGGACATTCTGTCATCGTATTTCTATTTAAGATATACTTTAATCGTTTTTAATAGCGTAAGAAAGTTAGTTTAACTTTTAAACCAGAAAGAAACATCAACTGTTGCGGAATCTCAGAACTATTAGAGGGAAGGAGAAGGACCACTTTCACTCTATCGGCGATATAGCTTCAAAACGTGTGGTAAGTAATAAGAATAGTGTATACGTTTTTGACAGGGACATTATTATTAGCTATAGTTGATTTTGCCAGCTGGCACGTGTGAGAGGCGCACTGCGTGCACGTACGCACTGCATGCACGTACGCACTAACCTTAGCATCCACGCAATTTCAGGCTATTGCACAATGATTGCACAACCATCCCAAACCCACCAGTTTTGGTTAAATATAGTCATGTCAAGGGCTTCATATCGCATAAAACTCATTTAATTGCTACCAAAATATCGCATATTCAAAGAAATGTTTTAAACCTTCGTGAGTTAGAGGTGCACAGTGCACGCACACACGCGCACACACACCCATTTAACAATATAAATAGTGACTTCATTCAGTCCCTTCTGGTTTAACGCTGGAATGGGAAGTAAATCTGCAGCCAACTTGTCACAAAAGTCAAAACGCAAGAAATATGTCGGAAATAAAAAACAAGAATCATGGTGTCTTATCGTCGCGACAGCTTGAACCCTCCTACGCTAAGTACTCTATTTTAAAACCGGTAGATTACATAATTTCGTTGCTGAATACCTTTGAGTTAAAAAAAAATAACTGTATAACTTAGATGTTAGAAATCAAACTTTAACCAAACTTTGCATATTTAACTTTATTTTTATTTTTTAACTTTATTTTTAAAACTCCCAAAACTTTAACATAGTATATTGATATTAAATATATCAACCATATAAGACTGCTTGTGCCTCATAAAAGTGCTGTTGTGTTTTTACAACTTAAGTTATTTGTTTGAAATATCGCAGTTTGTTGTAAATTGTATTTAAATTTAAGTAATATTCAGTACTATCTGAACACAAACAAAAACACCATAACAATATTTTACCATTTACGTTGTAAAGTTCGTACTGCCATAGCCTAGGTACTGACTACTGGCCTTACAAATGATTCACTGATTCGGGACACGACATAATATTTTCTAATTAAAACTATCATCTAGAGAAAAGACGTATTCAAATACTTTGTTACATGATATTTAAACCTCACTTATATAGTCCGACAGAAAATTTCTGTCGGATGCGCGAGCATCAGGTAGTACGTGGTCTGCCAACTGGCAAAAAATATTTTGTCGACCTCGGACCCCCCCCCCCCCCCCTGTGGCCTTAAAATGTGTTATGCGCTATACACTATACAGTGGATATGTGTACAATCGGTTTAAAGACATAATTATTCAATTTTTCATTAGCAAACAATTGAGGCTACAGCTCACAAATATCACGAGGATTGCAAAATAATCATAATAATCATAATCAAACCGTAGTTAGAGTTGTTATTGATAGTCAAACAAGATTCATGACACCCACTGAAGGAATTTAGCTCCGAGTGTACTCCAATAACTGCTCATTGAGATATCTATTACCTTTTCATCAGCCCTTGCTCCCCTGAACCGCCCTCAACTCCACTCAACTCCACTCAATATCCTCACTATGTCGCCTACAATGTCGTAGCTCTGTTTGAAATTCACCAAACTCTCCCAACGTTACCAAGGCCTGTCCTCATTAAGTCACCATCTCAGATCTCACTAATTCAAGTCCAATAAACTGCCTAAACAGCTAGCTCCCCCCCCCCCTGTGAATCCTTATCCCATCACAGCTTGAGTCCTGGCGTTATCTTACCCCCCTATATCACCAAAAATACACCGCTCTCATACGCTTTTTGAAGTTAGTCATGTAGGTAGTTAAAAGTTATCTTTGCAAAGCATTATTTCTGCAATTATCCCGTAAATGGTTGAGACTAAACCCTAAAACCCAAGAGCAATTATAAGATCTCGTAGCAAGCCTCTCAACCACTCCACCAAATACCTGCGGGATCAGCCATTTGACCATTTTACCATTTTACGGGGGGAGAAGCAATGTCTTTATCTGCCTTTTACAACACGCCAAGTTAGCCACTATTTTACCATTTTACTGGGGGAGAAGCAATGTCTTTATCTGCTTTTTACAACACGCCAAGTTTGCCACTATTTTACCATTTTACTGGGGGAGAAGCAATGTCTTTATCTGCCTTTTACAACACGCCAAGTTAGCCACTATTTTACCATTTTACTGGGGGAGAAGCAATGTCTTTATCTGCTTTTGACAACACGTTTGCTATTTTGCAACTTACTGTAGTTACATTACTAGTCACCATAGTTACACTACTGCTTACCACTTCAGCGTAGGCAGAGCAACAAAACATTTCATGTTGAAAATTCTGCGAATCTGCAGAAAGATAGGGGTTTTCTATTTTACCCGGTCGGGTTATAACTGTAGCTTAAATTAAATGAGCTGGTCTGATTGGCTGAACAGCTTTTTGTTTTGAATCATAACATCCCAACGAGGTCGTACAATTAAATCAAATATTCACCCGCTGCAGCGTGGGTGGCGGCGACATGAACGAGAACGCTGGTGGAGTAATACGATCCCAAGTAATCTTCAATCTCGATCTTAAACCCATTGACTTAGCCGATCACATAAAGCCTGGGAGATGCTGTTAAACTGCATGACGTCAGCGCATTGTTTTCGATCAAGACTAGCTTAAATCATTTGCAGATTTCTGTGTTCTGGCTTAGTTACTAATTTTTGCCGTTAAAGTTTTGATGAAGACCCCCCCCCCCCCCCCCCGGCCCCCTTAAAGTACACTGTTTACGACCCACATCTGACTTCGATTTCCAATCTTTCAATTCCTTTCTGTCTTGTCACGAAGCGAGCTAGCAATTAAGAAATAGCACCGAAGATGGAGCGAACTTTTAGCGATATCGACTACTGACAGCTGAAATCTGAATGGGCTGCTTGCCTTTTCACTGTCCACTTATAGCATTCTTTACATTTCTTTCAGTCACTCTTTTTCTGCTTTTTGATAGTTCAGTACATATGGAAAGGCGACAAATTCTCGGCTTATTTTGATTTTATGAGCTCTACAGCCACACTCGTACTGAATATATCAATTTAATATTTTATTCGGTAGTGGTCCTACATAATACATAAGAAGCTTGGTATTGTCAATTGGTAGTTTATCCCTTATTTGTGTAACGGTACTTAAAACTTTAAATCTAAAATTGACAGAAATTAGTGTAACTTTCTGTTAATCGACGTATCTCAGCTCAGGAGGACTCCAACCTTTTTTACGATGGGTAAGTAAGAATCTGGCTATCATTTTAAGCTATTTTATATTTATTTTGGGTATTTCAACTTTGAAGCATGTCCAATAATAAAATGTATGTTGATTCTTTTTATTTGTTGCAATATGCGGACTGTGGAAACAATAGAATGTTTGATTCTACAATTTACACTGACTGATAAATCAAATGATATTGACATGACCTTGATTTGGAACAAAGAATTTTTATGTTACGCAAATATTCACGTCATACGTATATTCACAGTATAAATCATGTCACACACAGCTTTGAGTGTCCAGTAAAACTGGAATTTGAGACACATTTAAACTGAGACGCAGTTATAGACAACCTTTGATCTCCGAACCAAATCATTTGAGCCTGGGTCTAAATAATCAACTGTCACGAGGGCAGAGGAGCTCATTTTAGCGCGTAGAAGTTTAGCTGATCTTTAATCTTTATACATGTGTGTTCGCTTCACCCTCAGTCCTCACTGTTTACGTTGATTTAATGCAATGGTTACTTGGAGGTTTGTTATTTAAATACATTTGCTTTTATCTATAACACCTATCCTATGCAGCGCATCGATAACACAATTCACTCTCATACAAATTTCAGCAGAGCAGATTAGAATGTCAATGACTAAAGTTTTATTTTTGAACAATTAAAATTTGGAATTGGGAGATAAGCAGACGTCGTGAAGTCTCACGTTCTATTATTACTTATCACGTAGTATTCTTGGGTTGGTGGGTATTCAAGATAGGTTTTAGAACTCAGTAAATTGTTAAATGTTTTTCTTTTTTAAGGTTTTGATCTGTTCGTCAGACGTGAGTATTATAAATATCAGTGTCCATCAAGACAAGACCGGCTGTAAATATGCTCGTTCCACCTAGCCACTTTTTCCGCCTTAATCAGATTCCTCGTCACTTTTTGTAATTTAGCCACGGGGGGGGGGGGGGGGGGGGGGGCCGGGGGTTCACTACACTTTTGTATAGGGAATCCCCTCTTCTGGATCTAGAATTTTAGATCTCAACTTAGCATTTATTACTCCTAATGGGTCACACAGCCTAAAGGATTGACACTCTACGACTCCTTTGCCAACATTAATCACGTCATTTATGAAGTTTAGCAATGATATTTGAGGTATTAAGCAACCATTTAAAGAACCAGGTTTTAATATTTAAAATTAATGCCCTCTTTGGTCATTACAACCGAGCACTGAAAGTAATTGCAATGATCGGTGTTGACTGATATAGGAACTTCTACGCTCAGAATGACAGCAGTTTTGAGCTTCAAGGTTAACCGTATACTGCCTAATCGTTAATTCTACGCTCAGTAACTCGCATGACATGATTTCTGACCCCGAGACCCGAAGAACCATTAGATTTTATCGGCTAGACAGCACTGATTTTGAGGCTATGACGAGCATAGATGGGTCCAGAACTTATTAAGTTGGGATGGCGAACCGAAGAGTTTTTATCAGGTGACCAGTACTCGATCATATATTAGCTCCTTCCCTAAATTTAATGATTAGATTCCCACGAAGTCATATAATTTAGGTATGACAAGAAGTTTTAATCAAACGCTGGAGAGGGAGAGAGAGGGAGGGAGAGAGAGAGAGGGAGAGAGATCGACAAGAGCTACTCACCACGCATAATGTTCCATATCAAGCCACCGTAGTATGCAATTTGGTGTATTTCTTTCGTCAAACTTTCGTTTGCCCATCGGAATATCAATTTAACATTACATGGGTGATTTTCATACATTTTTCGAGAGATCTGCTAAAACTATCTTCATAAAGGTAATGTAAAATATATTAATATGAAAAATTCGTCTAATTTTCAGCCATATTTTCCGAATTACGGACAGTTTAATCGTCAAAATTAAACTGTCAGTCTCAGAAGACGTATTGGAAAGTCAAGGATAAATCGATATTTGATATGTACAGCGAAATTAAAAGTATTTAAAGAATTTTAACTCTGTCAGTACAGAGATCCTTCACTTCAGGTATGATTTTGAGTTAACCGACCGCTAATTGGCCGCTAATTGGCGCTAATTGACCACTAATTAGCGTCAGACTATCAGTTTATTGACATTGTGTTTTTTCAGGACAATGGTATGCATGATATTATGGGGAGGGACAAGTGGCAAAGTAGCGTTGAGCAGACTATAAAAGTCTCCCACCAGATTTACAGGTAAAATTACTTTTACTCGTTTAACCACTACTTTTAGTACTATAACAGTGTAGGCGTATATAAATTGTCGCTACATTTTAAGTTTTAGGCTTTACAAATTATGGGGCGTGACCTGGAAAAACTAATGAAGTGCAAATGTTCATTGTTTCCAGAGTTTTTCTATGTATATCAAATTTTACTCCTCAATTTGTTTTGGCCATGACGTGACTGAGTTGAAATTTGATGCTTTCAATTTTGTTAACATAATTGCAGTACCGCCGGGTTTTGCCACCGTTCCAATTAGTCATACGATTTTATTGTTTCGTTTAAATTTCCTAAGTTAAATTCGACTTACTTGAACAGATTAAATGGCATTACGTCAGATCAGGCTTCGACTAAGGTTTGAAAATCAGAATTTACAAAAATCGTCTGAACTCTGAAAAACGTTACCGACTGTAGACCAAGACGAACTTATTCTGGTAAGTTCCAATAACGATTCAACCTCTAAGACTTTATAGGTGAATCCATGGCAAATAATTGACATCATGTTCATGTTACTCCCCAGCTTAAACGAAGACAGCTCTGCTATGTTCACCCTGTTCGGTGCTAGCAAGTGTATTTATTTCGGTATCCCGATGGGCATGGCTATCCTGGGGTTCGTGTTGGCTTTGTTCGGAGGTGATGCGGTACTGGCGGGGAGTGTGCTCCACCTGGTCGTGGCACTCTGGATATTCCTCACTTATCTTCTTTGGGTACGCTCTACAGAGTCATACCACGTGTTCAATGTGTTCAAATTTATCTTTATATCAACAGCAAATGGACGACTGCTGCCGTATGGTATTTGGTGCATAAGATTAAGACCTACCTTATTTTTGGAATGAGACTCTAACAGTCCAGCCAACTATGAATGCTTATTTGTACATGTTTGTAAATCCCTTCTCCGCCAGGTGTACGGTATCCTTGGATTCCACCTTAACTCGGAAACACAACACAGTACACGGACCCTCCTTAAGTACAGCAGTCAGTATGGTTGCTGTGGTATCTATGTAAGGGTGCTGAGGTTCGTTCATTTTCCACAGTTTTCCATGATCCGGGCGGGCATGTACCGATAATTGATGATACATTTGATAATTGATGATATATTTAATGAGTACGACTCGTTAGCAATGATGGTTATCCCCCTCATAAAAATATCAGTAGAACCCTTTAAAATAATAAAACCCCGGCAGATACAGACCCTTTAAAATAATAAAACCCCGGCAGATACAGACCGAGTTTCAGAGACGAGCGGAGACCGACAGCAGTCCACCCCATGATGGAGACACCAGATAGCGTGGGTAACACAGCAGTACACTCAGCGGTCCCTTCAGCGGTCCCCGGCAACAGTTCTTACGTTCAGGGTGTTCAGCGGAGTAACTTCATCACTAAAGCCTGGTCTTGAATCGCCCCATTAATATATGTGTTCATGTGGATTTCGATAAGAAAATTAGTACATCAGAGAAATGAGACATCCAGAGAAATGAGACATCCACCCGATTAAAGATCAGATATACAATGAGACGAATTATCACTTTACGCATAACTATGGATGTATAATGCAACCCAGATTTCATAAGACTTTCTCAGCCCAAAATTTTTATCCCAGCTTGATCGAATTATATTTTTCGCCTGTTCTTTTACTTAAGCTTCATGAGTGGATTATTAGTGGCTATTTCTAAATAGAGGTATAACTGAACTTTCGCAATTAATGCATTTTTCGTGGTGATAAATATAAATGAATTGTTAACCATCTCAATAGAACAGCGAATAGACTTGATATTCACTGCACTGTCTAGACTTGATAAGACGGATGTGCATTGTGCAATAATATGACATAAAACACGATATGACGTAATTTTCCATTCGCAAGTAATCATGCGGTTTTTATCTTTTGTTTTGTTCACTTTTACCTGTTGGATTTAATTGTTTCCTGGACAAATAATCAAACCAAAAACGAAACCGGGAGTGTGTCCTGAGCAAGTACAGGAAGATGGAAAAGTAAGAAAGATCTAAACTGTTCAAATAAAATCAGATTTCGCTGTTTAGTTAACTCGTTGTCGTGGTATTTCAGTTAATCATTTCCTTAGTAATCTATGTTTCCTATCACTATGTTTCAAAGCTCAAGTAAAATGAAGTGTAGCTCCAAGCTAAATGTCCATGTGAAATTGTAACCTAAGTCTCTCGATGAAGACATAGTAATAGCGCACAAAATCGTGACCATATTATACTCTCTACAATCAATTGCGTAAGAAAGGTGAGATAAATTAGGTGTACTCACCAAGCATTGTTCATGTTCCCATATGTCGAGTTCTATTGATCGGACTTTACTAATGTGCACTCCCAAGTTGCGATGTATACCAGAACACGCAATACACAACGTAACTCCTGTCAGAGAGAATTATTTTATAAACCACTCAGTGAGCTGGATAAAGAACATTTTGACACTATTATGTTTCATCTTGAATCCGAAGAGCTTAAGGTTCCATTTTTACAATGAATGCTCGAAGCCTGTCGTAAAGTTGGTTGGGAATGTGTTTTCTGAGTAATTAATTAGTTATTGATTTAGTAATTAACGCAATATTTTCACGAGACTAACCGAGATTGATGCTAGCCCATACGGGTTCCCTGCTGGCACAGTCCACACATGTTTCATTTCCCGGCATCGTCTTAATGTCACTCAATAGCCTGATCAAGAATGGAATTTCAATTAACAGCTGGAGCCAAAAGTTAGAATTATAGATGTATTTAACAAGCTTGGAAAGTTCTGGAACCATGTTGTTGACAGCGTTAAGTTATTATGGAATGTAGATGCACTACAAGTATTGCTTTTGCCGAACTTCGTAATGTCAAAGCGTTAACTAATCGTCTTACTTTGATCGATAATATTTAATTCATAGTTGGGAAACAGAATGAAAAATAATCTATTCCATAATTTTACTATTTGAATTTTGAATAAAATCCACCCCACTTTTCGTATCGTGGTAACACCTTTATCCTTTCGGCGTTACATGTAATTCTATGAGAAGCTCCAATGCAACTATCAAATTCACACTACAACTATAAATTTGGCAAAGTTCCAAAAGTATGGTATAAAAATGTTTCACATCAAAACAATTATCTAAAGTTAAAAATGGAGACAGAAACCATAAACTCACTGTAAAATCTCAGGACTGTTACCAGACTTCATGTTTTCGTCCGGAATTCCATTAGATTTCTGAAACAAATGTCGTCATTAGGGTCCTGTAACCGATCTTAATATTATCATACGTCGCTATTGTTTCTGAATAATAACGGTGAACAGGCACTGAGGCACAGCTAGATGTTCGATTCTATTTTTAAGTTATTGCATTAGACTAGGTGTATTAGATCAAATAAACAAAATCACGTAGACTTCATGGTACATGGATACCGTTCTACGTTCTAAATTTAACTCTAATTCATTTGGAGCTGAGAAAGTTCTTTCGTGGTGGTCTATTTCAAGACCATTACAAAGTGTTCCTGCGATGTTTATTTAACCTGCCAGCTAATGAGTGATAGGTTCCAGCCACTGCAACCCTGGTAAACTATCACGCGGTCCCGTTAATGAACGCTATAAATTATGTTCTCGAAGAGTGTCACGCCGGACAGCAGCCATCTCACAAATTCCTGCAATACCCACGGAGAATATTCGGGGACGTTACTATTTTTAGTAACATGACATCAAGTAACGCATCCACGGTCCAGCGGTGATATTTGATATCGACCTAATCCACACAAGGTCCATTCTACACGGTACCATTTACTTTTCGTCAGCCGCTTTCTTTTGTAATTTTGAATCAATCCATTCATGACATCATGTCCTTTTTAGTTCACTGCTCAACTGTCGTCACTTTTAGTAAGAATTAATAAACCTTTATTTCACACTACAGCTGCATGGTCTGACCTGAGCTGGATCTCGTAACGATGATGTACAAGCCCGAAAAAGACAGGATAGTAGTTCCCCTCCCTCTCAGCCTCACTATACTTCTACTTTACGGGGGAATATTCCTGTTCTCAGCTGTTACTCACTACTACGGCCCTGCTGCTGGGTGCATGTCTGCACTCAGCTTTGCTTTGTGTGATGCAATCTTTGTGAGGACGATAAAAAGCAGATTTGGAGTAAGTGAGATTGTTATTAAGAGTAGTTTGTAGTGCTCATAGACTGTAAACATTTAAGTCTTCTTCAGCAGTTCAAATCGAATAGCGGGACCAGCTCAGACTCGACAAGATATTCGGATCTACAAGCTGAGCAAAGTAAAGTCACGTGAACGCATTGTGGTATAGTTGGCCAACTTCCTTGCATCTTACCAAACGTTTCGCCGCGGACGCAAACGTACTCAGATAATGGACATTGCCACTTTCGCAAACGCGGAAACCAATTTGGGCATCCTAAGTGATTCTACTCAAAAGTCAATTAGCTTAATAAGCGATGATGGCGAAGTCATGCTCTCAGATTACGCACTGGACAGACTACTCTTACCTCGGCAGAGACTTCATTAGTGGAAGTAGTGTTGTGTATAGCTGCTTCGATACCGCACTGGAAATATACACAGATTAGATTTCATTTCCTTTTCAGAATTCAGTTGTACTAATTTTGAATTTTCTGATGTAAACTAACAGGAGTATGTTGTAAATTTCTTACTTGTCTTACCGAATTATAATTGATGATGTTTTAGAAAAATTGAGGCTTTAAATTCAACAAAAAATGTGAGTATCGCACCTGTAAACTTTTGATCCACGCTTCTTTAACTTTCTGGGAATCAGCCTGAAGGAATATCTTCCTGAAACGAGATCTACGTTAGATAAAATAGGAGATAATATCGAACAGGAAATTCTGGCACAATTAACCACAGGAAAAGAGCAGATACGAAGGGGTTAAATTACAAACAGGTGCTATACCGGAAGAAGAGTGGAAGTGGCAAACTGCAAGAATTACCGTTCACAACTAATTTATAGGGTGCCCATATAAGGGTTGAACAGATGCGTTACCATCGTAAACATTAGCGTAAAAGAGTGCAAAAATGTAAACATACTTGCACTATCATTATGTGACCACCTGTTCGGAAATTTGATCCCCCATACACAGTGCACTGAACATCGGTGATAGCTTAAGTTTCAAGTTCCTAAAGTATGACTTATTCTACAATCTACATGCGCTGCGTGTCATTGAGATAGGTGTTAGAATACAGATTTATGTTTTATTCATTTCACAACGTTGCTTAAGGGGTATCGAAATTAAATTAAGCTTTGGAGAACCAAATTTGTACACCGATAAAAACAATAAAAACGTACTTGGTAGGCATGATAAGCTCGAAACAATATCTCCTATCTTGCTCCTCTGTTGATTTAACTTGAGATATCCTCAAGTCTTCTGATATGATCTTGTTGTCTTCTTCCTGAGAGAGAGATAACAAATGTCAAGAAGAAAAACAGGACGATGTAATTCAACACCGAGTATCTATGATACCCCGGTATTGAACAAACATAATTATTTTATTGCAGATTATGGAAAATATTATTTTCTGTAATGTGGCGGTGTTGTCAAGGCTACCCTTATAGAGCGGGTAATGATTTGCAAGGTGATGTGAAGAACTCTTCTTAATTAACATAATTGAATAAGAAAGAGAATACTTTATGTAATCCTGGACCACAATCCACACAGCGATTATAAATACTCAGTACTTACACTCTAAGAACGTTTGAAAGTTTGTAATTTTATGAGCATAATATTATAACATTATGTATAATGTATATTTCAAGACGTGTCTTGTACTGTGATGAAATATACCCATTATAATATTTACTCTAAACGTTTTCGCAAACGAGTGCTACTTGCTAACACCTCCATAATAAGCGAGCACATATTGCTGGCTGCAAGAGGATGTAGTCTCATGTTGTCAGTGTTTGAACTATAACAGTGGCCTGGGTGTTGCAGTTTGAGGCTGTGTATTAAACAGAGTACGGTGTATGAAACTGAGTCGGACTGGAGACCACACAGAAATCTACCTAATTATATATCATAACTATGATATGTAGTGTCGTTTATATAATGATAAGCCGCTAACTTTATCGGTTAAACACCAAATAAAATAGGAACCCGGTAATATCAAGTCGCTTTAACAGTGTGTTTAAGAGTTAAAATGATTATTAAATTATTGATAACTTCCATGTACATCGTACATTGTACAAGTTACGATTTCATGCATGATAGTACAATGTACTGCTCACAGAGACTAAAGACTCATCATAAGTACACAGTAAGTTATCCGCTATCTGTGAGCAAATGTATTTACATTAGTAAAAGTGATTGGGCTGTAACTTTGTGAGTGTTGTACAAAGTGGTTACAGCTTGCCTTCTGTGCGCTGCCGTTGGAGTTATAAGTTGAGAAATGAATCGGTTGTTCATATTTTATTTGTGAAATCTATAATGTGAAATATAACTAACCTTACTGCCTTTACTCCTTTTCTGACAGTGCAGTTGATTCTCTTTGATCATGAAATACCTCCGTTTCCAGGTTTTAAAAGTGTTGTGACTTCTCTTGTACAGATACCCTTCTAATAGCACGCTGAGAGTAAGGGGTGGGGTAACAGTGCGCTAAAGGTGCGCTAAAAGTGGGATAAAAGTGCGATAAAAGTGGGGTAAAGTGTGCTTAACAGGGGACATGTTAGACTCGTTCTAGACTATTGATCAGAAGAGTTACCACCCTGGTATTTGCCATAGTAACACATGGTATTACTAGTCTAGAAAGGCAAAAAGAAAGGGGGAAAAGATAGGGATTATGTAGCGTAGGGATTTAGCTGAACAGAGTGGAAAACATTTGATATCCAAATCTTTAAAATGTGATAAGATGTCAGTGCACCATTACTCATATACTGTGATAAAATCAAGTACAATAAACTGTATTTCTGTGTTCAATACCATGCTCCTGCTACAACACCAGCAGGAGAGAGAGAGAGAGAGAGAGAGAGAGAGAGAGAGAGAGAGAGAGAGAGAGAGAGAGAGAGAGAGAGAGAGAGAGAGAGAGAGAGAGAGAGAGAGAGAGAGAGAGAGAGAGAGTGAGATCATAACAACTCGAGCCATACAACTGCCCTGAATCCTGCTTACAACTTACGAGTCGTCCTTCGGGGTAATCATGAGTCCATCGTAGTTGTTACTCTTCAACTGAAACACAATTTGTAGTTCATTACCAGGACTGTAATGTAGGTGATGCTGGCTGCAGAGTGATCACGTGATAAAGGCGACAGGGATATGTTAACACCCTCTCAGTGACACACTTTACCTGCAGCTACTTGTCAAGATCGTGATTGGTGTGACAGACAGAGCTGGTTGAGAGGTAACATTTAAGGAGCTCGTAGCAGGTTTAAAGGTTTAATTAAAGAGGCAGTAATGTCCATTTTGCAGGCAGAACTGTCTCTTGTCAAAACAAAGATCCGCGTGAGTGTGTTGCCAAATTGTTATAATATGATATATAAGCTCACAATGTGATTTCTGTGGAACCAAATAAATTGAACCAAGTACGGTAGGTAGTTTAGAGGTAATTATGCCATATAAGGAATAATGAAGTGCCCCCACCTCAGGAGGAATAGCAGCGCTAAACAGAAACTGATTGGGCGACATCTGTCCGACAGCGACATCTGTCCGAAAGCTGAATTAGGGATTTCGGACAGATGTCGCTGTCGGACAGGAGTCGTTTTTGGCGACATCTGTCCGAAATTTGGATCATATTGTAATTTCGGTTCACATTCGTATTTCACAAGCTCACAGGTAATCTCGTGACGTTCTAAAGCTGATGTGATCGCTTAAGATCTGATCCATCGATACGTGATTGACTAGTTGAGAACAGGATCGTGCTAGCCGTACCCTAACAAGCTGTCGATCACATCACAGGACATGAGTACATATAGGACAGCAGTATGGAGATCACTTATCGCAATCCACAATGGCAACCAATCTTCAGTTTATCCCTGGACGCAAACAAGGCTAGGAGAACGCTGTCCTAAATGGCTTCAGATACGTCTTCGACAAGCGAAGAGACGACACCTCCTACTGGAAATGTTCGGATTTCCGATAGGTTTGCAGAGCCCGCATCCGTACAGTGGACAGACAACTGATCACTCCTACTCCTGACCACACTCACCCTGTCCACCATGCTGAAACGACCGTCCACGTCAGCCAACAGAACTTGAAAAGAAAGGCTTCTGGTGGAGATCACGGCATCACGGATTCCATTCAATTCTGTCCTGCTCGAAGCCCACAATTTGGAAGTTCCTTGATTGCCTTAAAGCAGAACAAGCCCTTACAGACGTGAAGAAAACCAAGAGAGACGGGCGGGAACTACCTGATCCATTTGGGTGCACGTGGGTGCACCCAAATGGATCCGTTATGATCGACAACTTCAGAGGATTGTAGATGATTACGACAACTACATCAACCCTATGGATTTCCTTAAAGCTATCGGAAATTTGACTATGCTTTAGATTTGATTCTGTGATATTGTATTATATTGAATTAATTTATAACATTTAGATAACATTGAAACTATTGTTTGCTAAGATTATGTTTGCGTTTCATTGCTCAACAGCTGTTCGAAGGATCAAATTTAAGATTGAAACTATTGTCCAATTTATCGACATCAAATGAAAATAAACTGTGGTAGTAAACTATGGCTCAGATCATATCTCAAATTGGACATGTTACGTATACAATTTAGCATGTAACAGTTTAGATCATGTCTCTAATTGGAAATGTGTCGTATTGAAATCAGGTCACAATTTCGGACAGATGTCGTTTTTTTCTGGTACCCTGATTCGGACAGATGTCGCTGTCGGACAGATGTCGCTGTCGGACAGGAGTCGTGTTACCGCAGCGCTAAACAGAAACTCGTCCTCCAGATCTGTGTCACTCGAATCGGAAGATCCGCTGGACAGACATCTTGACAATCTGACTACTGGTACTATCTCAGGTTTTCCCTTTTCTTCTTCAGGTTGTTCATCCTCCTCTGTTGATACAATTTGCTCCTCCTCTATTGACGGGACTGGTGAGGATAGATGGTTTTCTCCGTTGTGGAACAGGATAGTTTCACTGAGCTCGATAGTCGGTGACGGAAGTGTTTCGATAGTTGGGGACGGAAGTGTCTCGGTAGTTGGGGACGGAAGTGTCTCGGTGTTGTCCGATATCAACCTTTTAACAGCCTCACTATCAGTTGACAGATTGACGGAAGGTTGTTCTGCTGATAACGTTAAACTCACATCATTTTCGAGGAAGGAGTAGTCGGCAGAAAAGGTTTTGTCGTCATCTGAAGCCTGACAAGGTTCCTGGTTTTGTGAGATTTTATAATCTTGGACTTGATTTGTTGTTTCTTGCAACTTTACATCTTCATCTACTTTAACCTCTTCAGGATCCTCAGATTTAGCTTGATCGATTGAAAATGTGTCAACTTCTGACCCTGAACTAATCTCGACATCCCCCGCACCATGATTACTGACTTCATCCATTTCTACCACCGAAATATTTGAAACTTCATCACACACTTCACAGGATCCTTCAGATCCATGTTCTGAGCCGGACCCATGTTCATCATGGTCAGTTGACTTTGCACTGGCAGAATCTGGCTGAGAAACAGCCGCATCAACATTGAGCGACCTCACTGATCCTGATCCTGACGTATGATCCACGTCTTGATGGTCGTGTAACTCAGAGTGATTACTTTGTGTGTGGGATCCTGGTTTATGACAACACTCCCGCAGGGGGGTACACTCTGACTGTAACTCACTGCACACTGAGCCTGATAACTTCGCACTACCCTCATCACCAAACATCTCCCGGGGATCGATAGTCCCATCCGAAGTTGAGCTGATACAACTCCCCTCGTCCAGGTCATGATCAAGTGGAATGCCTCCCTCCCCGAAGGAGGTGGTGGAGGCAGTGCGACGCGGCGCACAACACGCAAACAACGCAGCTACAAACCTGCGCATCAACCAAACAAGTGGCTACATACTGAGTACAGCTGCAGGTGTAAAACAAACAATGTACTCGTGGTACACAGCACTAAATGCGGGCACACAGTTAGCACAGTTAGGAAGTTGTATCGCGGAGGAGGGACACCCGCCTCGGGACCCACACTTATGATAAGGGTGCCGGTAATAACAAGCGTGCCGAGCAACTTTCTGGAACTAGTCCGTCCGTACGCAAACTAGGGAGTACGCAAACTAGGGGGATGATCGTTTCAAACTAGGAAGAACAAAGTGAGTAACAAGGGAACAATGTTGCGATGAGAGAGAAGTGGGATATTTAGCAGTTTAGGAGTGATTAGGTTACGTGTTGTGAGAGGTTACAGGATATCATATTTACAACACTGTAACTTATAGGAGTTGTTGGAGTGTGGCAGGTGTTAAACTACATTCCAACTCATACGTGGGATTTTATTAATTTAATTAGATTGATAAAAAGATATTTTAAAAGGAGGAAATGTCAATGACTTAGATTTTAACTGTGATGTTTTCAGGTACCGCCTCAGGTATCCGCCTAGTAACGACTAACATACTGGTAACGCCTGGTAACGACTAACATACTGGTAACGCCTGGTAACGACTAATATACTGTTAACGCCTGGTAACGACTAATATACTGGTAACGCCTGGTAACGGCTAACATACTGGTAACGCCTGGTAACGGCTAACATACTGGTAACGCCTGGTAACGGCTAACATACTGGTAACGCCTGGTAACGACTAACATACCAGTAACGCCTGGTAACGCCTGGTAACGCCTGGTAACGCCTGGTAACGACTAACATACTGGTAGTGCCTGGTAACGACTAACATACTGGTAACGCCTGGTAACGACTAACATACTGCACTGGTAACGCCTGGTAACGACTAATAACATACCAGTAACGCCTGGTAACGGCTAACATACTGGTAACGCCTGGTAGCGACTATATTAACATACCAGTATCGCCTGGTAACGACTAACATACCAGTAACGCCTGGTAACGGCTAACATACTGGTAACGCCTGGTAACGACTAACATGCTGGTAACACCTGGTAACGACTAACATACTGGTAACGCCTGGTAACAGCTAATATACAAAATATGCACTCATGATTCAATTGAATCAGACCAGCCCACTGTTAGTCATAATCTCCATTCTAGCTATAAAATAGTACCGGTCCCTAATGCAGGTAAACAGATCATATCTAAAACATATCTAGGTTTATAATAAACCTGAATTTTTTCCGTTTTGCGTGCCTTTATTTGAGTTAAGTATCGTTTGATTGTTTAGTTAACTTGAAAGTTAATTGCTTTACTACACATGTTATTGTTCAGACATTACGTAAGCCATTTGTTGGCCATTTAACACCTCTGACCCTCCTCCCTCCATAAGCCATTTTACACATAGCTGTTGTGTAGAAATTACAACAGCATTTCCAAACCCCATCCCCCTACGCGACGCTGGCTTACGTAATCCATTATTATAACGTAACTTGATCGAAATGATTGCTGGTTTTTAATCGATCCCAATTTAGAAATTATTGGTACTGAAATAGGATACGCAGTTATTAGCGCAGGTATTTTGGCACTCAGTTACAAATCTCCAGCACTAACACGCAACCTTTGAGTTAGCAACTAATCATCAGCCAATTTTATGGCAGACAATGGCAATACATTTTTCCTTTCTTTTCGTTTAAATTCATGTAAATGATACAAATTAAGACACTGATACAATTGACTGGGAAAATGAAGAAATAAAGACATCCAGCCTAGTTTAAAAAATATATTTCTAGTTCTTACCTCTGCCACCTTCTTGTGCCTACTCTCCAGTTTTTTTAATGATTCATCCCTTTGTGATTGTTTCTGCTGCATCTGAAAAGTTACCAAGATTTAGGAGTTAGTCTTAAAAGCGTGAAAAGTATTGTCGTAATTCGATTTGTGTTCATTGTTTCGAACAGATAGAATTCAGTATTTTTACTCCACCCAAGTATTCTCTTTTTTAGTATAGGTTATATGATTTGAAAGTTTAGAAATTGCTCAACATCCTATTATATTGGTAAGTTCCTATTGATATAGCTGAAAGGCCACGGACGGCGGTAATGCTAAAATAATGCTGGGCAATGCTATTAATGCAACGTAAACTGTACAGTGTACAGTGTGTGTAGTTTTGAAAGAAAGTTGGATAATGACTAAGCTTTGATGAGCCATACCACTGGTGAAGGAGCCATGATATTGTCAACAGCAGTAAGAGGAAGTTCAATAATAATTGAAGACAAAAACAAGACGATACAAGGATGGTCAACAAAGGAATTTAAACGATCTAAAGTTTTACAAAAGTATACTAGTAGATATGTAAAAAATCGCGCATTCCATCACCAAAATGCGTTTTTTGGACAGTTTAACACCACGCACAACTTCTGAAATACATATTAAAAACGTTCATGACGTTGCCATACATAGCATTTATATAATAATATGTATATTGTATAAGGACTGGCTTTATTTTGTGGGAGGAAAAGGGGATCATCTCTGACCTGAACTTCTTGTTAAATCTAAGCCCAAACTTTTATTAGATGCCACTTTGTAACCACCTCGGCGAATCACAAAATATTACGAAATTTTGATCTTAATCTTTAGCAGCGTAATCTGTCATCGCTTCAGCAAAGGAGAGAGAGAGAGAGAGAGAGAGAGAGAGAGAGAGAGAGAGAGAGAGAGAGAGAGAGAGAGAGAGAGAGAGAGAGAGAGAGAGAGAGAGAGAGAGAGAGAGAGAGAGAGAGAGAGAGAGAGAGAGAGAGAGAGAGAGAGAGAGAGAGAGAGAGAGAGAGAGAGAGAGAGAGAGAGAGAGAGAGAGAGAGAGAGAGAGAGAGAGAGAGAGAGAGAGAGAGAGAGAGAGAGAGAGAGAGAGAGAGAGAGAGAGAGAGAGAGAGAGAGAGAGAGAGAGAGAGAGAGAGAGAGAGAGAGAGAGAGAGAGAGAGAGAGAGAGAGAGAGAGAGAGAGAGAGAGAGAGAGAGAGAGAGAGAGAGAGAGAGAGAGAGAGAGAGAGAGAGAGAGAGAGAGAGAGAGAGAGAGAGAGAGAGAGAGAGAGAGAGAGAGAGAGAGAGAGAGAGAGAGAGAGAGAGAGAGAGAGAGAGAGAGAGAGAGAGAGAGAGAGAGAGAGAGAGAGAGAGAGAGAGAGAGAGAGAGAGAGAGAGAGAGAGAGAGAGAGAGAGAGAGAGAGAGAGAGAGAGAGAGAGAGAGAGAGAGAGAGAGAGAGAGAGAGAGAGAGAGAGAGAGAGAGAGAGAGAGAGAGAATTCATAATTTTAACCCATATTCTACTCATGTCACTGTTTAGGGTTCATAAAAAAGTCCTCTTCTTCCAAAAAGCTGTTCATCTGCTGTTCAGACCCTTAAAAAGAAATCTTTCTCTTTAAAATAGATGTCTAACTGTGGAATCTTCTTCTAACTGTGGAATCTTCACAAGGCAACTTTTGAACTGACTCCGAGAGTTCAACTAATCAAAACATTACCGCCGACTAATTGCATTGGAAGTGCAAGTCTGATATCGTTTAACTGTTTAAGAAACCCATTGGGGCACTGAGTGGCTTTGTACATTAACCCTACTCTAAATAGAATTCAACCAGTTGAATTGTTTTGGTTTAAGAAACTTGGAACTAAAACGACTTTTAAAGATGGAAAATATGCAACAGTACAACAAAAAAGCTTTTAAATTTGTCAAGTTGAAAGCAATTTCAAATAAAATCATTCGAAAACATTCTGACAATCATAGACATTTAAATACAACTTACACAGTTGAGCCTTGCAGCAGTGTTAACGAAACTCCTCCGAAACGCCCCATCACGTTTCATAGCCAACAAACTTCCTCGCTACATCACCCACCACCCTTAAACAAACCGCAACACTACTACTAACGGGGATTAAAAGTTGGCAGTAAAGCTGAATGGCATGCGCGGTTTACAACGCGACTTCAAACCAAGGAATAATATAATGCCCCCACACTGGTGTCACCTGATACGGTACGGGTACATTGAACCCAGAGTATGTGTAACCCAAACCACCATCTAGTCGACAATACCACAAAAATATATAATTCTCTCACATTATAATACCAGGACCAGCACGACCCGGTATATTCTCTCTAATTTAAAGGGAACGGATATAAACAAATCAAACAGGGCGGTATAAAGAGTGTAGTGAAATAAGGGGAAGGAACAAATTAAGAAGCAAACAGGCAGATTATTATTATAGATTATATACCACAACTGGGGTATTAAGGTGTGTATAATAATAAATGAAACTTAAATTAAATCATGATTTAGTCGATGTTTACTGGAGGTGTATGTGATAACTTGATACGGGTTCAGAACGTTGACAAATGCAAATTACTAGAAACACGGATAATGGTCACACCAGCAAGCCGGCGGAACAAAGACATATAACTCATATCTAATCAGAACAGCATCATCATAGAGGGCAAGGGGACTGTAACAATTAGATGAATTAAAGTACAATGTAAAACAATCTCAATACTACACACATATTCTGACAGGCCCTGCAAACTTTAAACATGTTAGAGTACTAGTCCTTAACTAGCCTCTGGCTATTGGATTAGGTGTTATAATGATGAGGTTAGAACATATGGTTCACTAATTCGGAGACAAATACCTAGCCTTGAGGGGCGCAGAAGTTGCATAATTCTAAATTCAAGTAATATCTAGAGTAGTATCCACTGAAAATTAACTATTCTTGAGGAATAATAATTAAATATTTATGAGCATGGATTCTTGAAATCGGGAAGGTTCTGAAATTGATAAAGACAGTGGGGATACCCTAGAATACGGAATGTCTAGCTACAGTAGTTAAGGTTGTACACGGTTATGACCCAAATTGCACAAAATTAACTTAACTATAACAAGGCATTTAAACAGTTAACACACATCTATAGCAAGCAGCTGTGACAGTGCTCAGTCCATTTTGATCATTATAAGATTGAATATCAAGCACAAAATTAGAACAAGATTAGCCATCATCCTCGCGAAACTGAACAAAATGCGGAGAATGTTAGGCGACAGTGTGTCGATACAGACACAGACTCTCCGAGTCTTCTTTTGATATGCATATTACATACGATCTCAATGACAAACATTTCAGATGTAATTGCTGCTTTGTACAAGAAAACTCATGTACAATTATTGGATCAAGTTTAGTCAACTTTTTGAATAATTCAGTTAATGAGTATTTAATTTGAGTTGATAACACTACGATCACAATGCCCGTGGAGAGGTTACGTAAGCTAAAATATGCGTATAATGATATTTATAAATGAATAATATATTATATCGTTTCCTGCTAATATCGGCGGAAAATCAACTTAATTTGCTTATATAATCAAGAGGCTTACATATGAACATATTGACATGGGTGTAGAGTTGAGCCTGTACGGAACCTAGTAGTTTCAGTTCCTTGTTTAACTTGCCGTACAGCAAGGACATTCACTACTTTAGCTACTCTTCTTATAATAACTCATTCAAAAAGGATAAAACCAACTACAAGTGTAAGCCTTAAGTTAATAGGTTCTACATCTTTAACTTCTAGACATGGAATATATAAGACAGCGAAAATAATGACTTTTAAATGGGTAGCTTTACAAAACAAAAGGAAGAATATTTACAGACTTGCTAGTGACTCTATTTGAATACAAATAGTAAAATTTATATTTATATTAAAGTCACTAATTGTGACGGTACATTAGAACTAGACAGAAACAAAGTGCGAAGGGCCTGAACGGAACCCCTCGGTTTCAGTTTCCTTGTTTAACACTGCGAGACAAGATCATTCCCGCTTGATGGACTCCACAAGATTTCTCAGGGTTTTGGAACAACCTAACAGATCCCAGACCTGATTTTGTACAATAATACAAAAATGTTAAGAATCTATAATATAATTCAAAAGATTATTTTTGTATGTATGTCTGTACTCTGTAGTCTGTATGTAGCGACCGCCCACGTGTAAATTTGGTAAGAAAGAGGAAGTTGCATAGTAACCATGGTAACGGTGTTGAACGCGCAAAGATTATTGGAGGGGCAATTTGATCGGTTTTGTTGTGATCATATTACGTTGTGTTCAGTGCGAGCTACATTTTAATTGGCTGTATCTTCGGTTGTGGCGGATATTTTTTGATGCGATAAAAACTGACTAGTACCAAAGAATACTATTACTATTAGCTTCCTCCCTGTGACTTTCTAGTACTATTATAATATTATATATAATCCTGCAGAATGGTAACCTAATTGTACAGGTGATAAACACATACCTTTGCTATAACGCAAGGCAAATCAAATACGACCGTCCACCTTTTGATTGTGGAATTCAATTAAAAGTTCCTTGCCTCTAAATACTGCTTCTGCGGAAAACTCCTGGCTTTTCAATACTCCTTTCGCGAAACAAGTGGAATGAAAAGTCAAACTGATAGTGCACCGGCCCTGCTAAATTCAAGCAGGAACTGTTACTTTCCTCCTTGAACTCATAGTTACCTCCTGAGGCATCCTGACGTGACCTCTTCTCGCGATATTGGTTTGCATCGATCAAATTTACCGTATAACTATACCTGACACGTGCTGATTTCTCCGGAATAAGATTGGGATCCGAGGAGATTATAATCTGGCGCTACAACCACTACTGACTATACTACCCACATACAATGAGTCTCACTGATACAAAAGCATGACAAACATGGGACTACAGAAACAAAAATAGAAATAAAAATAGAAATAAAAATAGAATTACAACTCGTACTACATATTTAGCTAAAATGACAGATTCTGAGAAATGTATCTCTTGAAGTGGCCAAAAATCCGAGTTTGTTTCAGGTTGCGGCAGTAATTGACCCGTTCTCTTTGATCATTTTCCAACGTTTGAAATTGAATATCACCAAAATCATTCATTTCCTGCAATTTCCTACAATTTCCCGTAATTTCCTGTAGCCACTATTTCACTAGCTTAAGTAACTCTAAATGTAGCAATGATCAAATCCATCGCTACATTCAAATGATGAGCACTTGTTCGTGAACTTACCAAGTTAATGATCATTCATTGCCTCACGCTGTGGCTTATTTCTTTCATTGAAGTAAGCGAAGCATTTAAGTTGACGGGTCCAATAGTTTTGGTTGGGTTCAGTAAGTTATGCAGGGATTCTAATTATAACCCACCAGTGCATTGAGATTCTTGAGATAAGGGTCGATATGTTGCAGAGTGAGATAACCCTGGTGGAAGAAGGAGTAGAAGGAGTACATCAGATGTAGGAACTGAAATAAGAAGTTAATTAGTTTAATTAGTTTGAAGGAACTGAAATAAGAAGTTAATTAGTTTAATTAGTTTGGTATGTTATCAGGTATGGGCTATGGCCATAAAACGAACTGATAATTCATTTCATAAATATACTTCAAGAACTGTGTGTGTGTGAACTGGCAACCTTGTCTAATTATTGACATTTATACCATGAATAAACATGTTTTCATACATGTTTATATACTTCATTCATATTATGAATGTAAATTATTAAACACGATAATGTGATGAAGTTTATAAACATCAGTACATTATCATGACTCAGTTAACAATATACGTTAAGGTAAAAAGTAAATAAAAGTAAATAAAAATAGAAAATAAATAAATTAAAGTAGCGTATTAATAGAAACCTTGTCAGTAACCAGGAATTGTTTTCCTAGTTGTAGTTTGTTTATCTCGTGAACGTAGTCCACTGAAGTATGGTGGAACTCTACTTTTATGGAGGATAGTGTCGCCAGACTATTCTGAGGGGAGTAACACAGATATTGAGACAAAATATACAAACTTGACAGAAACATCTTATACCGATAAAATTGATTTACTGAGAATCATGTTTCTGTAAGATTGAAAGTTTCAAGAAGACGTACTATTGCGTCAATGGTGTCATCCTTTTTCTTCGGGATCTTGGCTGAGTTAGTATTTAGTGCCCTGAAAACATAAACGATAAAAATAAAGTCACTTCAACAATACCGTTAAAAACCGACACTTCAAGTTTCTCTGGCACGAATTCAGATATTATGTCCTACCAATGACATATTTGACATGCTTCAGTGTAAATTGTAAACTGACAAGTGTTATTACAAGTCATCCTCCAAAATATATAACCAGTGCTCTGTTCACATATCCCTCCCGTATAATTCCGGTCCGAAAATAACACAGAATGTTCCAATGACGAGATGGTCGGATAAGATCATCATCATCATGTGAGTTGTAGAATAGAATGGGATCGGAAACTTAGTAATTAGGATAATTATATTTATAAAATGTATAAGTCTACTGTAGATAGATTTACTCGTTCTTTTCTGTAGGGGACCAATCTTCTAAAACTAATTTTCAGTGAAAACTAGACCGGTTACAGTTCTTAACTTTGCCTATCTTTAAAGAGATAGTCTACACAAGTGCACAGTTGAGTAGCTGATATACTGACGTGATGATAGGACTAACTAGCTAACTAGTCACATATTCACATATTCACATATTATTCACATAATATCATGTCCACAGCAATAAACACATTGCAGCAGGTAATACAATATCTGGCTTGCAACTCATTAGAATTAGAATTAAATTTACACAGCAATACAATAAGAATACAAATAATTTAAAGAAGCTTCAAACTGCTGTGCAGGACATTCAAGTCAGTCACTACTTGTAGCATGTCATTGTACTAACGTCTAACTTGTAGAGCTGTCGGCGCCTACTTTAAAAAGTAGACCTGCAAACTGCATGCAAAATTGCTAAATTCCAGAGTTCAGTTTTAAGTAGGTGATAGGCTTATTAGGCATGTGAATATTTGTTATAAGAATTAGGATGTAAGTGACGGTGATAAGCATTTAGAGCCTCTTCAGTCTTCGACTATTGATACCCATTACCCAAGTTTATTTTTATTGTGAACCGATTTATTCCTTGATTCTTTTGTCCCCCCTGAATATTGCAAATGTTAAACTTACGTGTCAAGCTCGTCACTTTTCTCCTTGAACGCTTTGCGGTGGAGCTTCACCTCTTTTAACATCCTGTTATAGTAGAACATTAGACTAGGCCAACAATCGGAACCCTTTGCATCAAGCGTACACTATTTTCATATCAAGTGTACACGTATTTCCATGAAATCCAAGCAACCCCTATTTCAATCAGGGCCTTTTAGCAAACCTTAGTAGTTTGTAAGCCAATTTATAGACACTAGACTTTTAAAAGTTTATCATAATATTAATATTTGTAGTTGTAATACAGTATTCCGGAACGGCGAATTCCTCGGTATTCGCAAATATAAATATTAGAGGTACAAAGGAATATTGTTAAGCTCAGGATATCTTCTTGCCAAGAATAAAATATTATGCCATTTCACATTGAAATTTTGCCAAGTAATTATCTATGACATTATCAACTCCTACTACATGATCTAACACTATATTGAGGACCGTGTATATTACATTACACACTGCTATTATCTTAGGGCGGTAGCTTATATAGGTAGTAGTACTACCTAGTAGTATATTGTAGGTACTCATCGTTCAAAATGGTGAAATTGCAAGAATGGAATTATTGTGAACCCCATTACCAACCAGGAAGATGATCATGAGCTCGATGCGGACATAACGCTAATTATTATATCATAATGACGAATAGTATGACGTGTTTGAAATGGTTCTAAAATCACTTACATGTACACTCTCGAAAGTATTGACCCCGATCCTACATTTTGGAGTTGTGCCAACAAGGACACGATAACAAAGATATATCACATTTTCAGTATCTGAAAACTGTAAACTTACTTTTTCATTTCCTCGATCATTGAAGACAGGATGCTTCTCTTGGCTTGTTCCAACAGCATCTGAAACCAATTTTGCTGTAATTTTTATGAGTAAATGTAATTGCAGGGATTTTAATCATCAACTGAGACACACAAATTGTTTAATTATTTTAAATAGTGTAGCCCCTTTTCCCTTACCTCAATATTTTTTAAATATTATTACAATTATATATCGATATTATGTTAATATTATGCCTCAATACAAGAATATGTACTTTATGATTGTTATATTATGTAATATAAGGAGCGACAAATATAACTGAAGATCGAGATAAAACGGTGTATTTTTAATTTGCCTTGTCATCACCCTTCTCTTCCACTTTGACAAATGTTGACATCACCACCCAAAGACGGCTGACCCAGAATAATTTGGGTGGTGATGTATTAATTATTAACCAATATGTATATTAATTATTTACCGAGTAGAACGATTTGATTTCTTCAAGATGTTCAGAAAAGGTTGTGTACGCATCCTTGATCTCTTCATCAGCTTTGAAATGCTCAGCTAAATCAGAAATACCTTCCGTGAACGGACTGCAAGAAAATACTGCTTGAAACACGAAGTTTGTTAAATTATACATGACTGAAGTAGTCTACACATGAACAATTTTGTCCAATGATTAAAAGTTGCTGACCGCTGTTTTGAAATTATCTGGAAACCCAAGCAGTAAAAATTCTAAAATGAAAATTCCCAAAGTAAACTAACCCCATACTGTCACAGAACGCCTTTCCAGTGTCACAAAATGTCTTGCAGCCCTTTGAGACCTGTAGAAGGACGAGGCATTAACCGCACTATTACTAACATAAAATTTTAATAATTTTTGAAATAACATCAATACACTGATCAATGTTCACTTTAACAAACCTTTTCTAAGATAGCCTCTAAGTCATTGATGTCTTTCTCTTGTTCTTCGATAACCCATCTGAATGATGGCTTATCAGCCAAGCTGTCTTCTACAGTTAATAGGTCAATCATTATTCATATATGACTTTCATGGCCATCCTTGATACCTGAGTGGAATGTTTTTTTTAATTTCTTGTAAAAATAAAGAGACAAGTTGAGAAATGAAATGAGAATAAAAATAAAAAGGATAACACACTAAACTGAATTTGAAGATTTATAGAAAATGTTTATACAGTAAAACTCTGATTTACCGCTGACTTTGGGGAAAGGAAAAACCCACAGTCAATCGGGTTTGCGGTAAATCAGATATTTTAGATAATTTCACGAATATACTTAGCACGAGCTAAAAGCCCAACTGATCTAATAAGTTCGCCTTCAATCTTGGCTATTGTAATAATCACGTCCTGACTACCTACTCCAGTAGCAGGGAGGAGTTGAGTGTGCACTTCGATGTACAGAGTTTTTTGCTGCCGAATCGGGTTAAATAGGTCATTGGTAACTCAAAAAATCGAGGGCCGCATGTTGTGTCGCTAGTCCCAACCCTGTGGAGCCACGCCCATATTTCATATCAGGTGCGTATATGGGAAATATGTATCTCAGCTTCTGAAGGTCTTAGAGACTTAAACTTGAGTTTAAAATGACCGCAATACACATGTTTATATTGGTACTATGAAGGTCATGAAAGCCCAAAATGCCTATTTTTGGAAAAAATTCAGAAAAACCAATTTTCACTTGGGCGCGAGTAAAAATCTACACTAGAAATTGAGTGAAAATCGAGTAAGCAGTTCAGTGTCTACAACATTTCTAAACACAGGGTCCTCTGTTAGGTCATTCTTAATCAGAATTGATAAAGTAAGCAAATTTTATTAGTAGTTTCAACCCTGTGGAGCCACGCCCATATTTCATATTATGTGCGAATATCGGAAATTTGTATCTCAGCTTCTGAAGGTCTTAGAGACTCAAAGGTGGGCTTAAAATGACCGCAATGTACATGTTTATATTGGCACTACGAGGGTCATGAAGGCCCAGAATGCTTATTTTTTGGAAAAATTCAGTAAAACCGATTTTCAAGTTTGCGACACTTGGGCGTGAGTAAAAATCGACGCTTAGAAGTTAAGTGAAATCGAGTATGAAGTTCAGTGTCTGCAACGTTTCTAAACACAGGATCCTTTGTAAGGTCATTCTGAATCAGAATTGATAAGGTACGCAAATTCTATGAGTAGTTTCAACCCTAGGGAGCAAAACTCCTAAATTACCCCCAGGCGCAAATATATGACTTTTCTATCTCGGCTTCTGAACGTTGTAGGGGCCTCTCTTTGAGCGCAAACTAACTACGATGGCCACGTTTATATACCAACTGTAAAGAAACATAGGGTCTATACTCTATAGTGCTTAGTTTTTAAAAACTCATTAAAAACTGTTTTAACCTTCATGCATCATAAAATAGTAACATCAAACATGTGCTTAATTATGGTATCTCGGGCTAAAAAAGTCTTATAGACATTTCCAGCACAGTAAAACGTTCAACATGAACACATTCGGATAACATTTATGGAGCAGCACATACCACCTAACTTTAATTAGGTGGTATGTGAGAGTTAGACTCTCACTTCGTCAACTACAATTCAAAATAACTTTAATTTTGGTATAACTGCGAAAATACTCAGTTTCAGAAGCTCCTTCCAGCTATCTTAGGCTGCCACCAGCTCCCTCTCTGGGACTCTCTCCAGTACTGCTTGGCTATTATGGCTAATCAACTTGAATCCAACCTCATGTAGTAGAATCTACTTCTAGTTACCTTCTGCTAAGTCCATGTCAACTCTACCCAGCTACCACCACCAATATGTTATAATTTTAGATCTTTCTAGCAACTTCTGATATGAGTGCTACCTCTTCCTCTATCCAGCTACTATACCACCAGATGGCAGAAACCACCAATTCCAGCTGTCTCCACCTACTTCGGCTACCTCTATTTAGCTACTACCAAGGTTCCTCCAACTTCTGCTATTTCTAGCAACTTTAGCTTAGGGTAGTGGGCTACTTCTTGCCCTGTCTAGCAACCATCAGCAACATTTTATTCTGGCGTTTAGAGGTTGCTAGAAACAGCAAATTTCCTCTTCCTTAATAAGCTAGAAATTGTTGGATGCAGCAGAGGTTATACAGCACTCATATCAGAGGTTGCTAGAAAGATCTAAAATTATAACATATTGGTGGTGGTAGCTGGGTAGAGTTGACATGGACTTAGCAGAAGGTAACTAGAAGTAGATTCTACTACATGAGGTTGGATTCAAGTTGATTAGCCATAATAGCCAAGCAGTACTGGAGAGAGTCCCAGAGAGGGAGCTGGTGGCAGCCTAAGATAGCTGGAAGGAGCTTCTGAAACTGAGTATTTTCGCAGTTATACCAAAATTAAAGTTATTTTGAATTGTAGTTGACGAAGTGAGAGTCTAACTCTCACATACCACCTAATTAAAGTTAGGTGGTATGTGCTGCTCCATAAATGTTATCCGAATGTGTTCATGTTGAACGTTTTACTGTGCTGGAAATGTCTATAAGACTTTTTTAGCCCGAGATACCATAATTAAGTACATGTTTGATGTTACTATTTTATGATGCATGAAGGTTAAAACAGTTTTTAATGAGTTTTTAAAAACTAAGCACTATAGAGTATAGACCCTATGTTTCTTTACAGTTGGTATATAAATGTGGCCATCGTAGTTAGTTTGCGCTCAAAGAGAGGCCCCTACAACGTTCAGAAGCCGAGATAGAAAAGTCATATATTTGCGCCTGGGGGTAATTTAGGAGTTTTGCTCCCTAGGGTTGAAACTACTCATAGAATTTGCGTACCTTATCAATTCTGATTCAGAATGACCTTACAAAGGATCCTGTGTTTAGAAACGTTGCAGACACTGAACTTCATACTCGATTTCACTTAACTTCTAAGCGTCGATTTTTACTCACGCCCAAGTGTCGCAAACTTGAAAATCGGTTTTACTGAATTTTTCCAAAAAATAAGCATTCTGGGCCTTCATGACCCTCGTAGTGCCAATATAAACATGTACATTGCGGTCATTTTAAGCCCACCTTTGAGTCTCTAAGACCTTCAGAAGCTGAGATACAAATTTCCGATATTCGCACATAATATGAAATATGGGCGTGGCTCCACAGGGTTGAAACTACTAATAAAATTTGCTTACTTTATCAATTCTGATTTAGAATGACCTAACAGAGGACCCTGTGTTTAGAAATGTTGTAGACACTGAACTGCTTACTCGATTTTCACTCAATTTCTAGTGTAGATTTTTTACTCGCGCCCAAGTGAAAATTGGTTTTTCTGAATTTTTTCCAAAAATAAGCATTTTGGGCTTTCATGACCTTCATAGTACCAATATAAACATGTGTATTGCGGTCATTTTAAACTCAAGTTTAAGTCTCTAAGACCTTCAGAAGCTGAGATACATATTTCCCATATACGCACCTGATATGAAATATGGGCGTGGCTCCACAGGGTTGGGACTAGCGACACAACATGCGGCCCTCGATTTTTTGAGTTACCAATGACCTATTTAACCCGATTCGGCAGCAAAAAACTCTGTACATCGAAGTGCACACTCAACTCCTCCCTGCTACTGGAGTAACCATAAGGGATCACGTATGAAGTTGAGAATCACCTTACTCTAAACCAGTGGCGTAACGAAGGGCCCCGCTGACCCCGCTGGGCGGGGGGGGGGGGGGGGGGCTCGAGGGGGGGCGCCGTCTTAGGGGGCGCCAAATTCGTCGTTTGTGGGAATAATAATAATAATAATTCTATACTGTTACATAATTTAAAAATTATGGCCCCTTATTGTGGGCAGAGTATGTGTCTTTATTTAAGTGTCCTGATTTAAAAATCATCTGAGTGACTGCATTGAAATAATTTAAAGAGAGTACCATAAAAACGTTAAAACAAAAGGAGTAACAACTAGAACATACTTATATTAATATCAACATTAGAACAAAATACAGTCACCTAATTCTCTTCTCCTACGGTTGAGTATAGAGGAACCATCTTTGGCGTGTATAATAATAAATAATAATTTAAACTTATAGATTATAGTGGCACAACAACTTAAAATGCACAGGTGTGCCACGAAAACAAGTCAGGATACAAGAAAACCTGAAAAGCAATCCACATTTAGGTTCCAAACCATAGAAAATTGTAAAGACTTGATACACTAAATTACAAGGTTAAGGGTATGCACTTAACAGTAGAAACGTTGAAAAAGTATAAAATTAATTAATATCAAAAGCACGTTTAAAAAGAAAGGTTTTCAGATACACTTTAAAAGATTCCAGTGACATGCAATTCTTAATTTCAAGAGGCAGCTCATTCCATAATTTAGGGCCAACTTTCTGAAACGATCTTTCTCCATACTGTGAATATACTCTTGGTTCAGTCAAATAGATAAGATGATTATAATTGGCATATTTAAACATATCACTTAAATAATCTGGTCCCATACCATTAAGACATTTATAGACAAGAAGCAATAACTTATATTGAATTCTGTAACTAATAGGCAGCCAATGAAGGTTTTCCAGAGTGTCTCCTAGATGATCATATTTATATAGTCCTACTATAGCTTTAGCAGCTGCATTCTGAACGAGTTGGAGTTGGTGGATGAGGTTGTCACTAATTCCATAATAAAGAGCATTGCAGTAGTCCAATTTGCAGACAATGATGCTGTTAATTATAAGCTTGAGCTGAGCTTTACTAAAGAGATATTTTCTCCTCATTACATTCCTAAGGAGTCTGAAACAGTGCTTTTTGAGGGACATGATTTGAGGCTCAAAAGTAAGATGATGGTCAATTTGAACACCAAGGTTCTTTGTTGTGCTGACAAATCTGATACAGGTATCATTTGATAGCTTAACTCCCCCTATACTGACCTGGTTTAGAACTTGAGGTGAGGCGATGATAAGTATTTGTGTTTTTCCAGGATTAAGTTGAAGGCAATATTCAACCATCCAGCGCTGTATGGTCCTAGCGCAATTCACAATTTGGATGCCCAGAACATTTACCTGATCACAAGGTTTGAAAGTTTTATAGACCTGGTGGTCATCTGCATATCCTTGCACATTGAATCCAGATTTCTCGATGGTCCTATACAGAGATCTGATGTATATGTTGAATAGCACCGGTCCTAACACAGAACCTTGAGGTACACCAAATTCTAGAATGATCGTATCACTAGTAGAAGAGCCTATTCTGGTTCTTTGAGTGCGGCCTACCAGGAAACTCTTGAACCATTTAAGAGCAGTACCTCCGATATGGATCTCTTCAGAAAGAATTTTGAGTAATTTTCTGTGTTCCACTGTGTCAAAGGCTGCAGATAAATCGAGCATCATGAGAACAGTGGAGGATTTGCTATCACATGCCAGCAGTAGGTCATTTGTTACTTTTAACAAGATGGTCTCAGTAGAATGGAACTTCTTATAGGCAGATTGCTGTGGAACATTGAGATCATTTTTAGCCAGATGTTCATTTAACCTTTTCAGCACAACTCTCTCGATGAGTTTACCCAGAAAAGAGAGGTTAGATATAGGTCGATAGCTCTTGAAGTCATTTGGATCAAGTTTGTGGTCTTTGATGGTAGGAATAATATCAGCAGTCTTCAAACCGTCGAATGTGCCCTTAGCTAGAGACTGGTTGACCAGTTTGCACAAGACAGGAATGAAACTTGTGATATTGTCTTTGAGGACAGTTGTTGGAAGAAAATCAGATGGTGCACACTTGATTCCACTTTCTTTGATTATTTCAGACAGCTCATTCTCTGTGCATGGTTCAAATTCATATAACCGACCTTCACAGTTGGAATTGTTCTGTTGATTCATAATGTGTTTATCAACATCAAAATCTTCTATGCTGGGGAAATCTTTCCTAATGTTCTTGATCTTTTCATTGAAATAGTGATTAAAATCACTGCAAAGTTTTGAAACATCTTCTGATTCTGGGAGAGGAGTATTCTGATGTCTGTCAAGCTCACGATTGACAATGCTATATATAGCTTTAACATCATGCTGATTTTTGTCAAGTAAACCTTTATAATACTGTTGTTTTTTAAGATTAGCCATGTTTGTTGTTTCATCTCGGATCTCTTCAAAGAGTATCCTGTTCTCCTCACTTTTATGCTTAGTTCTCTCGGCTTTCCTTCTAAGTTTCCTTTGATCTTTGTACTCAGAATCAAACCAGGGAGCATGGGGAACAAAGCTTATAGTCTTTTGGACCAAAGGTGCATGTTCATCGAGGACACTACCAATGCATTGGAAAAATTGTTCACAAGATTCAACAAAGCAGTCTGCCAATTCATAGTCAGAGGAACACATCAGTAAATCAATCGCCAACTGATCACAATCCACGGTTTTAAGCTGTCTAGTGTTGATTGTTTTAGGAGCTTTGAGGTTAGTTTGAAACTTCTTGGTGGCAAATATGATGGGGAAGTGATCACTCAGGGTACAGTTTTTCAGGATTTCAATTGTAGACGTTTCAATCAAGTTACTCTGGTCAAAGAGCAGGTCAATAGTTCCTCCACTCACGTGGGTCGGATTTTCAATAAGTTGCTTGAAACCATAAGATGAGGTGGTCTGCAGCAGTTCAGTTGAGTTTACAGTAATTGACTCTGTGTGAATATTGAAATCTCCTCCAATTATTATATAGTCACTTTTCAGACTTGCAGAACCCAATAAGTCATCAAGTTCCTCAAAGAACTTCTTTGAGACAGGGCCAGTTCGATAGATGCATAGGATAAGGATCTTCATGTCAGGAGTGCACTTTATAGATCCAGCGATGAATTCAAAGGTTGTCAGGTTCGGAACTTTCAAATTAACAACAGAGAAATGTAATGCCATGTTGTAAATCAGAGCAGTGCCACCACCTCTGTTGTTTGCTCTGAAATCATGAACAATACTGTAGCCATATGATTTTATAACTGCTGTTGTAGTATTGGCTTGGTCAGATAACCATGTTTCAGTTACAATAGCAACGTCTACATCATGGTCTTGAAGTAAGCACATAATGTCGTCACACTTATTATTAAGACTTCTAGCATTCCAGATCATATATCGAAGTTGATGCAATTTCTTTGGTTTGGAGGAAACTAGTTTTTTGAATAATAAGATAGGGAGGCTTTAAGTTTCTCTTGCTGAACCCGGTAAGAAGGACACTCAGTAGAAAATGCAGCATGTTTACATAAATCATCAGGTGAGCCAGACTTTTTGCAGTTGATACAACAGTATGTGGGCATTAGATCATTTTTCTCCTCTGAATTGTTGTCCTTATTATCACATTGTTGAGTTTCATGTCCAGGGGCGGCGCAAAAACCACAATACACTTCGTTTTTACAAGTCTTAGAATAGTGACCAAAGCCTTGACACTTGTTACATCTCTTTATGTAAAGTTGGTCATACACTTGGCAAGACAGTAAACCGAAGAACAACCTGTTATTATTATCTCGTATAGCAATTCTAATATTATCACTCAACCTTATGATGGCTTGTTTGATATTTTGGTTTGCACGGAGAGGTTTCACAGACAGAACATCAAACAGTGAAGAGTCTGCTTTGAGGCATTGAGAAATGTAAGGATTTTGCTTCAGGATGGTGTTCCTTATCTCTTCTTTGTGATCTCTATTAAAATCCTTAGGTAGACCAACAACTGAGATAGTGGGATATCTTTGCTTTGGTTCTTTCAGTTGATTAGCAGCTATACCTGATGATATCAGCTCTGTCTTCAGATTATCTCGTGAAGCTTGGGTTGGTAGTATGAGTACTTGATCACCATTACTATCAACATATTGCTTATGAACCTGGATTCCGTTATCAACCACTGTTTTTTCTAGATCTTTACATGGAACATTAGCACCTTTTGTAACAACCAGCAAGGATTTTGTTCTTATTTCATCAAGCCACACGTTCTCACCCTGATCAGTAGCTGGTTTCAAGGTACACTGTGCTTTGGCTATCGAGATGAGATTATCAACAGGGGAATGGTTAATAGATTTCCCAGCAATTACATTCTCCAATAATTTCTTAATCTCTGTAACATCACTAGCTAAGTGTGTTACTCGGTTGTCAAGTACCTGAACATGATCATTAGTTGTGCTAGTCTGCTTTACTTGATGATGTGTAAAGCAAGGATCACACATAAAGAGAAAGTTCCCCATATGTTGTTCTTTACTTTTGTTAGAACTGTTTTGTACAAAAGCTGTGTAGAAAGACTTGGTACAGGGATTATTAGGCATTGACTTAGACTTGGGCCTAGCACTGTTTGAGTCATTTGAAACAGGAGTCACACAGAGGGCATGAAACAACTTTTTACAATTGATACAACATACCGTTTCATCTTTAACTTGGGCTTTTTCAACTGCACAGTTTGAACAAGTGCCATTTTCCTCAAGCTGTCGAGGATCTTTTAATACATTGTCATTATCCTGTAATGGTACATAATTCGAAGACACCGACCCGGCCACTTTAATTTCCATATGATCTATCTTTGGGGGCATCACAAGAAGATCCTGTTGGGGAGCAGGTCTTAAACTGTAGTCACGGGGGGTAGTGACAAAATTTGAGTAAGTGGCAGTTTAGGCGTCCTCAAATTATTTGTTATATAGTAGTGTTGAAAGTATTAAAACGTGTATTAGGGACTTAGGCCATTAAAAATACCCTGCTGTAAGTTTGCAAGGTATGTGGACTAAGTGGGTCGAGAGGGCTGCCAGACTTTGGGGCCGGAGTGATATGATCCACCGTATACGTCATCAAGTAATTAACATGCAAGCTTGAAGCTTGTGGCGTATAATTAGTGATGTGATCCATGGACCGAATACAACCGACCTAGAAATGGGCTAGATCTGGGGCAGAGCCCACATGACAACTCTGTACATAGAAGCTACGTTTGTGGGACAATTTCGAAAACTTAACTAAAGTACTAGCAAAACTGCGCATTTTGCTCTAGATACATACTTTTTTAGAGATTTTACCGTCGTATCCTCTATAATCACCCTTGAATTTGTTCAATTTTAGGGAGGGGCACCAAAAGGGGAGGGGTGCCAACAGGGGGGCGCTTTTTCGGCGGGGGCACCAACAGGCAACGTTACGCCACTGCTCTAAACGTGAACGTCTAATTGAGAAGTGATACAGATGCTAAAGAGGGGATACACTCTATTTCAGTTGCCAAACACTTTGAAATTGTAGGAACAAATGTTTGAGAGGTATAGAAGAAATAATCAAATATACATGTATAATATGGCTGCAGGGAGGCAGTGGTGTGACGAAGGGTTTACTGTATTAGAAATGACATTAAACATGTATTAATACAAAGTTTATTTCTGGGAATCACTTTTAAGAAAAACATGACTGCCAAAATTCAAAGAATGAAATTTATATTATTTAAATTTGTAGAATAAATCTATCTTTGCATCGGGGATGAGGATGAAACAATTCTGAAAATCTCACAACAAAAATTTATTTGTCATGACTATTTATATTCAATGAATCATTTTCAACAAGTATCTGTAGTATAGTATCTGTAGTATAGTACGTAGAAGACGTTAAAGGGGCTTATCTGCTTGATACATAATAACTTCCGCTGAAAAACTGATGATTTTTGTTTTCAAAATAATAACCGAAATTGAGTCAATAATATAGGTTCTGTTTTAAAAATTTCATGGTAGCGCTCGATTTTCATATTTTAAAAAATGCAACAGCCCAAAAAAGTTTTTTTCAGTCGCTCCAACTACTTGTTTTAGCAATGTTTCATTGTAAAATACTATAATTGATAATTGAACAGCATGTGATAAATAAACTTAATAAATTGTGTTAGTAACTATATTATATTGCTTGTATTATATTGCTTGTAGGTTTACAACCTACCAGGACGCGCGCCGAGTTGGACTCGTCGACGGTCCAATATATGGAACAAATATTTTACGAGTATCACCCGTTAATATATTGCGAGCAGCTGTAATTTAAATACCACATGACAATTATGTTAACGGGTGATACTCGTAAAATATCTGTTCCATATAGGACCGTCGACGAGTCTTAATTGACGATGTCAATTCATGGCAGCTCGGCGCGGCACAGTAGCGCATCTCGCCGATCTAGCCAGGAATTGATGAATTCCAGCAAAATACGCGCCAAAAGACGCGCAGTTGCGGAGTGATGTCAACGATTACTTTACACACTGATATCACTAAAATTTGGCGTGACACACGTGTAATAGTAGAAATTACTAAGCAAGAAGTATACTTTCACAGGATTGACTTCGTGCAGTGATGGCAATGATTTCTTTAAGCACACCGATGTCATTATAATTTGGCGTAACCTGTGATATATATATAATAGTCTGAAAAGGAAAAACACATGGAGATTGTAGAAATTACTTAATTACTAGACAAGGAGTATACATTTACAGGATCGACTTCGTGCAAAAATTCAAGACGGTAATCACATTCGACCGAAAGAAACACGTAATATAATAGATTCGTTCAGACCCATGATATACTTTTTCCTCAGCAAGGGTGTACACTTAAGACAACAGGACCATTAACCTTGCGCAAGTTTGTACAATACATTATAATAATAACAAATTATTAATCTCATCTCGGTAACTTTTTAAACGTTCATGAAGGCAGTTTTTGACAGAATGGCAACTTTACTTGTTATCAGTGTTCATTGTCATGTTAAAGGTTTCCTTTATACAAGTGGTAGCTTAGGCCAACTTAATTATACTGTGTCATGTGTCTTAACAGAGTATTTACTATTATTGTGCGGCAAGTATCAGTATTCATGCGGCAATGCAAGGAATAAAAGCAAAAGAATCACGATGTTAATTGTTCACTCTCCGATCTAGCGCACCCTGACAGAACAGACTGTCCTTGCATGGTTTTACCATTACAACATGATGAATTAGGTAAAACTATAGCCGAGCACTCCCCCAGCAAAAACGTGACCAATGCAATTCAATGTAATTCCACCATATCTATCAATCGTGTTAATGATTACAAAAGCCCGAGGTCCACCGGTAAATATAATCAAGTGGAAAAAGGTTGTAGACATATCACAAAATCTATGTTAACTTAGATATTCTAATAATTGGGAATAATTTGATTACATACTTTAAAGAGAACAGTAACCCTGGTCATTAGAAACACCCCTAAAAGTTCGTTTTTTGACAAAAAATTTAAAACTTCTGTAATTTCATTTCTGTTTTAGTTACGAGTTCTGCCAGGAGTTTTCCGTCGAAATTTTTCTGTCTGACATTGGACGTTAAGTCTCTTTTGATCTTTGCTGCTTGCTCTGATCGGATTGAGGCTCTGTGACGACGTGCAGTGGACTTTGAGAGAGAGATAACAGCCTCATATCCCCGTATCTTCACCGAGCATTGCGATGCAGTGTCTCCTCGAACCGTCACTGAGGGAAAGAAATGTTCACAAATCTGATTTATTTTTCAATAAATAATGAACATGCAATATACATGAAGGTTTTAACAAACAGGGTTCAAGCCAGGCAGCATGGTTGAATAGTGAATAGTAATACCTGATAGTGAGAGAAACAACTGCACCAAGACTGAAGACGAATGAACTCCGTAAATTTCTGGCCGAAAATAAATCGTCTTTGCAAATTGTAGATCCCCTCCTAAAAATATAATCTATATTTAAGAGATGTAAAAAATTACCCCATACGTTTGGTCTTATGGCATAGCCATTCTTTATTAGTTTATATAATATGTTTAGCGTAAAAACATCGATTAGATCAGGTACTAAGTTCTGTACGTGACATCGACTAAGTATAATTTTGGAATTTAGTCAAAAACCCACCCACCGACCCTTCTGAGGTATTAAATGTTGAGAAATCACGGTACTAACTGTGTCTTAGTATATAAACAGCTTTAAACAGCTCATTAAACAGTGGGAAAATTATACCCACTAGGGGTTTTGTTTTCAATGTAGTCGAATTAGATGAAATAAAAAGTTACAAAAACAGGAATAAACTCAAAATCCCAAAAATACTCAAAATTGAAATTAGAGGTGAAATGGGTTTTTTGGGCTTAGTACCATGTGCCTGTTTTTCTGGGAAATGTGCCATGTAATAACTGTGTTTTGGAAGAAAATATGACCCACCCCAACGTCACCTACGGTACTAAGTGTATCCCCCCCCCCCCCCCCCCCCCCCCCGATTACAATCTAGCGATTGTACCAATACAAGTGTGTGGCTATATTGATTGATCCATGTCACGTGTCATTTGTATATAATATGATCTCTTAAAACTATTAATACTACATTCGAAGTGTTCTAAACAGTAAACATCCTTCATTCGTGTTTATTAAATTTTCGGCGAAATAACCACCGAAAAACAGTTCACTTTACCGTCTGTACTTGAAAATTCACGGGACGAACTTATGAATATATCGAAGTTCCGGTGTTGTGTTATAGTGATTTATGGACCGTTCACATAATACGTTATCAACACAGAGTCAGTATTACTAATTATTATCGAAATATATTATACGACTGAAAGATCAAGCCGTCTTAAATCCTGAGACAAAAGATTTAACGGAAGCTTCCTGAAAAAATCACACATTGAATAATTAAGCTTTACTGGGCCGCGCTCAGCCTGTCATTCCGCCAAATCTTTATTATGTTAATGAACATAATAGCCTGGGGTCCTCAGGTTACTGGAATCTTTAATGTTAATGAACATAATAGCCTGGGGTCCTCAGGTAAAATTAAGCTAAATAACGATACAGTTAATTCCCCCCCCCCCCCCCCCCCCCCCCCGCCCCATCGGCTGATTAAGTAACATATGTCAACACCCCGGCCCCTCAGTACGCCGGTGATAAAAACCGGAAGAGAAGCGCGGACAAACTTAGAAAGAACTGCTGAAAGAAGTGTATTTTATATTAAAACTGGTGTATTATAACTGATGTATAATTCTGTCCGTGACCCAGAACGTGATCTGAGCCGCGCGCACGTGCTACAACAGAGCTGAGTCAGCTCCGAGCTGAGTGTAGATAACTGATTTGAGTGACACACTAACTATTCAATTTTAACTGTTTAGAGAGATTTTCAAAGAACGTTCCATGGTTCCTAGAATACCAAATAAAAGATTCGAAATGTAGCATACAGTGAATATGTCCCTATAAAACATTGTAATGTAGATTATTATTATCGACAATATAGGCAGTCGGCAGAGTGAATGAGTTCAGCCATCTACAGATTATCGGGAGACCCCCGAATTGCCCGTATCCATGGAAACGTAAAAAATACTTAGACGTCGCTCAATCTTTCGCAGGTAAGTTTAAGGCATATCTTTTCTAAAACGGAAGAAAGACTGATTGTTTTAGTTCCATCCAGTTAAACCCAATTGTCAAGCGACAAAATATTTATGAATGTGCTAGAACCTGGTGTCCCTATATATGTAGACGAGATTATTTGTGAATTATTTTTACGACTATGATCATTTTCTCAGACTGTCAAAAGAGACAATTTTGAAAAAGCGTTGAAAGACCTCATGGATCAAATCAGCTTTGGATCAATGCCAGGGACAAAAGGATTTCGCGGTAATTTTGGCCAAAAATCGCGGCACCGCGACAAGCCAAACTAGGCTAATTCGCGGCTATTTCGCGGCGGGAATTCCGAAAATCGCGGCATATTCGCGGCAACAAATCGAAAAATCGCGGCAAATTCGCGGCAAAAAATAATGTATTTACAGTGCTTAGTTAGAGTTCACATATTCTTTGACTATTCTATTTGATCGGCTCATGTCCCATGAGGATATGATCTCATCATATGATGTGATACAGGCTGATGGGGGTCCATAACAACGAGTTACGAGAGCTACCATAACTTTGACATGATCTCAAATGTTGCAATGTCATACGTACTGTATGACGAATCTCGTTATCAATACTATATAACTTTCAACAGACGACAGGAGACATCATCATTCGACCATCTGCAATTCACAACGATAGCAATGGAATACTACGACCTTCTCAATCCTATTCCTCTATCCCTACCTAGCATCGAACCTCTACCCCTCGAAGCTTATATAAACCTTGACAACATCCTTTCCCCAGTCCCTTGCACGAACCTTCTTGAAGTTTTAACCACATCCCGTGGTAAGCCCATGGTTGTTCACGAAGACAACCTGTTTCAGCAACGATCGGAGCTGAAAAACAACATCAGTTACAGATGTAACCAATACCACGCGAGGAATGGAAATTGTCCTGCCACCATTACCACAGACAAGAACAGAAGTCTTCTTCTAAGTTTCAACGGGCCCCACAACCATCCGGACAGAAGCCCTAACAGTCTAGAGAAACATAAGAAAAGACATCGGCTGCACGTCACTTACAATACCAAGCAAATAACGATGACGTTATCGATGACGAAATATCTGACAAGTGACGATTCAATAACAACACTGATTTAACCTACTGTTCGATTTCCTAATCCATTGTATGTCTTCTGGTCAACTTTATGTCGTTTGGTCAAGTTTTGTATGTCTACTGGTCAACTTTATGTCGTCTGGTCAACTTTATGTCGTTTGGTCAAGTTTTATATGTCGTTTGGTCAACTTTATGTCGTCTGGTCAAGTTTTATATGTCTACTGGTCAACTTTATGTCGTCTGGTCAAGTTTTATATGTCTACTGGTCAACTTCCATATACGATCTCGGAAGTCAGACCTCTCCTTCGCAATACGAGCTCGGAAGCGGGAGCTCCGCCTTCAGATGTACGTATCAAGAATGACTCGGACAGAAAATTTTTTCAAAGTTTTTCTGGAAACTACTTTTGTTCATGTTTCATGCTACCCTGATCATTATGAGCCAAAAATATTTTTCCGGTTTTCAAAAGTCACACATACCCTTCGATACACGATATTGGACTCGAGGGCTCCCCTTGTAATGCGATCTCAGAAGGCAGGCCTCCCCTTCGCAATATGAGCTCGGAAGCGGGAGATCCGCCTTCAGATGTATGTATCGAGAATGACTCCGACCGAAAATTTTCTAAGTCAACATTTTTTCAAAGTTTTTCTGGAAACTACTTTTGTTCATGTTTCATGCTACCCTGATCATTATGAGCCAAAAATATTTTTTCGGTTTTCAAAAGTCACACATACCCTTCGATACACGATTTTGGACTCGAGGGCTCCCCTTGTAATGCGATCTCAGAAGGTAGGCCTCCCCTTCGCAATATGAGCTCGGAAGCGGGAGATCCGCCTTCAGAAGTATGTATCGAGAATGACTCTGACCGAAAATTTTCTAAGTCAAAATTTTTTCAAAGTTTTTCTGGAAACTACTTTTGTTCATGTTTCATGCTACCCTGATCATTATGAGCCGAAAAATTTTTTTCGTTTTTCAAAGGTCACACATACCCTTCGATACACGATATTGGACTCGAGGGCTCCCCTTGTAATGCGATCTCGGAAGGCAGGCCTCCCTGGCCTTTCGCAATATGAGCTCGGAAGCGGGAGCTCCGCCTTCACTTTCAGAGGTATGTTATATGTATCGAGAATGTACCTACAATCAGAACTCACGGAAGGCTGAAAATGTGATTGGTTTCATATACTTGTAGAAAACGTGACATTTGGCCCGCAGATTTTATGGAAAATACGCAAACTTGGTCCTCAGATTTTAAGGAAAATGCGCAAATTTGGTCCCCAGATTTAAAAGATAATGCACAAATTTGGTCTTCAGATTTAAAGATTTTTCGCGAAAAACTGAAAAAATCGCGATTTGTCGCGGAGAATGGGAGATTTCGCGGTCTGTCGCGGAAAACGTAAAAAATCGCGATTTGTCGCGGAGAAAGGGAAATTTCGCGGTTTCGTACATGCCGCGAAATCCTTTTGTCCCTGATCAATGCCGTTTCTCGATAATGACTTGACAGAGGGTATTATCAAATTGATTGTACAGGAGTGCCACAAAATCTGCTTTCCACAAGATTTGGATGCCTTGGTGTCGGGGTTGAGTGAGTCAACTAAATTGGACATCATGGAAATATTTTACGATATTTTTAGATTGAAGAAGGTCGACGGGATTTCGATGTAGTTATGTCTTACATCAGTCGCAAATACATTTGACATAATATTGGACACCCCCCTTAGTACCATGTACCTGTTTTTCTGGAAAATGTGCCATGTACTAACTGTGTTTTGGAAGAAAATATGACCACGGTACTAAGTATATGATCCCCCCCCCCCCCCCCCCGATGCTATCATGATTGCATAGAATTATGTACTGTGAATATGTTAAATTACAGCATTACCAAGTATAATTAGTTCATAGATCCACGCCCTACCTACCAAACTGTTACACAACATGAAGGCTTTGATTTGCTTCTAATTTAAGAGCTATAAAGTGTATGAGAAAAATCAACTATAACAGGTTTAGATGTTTACCTGAGTTCTGTATCGTTCGATAGCAACTCCATCTATACATCTAGTCAGCAAGCCATTACTGTACGTGTATTCCACCAGTACTTGCGATCCTCGTTGCAGCTTTCGCATGTTTTATGGGTCCAGCTTTCGCAGTTTATGGCTTCTACCTTGCGATTTCGTAGAAGGTAGACCATTTCTTGCTGTCACGGGCTAACTAAATGGCATAAGAACATTGAAGAGCGACCAAAGCAGCCTCATTCAGTGCTTTCTTCTTCGTTCTCTTCGTCAGTCCAAAGCAGTTGAGTAGAGCTGGTAACCCAATCTCTACCGTAAAGAGCTGAGCTTTCCAAACTCACCCGTCGATGCCAGCTCTAGCTGTTGTACCTTACTTATTTACGCACGACTTGGTCACCACAAGTCAGTTCTATCAGAACCACTTCTCTCTACAATTTCAGGTCTCTCGGATGTGTTGTAGATGTGTTGTATCGTGTCCTCGTCCCAGATCAGCATCCAGTCATTCGCCCTCTCAAACGGCATCTCCTTCCTCAACTTCAGCTCATCATAGCTCCCATTCTTCAACTTGAATCGTAACGATTATTTGTCGGAGGGCGTGGAAAATGCGGAATTGTAAGTCTTGAGTTGGTCTAGCAAGGCTCCAGCTATGACACGCAGAACGTTGTCATGCCTCCAGTTGTATCTCTTGGAGTTTCTTGCTACACTACAGACAGTAGACAGCCAGGATGTGGTTGATGTTGCACGTCTTCCTAAAGTTTCCTGTCCTCGAATAGCTTCACAGCTTCATATTAGCAGGGGTATTAGCCACATCATTTTGTCGAGTTTAGATGGAATTTAAGGAGAGCTGGGCTCATCTTGTAGTTGTAGATAAGGTTGTTCCAATAAAGTCTAATTGCGTTGTGTCTCCCATGTCAAGAACCTGCCCTGTACTACCTTGTTCACCGAGGAGGACTCATGTTTACATCTGAGTCCTCCTCGGTCTTTAGTTATTACTCCAAACAGCTCCTGGAAGTAGAGATCTCGCTCCCTAGCAGTCAGCTCCGTCGTATACGACCATTTTGAGCTGTTATTGTAGGCTTGTTATATAAGGCTTCTATACATCTAGTGTTATCACTGTTCTTTAAGGCGTGTCCCTTTGATACCTGAAGAGACTTGTATTAAACTAAATTGATAATTCATTGCGGTTATAATCATGATAGAAACTTTGATGAACCTATTAATTATATTATAGTATTATGATTATTATATAGTGCAATAAGAGTTTCTACCTTTTTAACCCTGCACTAAGCTAAAATATATTAATTAAATCTGAAAATCACTTAAAATCTTACCTAAAAATTGCAGTCTAGCCTGATTGCGACATCATTAGAAGAGAGAACTAATTGAAATCCAATTCAGCAACAGACAAGAAACCATACTTCCTGCAAATTTGGTAGTTATTTTTTATTTGAAAATTCAATTAATCATTATATATATAAATCAAGCGTTACATTTCAGCCATGCAAAATTACAATGACATATTTTGATATACTAAATGATAAATGGTACTGCAATATAAGTTGCTTAATGTTTGGCCGGATGACAACTAACGAGAAAAATAAACTTGATTAAATATAATAATTAATTCGGCTGAACCAACACATAGCAAGAGCCACATTAACGTTGGGGCCGTCGTAAAAGTCATGTCAACCTAGGAAATTGTTTCAGAGTATTTCTCTGATTCTGTCGTGTTGATCATCATTTCACAATGCCTCAGCCGTACTAAAACACAACCTACGATTTGAAAGGGCTCCCGTATGTTTGTTTTATGTGGGCAACATCGTAGAATACACACGCTATACACTATGGTTTCAGAGCGGATACTAATCTCATGCTGCAGTGTTAATAAGCATGAAAGTACAAAAGGTAACAAAATCTTATCGACTACACAAATTCAGGTTATTAAATGATAAAACAACTTCTTATCTACTTCAGCCCTAATGTCATAACTGATCACATATTATCTCACCACCTCCCTATATTTACAATATTTGACTGGGAAATTAGCAAGAACAAAAATATTCACAAGCACACTCAATATTATGACTATTATAAATCAAACACTGATAAATTTGCTGAAGTCTTGGGTAACAAACTAGACAAGAGGAAGTGTGTCAAACAGTATATATTCATTCAATTAAATCAAGTGATGCAATACAAACCAGACAATGAACCAATTATAGATTTTACTTACTTTCATGATATCTTTAAAAACAGCATTGACGAAACCTGCAAACTAGCTGTACCCAAAACCACTAAGCGCACTATCCAGAACAACCCCTAGATTACTGGCGGGATTATAGCCTCAGTAAACCACTGCCATGGACTGTATGATGACTGGGCGAAAGTCAGGAAAGTTAAGTGTAAACAAGGCGAAACTGACACAAAAGGGGGCACATGCCTGTGTTCTATCTGCTGTAATAAAAGATACCGTTATGATGACTACATATAGAAATATAGAAAGGCTCTAAAAAAGGTTCGTTAAAAGGCTGTATCTGAATATTATTCTGACAAGTTTCTTGAAACTCAGGGAACTCCAAGAAAACCTGGGAACTGATAAATAAAATTCGTGGCAAACAGAAACGTGATATCAGACCTATATTTACCATAGACAATGAAAAGATAACTGATCGCAGAGTTATAGCTAATGAATTCAATATAAGTATTTTGTATCCCTAGCATCTAACCTTAATGCAGCCTACACAGAACTAGGAGAGATACAAATAAATCAGCTTCCAAGTTTCTGTGACTTCTTACCTAAATCGAATAGAGCTAATATATATCTACATGACTGCTCACCTGAGGAGGCTAATATAATGTAACTTGCCCAAGCGATAATCATGTTATTGCATGACTCCTACATTTAGGCTGTGATTAAGAGGTAAATAGGGGTGTGATAACCTAAGACTAGGAGGGTACAAAATTACGGCCACGGTCCTTTTAAGTTTCGATTGTTTAATATTTAGCTGAAAATACGACACCGATAATAGGTAAATACCGATTAATTAACGATTGGTATTGGTCAATATACTCACCATGTATAATTAATCTCAGCAATAATGGATACTAATCCAAACAGCCGGCCTGGTAACATAGTAATGTATCTCTTGACATATATTAATGATATAGAAATACGATATTTTGGGGAAATATGTTATGATCGGCCTATGCTGCTCAGAAGTAGAACCTAAATAGTCGAACAAGCCTATTAAACCAATTTCAACATTCAACAACCATGCTACTTCATAAATCAATGATTGAAAATTGAAACATCAAAATTGGACAGTGATCTTGACTTACCCTTATTATAAGGGCCTTATACAATATATATATATATATGTACATATATTAAATCAGTTTCTGTATAAAAGCATTTAAACCGGCGTTGACAGTTTTGAAGTTCCTGTAAAAGAGGACATTAGTTTCTAGTAACTGAACTAACTTACACAAACTCAAACAAGTCAGTCGAGTTTCTGTATTTGCTTAATAAGCTGGTAATCGTACCGTTCCCAATGTAAATGAAAAAATTCCTGACCTTCAATTTGCTGAGTAATAGATCATACGGAATTAATGAATTAAATGGTTAAAGCCCAAGATTGCTTAATTACTACAAAACACAACAGGTTCTTAGTTCTAAAACGACAACTGTTCCATGTTCTATCAAAATTGAGAAGAAACGTAACTAAAGCTCAAAAGATAGATTCTTGATATCTCTTCTGTTACGAAAATCAGCTGGTTCATAAAATTAATAAAGAAGATTCGCATGCACGATTTAAAATAAAAGTAGAAACGTAATCGAAAGACAAACTGAACAAATGAGGATAATGTCTTGAAACGGGCTATATATAATAGTATAACGTAGCGCTCGACTCCAAATAGAATTCAAATAAAAATGCGCTCCGGTAGTTTCAACTCCCAGCAGCTGGGAGTTGGAAACCTGGAATTCACGTTACTGTCGCTGTGAGAAGCCTTATTGAGTGCGCGGCGCGGCACAGTAACGCATCGCGCTACAACGACGAGTCCAACTCGGCGCGCGTCCTGGTAGGTTGTAAACCTACAACAATTATGTAACTTAAAAATAAAACTTTACTGGAATAAAGCAATATTATCAAAATTTAGAATATAATAAAATGTCATACCCGTCGCTGTTAGCACATTATTTACTTTGCCCTCAAATATATTAATATTATTTATAATTTTATGATTGATGTTACCATTTACAATTAGTAAAACAATTTTTTTAGGAAAACAAATTTAAATTTTGGTATTTATTAATAACAATCAAAACATATCATATCATAAAAATAAAGCCGCGCGTTGGTTGACTGCCTCAGTAAGGTGAATAATTTAAGCTTGAAGGTGCCCTGCGCATTTACAGAACCTTATGCGGCGATCGCATATTCACGAGGACCTGTGAGCGCCAAAATTAATTTAAAGTTTCTAGAAATCATACATCACTACGAGTTACTCATGCTTTTGGATTATTAGAGTGCGGATTGTTAGGTATTTCATTCATTCATACTTTAATTGACGATGTCAATTCATGGCAGCTCGGCGCGGCACAGTAGCGCATTTCGCCGATCTAGCCAGCGCTGTGAGATAAGAAGCCTTATTAAGTGCGCGGCGCGGCACAGTAACGCATCGCGCTACAATTCATACTTAATCGGTTTAAAGCTGTATATTTAGAACTCACTATTGTTTAAACTACGAAAGCAGAACGTAGATAATGGACAATATACCGACGACAATACCAAAGACCCGAGTGCCGCATATGCATTGACTTTTCCGGATTTTTTTTAAACGTTAAAATTTAGTTGGGTATAATTTTTTGATTTATTGAGCTCAGTAAATCAAAAGATCTAAATTTTAATTTTTTTCAATTTGCTGACCCAAATTTTGTAAACTATTGGGCGACGTTCATAGTTCAGCCTTTTGTTCCGCCATTCATTCCGCCTCATTCATTAATGCAACAGCTAGCTTTTAGTTTTATATTGACCATTGTTAATGATCTGGCCCGGCGCGCGCTACTTCGTAGCTCGTGCCGTCGGGCCAACATTTTTTGTATCACGTTGCAACCCCCACGGTCGTTTCACTTTATCGTTCTGACGATACAGGGGGAGCCGCGCACTTCGTGCGCGGCGGGTCATACAACGTATGACAAAAGAAGAAAGCGGCGCGCGCTACTTCGAAGAAATTTAGACGAGTAACATCCGTCAAGTTTTATATTGTCAATTTTGATAAGTTTTGTTTACCCAGCTTTTTAGTTTAGGCTTTTTTATTTTCCGTATACTATATGCAGGTTCTCGAAAAGAGCGCCGCGCACAGAGACAGGAATATCTGGTCAATTTTTCTATCACGTCGTGACCACCACGATCGTTTCACTGTAGAGTTTCTACGATACAGGGGAGCCGCGCACTCGTGCACGGCGGGTCATACAACGTATGACAAAAAATGGTGTGTATTTTGTACATTTTTTAGTGTAAATTAATTTATTAATTTATCACTTAAACACGTATCACAAATTATTTTATTATAATAAAAAACTTTTGTGAAATGGTTATTTTGACTTTAAATATTTGAACTAAATATGAATTGATTGTGGGTATAAAATAAAATTTGTTTTACTAAAAAAATTTGTTTTACTAGTATACTACTATTAGTATAGTGCTATTTTTTAGTACACTCACGCTACAATGTAGATATATTGAAAGGGTATGAAAATATTTTTAGCCTTATGTCAGGGCGCCCCTTTATTTGACCCTCTATCACGGTTCACCGATCATTTGGCTAATTGCTAAGTTCAACTGGGGAGACATCAGAGGTGCGAGAAGGAACTTTGTTAACATAGATAGTCTAGATTTGAACTTGGACCCACAAGGCCAAGGGTGATATTCAAACGTTTCTCCCGATATTTGAGATAGGGAATATATTGAGTTTTTGAAGGGTCGGTTTTATATACAGGGTCACTGTGACATTATGTATATATACTGTTTAAAAAATGTTTATATTGAAAAATAAATAAAACTGAGGAGACATTACACAGGAAAACAAATTTTTTAGGAAAACAGATTTAAATTTTGGTATTTATTAATAACAATCAAAACATATCATATCATAAAAATAAAGCCACGCGTTGGTTGACTGCCTCAGTAAGGTGAATAACACAAAAGTGTAATTTCGCATAGATCCAACGGATCCTTAACCATCTTCCTAAACTAGGTGACACTAGGATTACAGCCCTGAACCCTGAAGTTTTGTCTTTCTTCTGCACAAAATGCCAAACCTACAACCATAACATACATGAAGCTTGACTGATTTAATGATATCGTAACACCCGTGTGTCGGATCTCTAATGAGAATCAGAATTATTATGTGGTTCGCCAAGAATTGTCTCCTACTCGGCCCATTATGAGAGTTTTATTGTTGAAATAGTTGTATTGCATTGGCATCAGCATGTCCATCCAACTTAAAAGTGGTTCAGCTTAAATGTTTTTCGAACTTCGAATTTCGACAAACAAGGGCCTAGAAGCAAACTTTCAAATATAGTTCGATCCCATACCACAGCTTGTTTCAAATTTTCAAAGAAAGTTATAACAATTGACCAATCAAAATCAATGCATTTGATAAGTTTTTAAGTTATGTATGACGTGAATATTATATTTAGGCATCATTTCAGGATGGGTAGTGGAATCTCGAAAAAGAAATCTAACATCATATGTGTTGGACTTGATAACAGTGGGAAATCTACAATTCTGAACAAGTTAAAATCAGACAAAGAGCAATCACATGACATTGTGCCTACTGTTGGATTTTCAGTTGAAAGCTTTTCAGCTTCCTCTATCAATTTCACTGTTTTCGATATGTCAGGTCAAGGGAAGTACAGGAATCTTTGGGAGGCCCATTACAACGATGTTGATGGTGTCATAATGGTTGTAGACAGTAGTGACAAACTGAGAATTGTCGTTGCTAAGGAAGAACTTGAAAATTTCTTGCAACACAATGATATAAAGAATAAAGGCATACCAATTCTTGTTTACAGCAACAAGATGGATGTGAGAGATTCCCTGTCTCCTTCACAAGTTTCCTTGAAGCTGGAGCTGGATCAAATAAGAAATAAACCTTGGCAGATATTTGGGAGTAATGCACTGACTGGAGAAAATTTAGGAGAAGGAGTCAACTGGTTAGCTGCACAAATACGTCAATATAGACTGAAACGACAATGAAAGTTATTGAAAGCTTTTCCTTCGGAATGCATTCAACAACCAAACTTAAATATTCAGTCTTTCCAAATCTTCCTCTTGTAAATATCCTTGTTACATTTTTCATGGTATCAAATCACAACTTCTGCCTATGATTCGATATGCAATATAGTTCTGTGTTATCATTTCAAACCTTTCTCACATTTTTAAATCATGGGTTGTGAATTTGTGATTAAGTCAATTAATAGATTTAGCTAGTGATGCAATTATTTCTGCCCTGAAGTATACTCTGTAAAATTATTTTATTCTATAATCAGTAAAATCATTATATTCTTGTTAATTGTATAAAATGTACAGTAAGTGATTCTTAGTGTGCAGCTATGATAAGACAACCATGAAAGTGTTAATAATATAACAAAGATTATTATAATTATGTAACATGTTTGTGTTTAGATTGTCAGATAATTGATTATAGTTACATGCATTAATTTATTTCATTGTTGTAAAAATGGTTTGTTTCCTGTTCTGAGTAGCTTTTGCTTTCTAGGTAGATTATCTTCCAGTAACCAATGCATGCGCATGGTTGGCTACTGGAAAGTGCTAGAATAGCCCTAGAAAAGAATTAGAATGGTTTTGAAATTTACCTTTAAATAGTATCTCATGATTTGTACCTTTTTTATAGTAATAACATTTATTAACTACTAAAGCTAATCTGCCAAATTCAGGACTCAGCAGTATGGGAAGCAGAATAAAGGAGAAAGAAATCTTGTATTTATGGAGGATAACATTATTTTTCAATATGGTCATAATGAATGGAGTCAATTCGTCAAGTTTCATTGTTACTGAAGACTTGTACACAAATGAAAACCCACCCTTTACCCTCCCTGTGTTTTACACAAACAGTATGGACTCCCCGATCTCTCTAAAATGTAAAACCGTTAATAGTAACAGCGGACTTACAGCTCAAACTGTGACATTACCAGTGGGTTCTAACCAGAAGGTTGATGTGGTGTTCTCTGGTAGCCTCACGATTTCTCTTCCTTTTGAAGTTTCTTGCTCAGTTGAAGACGAAACAGAAATACTGACTAAATCTATTGTATCAGACACTGAGAGAGTATTGGGATTGTGCCATTTAGACCAGTTATACGCTGACCCAACCACTGGTAAAGTAGAAATTCGCACAGCTGAAACTCAAGGTGATATAACTCTAAACTTTTGTTCATGTATTAATGTTGATGAAAAATCGATCCTTCTTTTTGATGACAAAGACACAGCTGAAGTTAGTAACGGTAACTGTGTTGGGCCAGTTTGCAAGTGCACTCTAAAATGCACTTACAATACTAATCAGTTTGTAAGTAGAGAACTGAAAGTTCTGAAACCTGTCCTCTACATAAAATCTTCATTCGAGAAACTTACACTCTTCAAGAACACATCAACCATTGCTGCCTTCACTTTTCCTCCTTCTAAAGATGCTCTTGAATGTTTTGCAAACAAAGTGGATGTTTCAGAAAGTACTTTTCTTGTTGGGGATGTAATCAAGAACGGTAACTTTAAAGATCTGGTATTGGAAGAGTCGCAGTCTGACCCTGGTGTGTACCACGTCTTTCCAAAGGACTCAGCTGTGCTATCAGGGGTATATGGGATAAAGTGCACTTCTGGCACAACTTCTGATACATTTGTGTTTGAATTTGACAATAGTGAAGCGAGCAATATTGTCGGAGAGAAAATTGACTTCGATGAGTATGTTTCTGTACCTTGTTCTTGTGATAAAACTCCAGGTTTCTGTGATCATCGGTGTTGTTGTGATTCAGATTGCTCAGATGTACAGGTACTTGTCTATTTCACTGCAAAGAGGTGTTATGTTCCGTCGAATACTACTGCCCCTAAAATACTAATAATCCAAGTGCTCCCAATAATTATTTATGTAACATTATAATTGTCTAAAATATGGCCGAATTTATTTCCCCTATCCCCAGGAAGAGTCGTTCAGCAGCTGTATCGAAGGACCTAAGGGAGGTGACCACACTGTTAGAATAACTCCGTCGTGTTCTGACGTCAGTAACGTCTCCCCCTGGGAACGAGCTTTGTGCATCAAGACTTCCAACTCTGCTTTTCTCGGCAGATACTTCAATTTTGTCAACCGAAGGTTACTATTTCACGAATTCTGATCACTCGAGCTTTCAAGCATGACTACATTATATTCAAAACATTATATATCAAAAGTCATATTTGTAGAAAATCGATTTTGGGACTCGAAACCTTCCAAAACCTTCCAAAACGGAAAACTAACAGAAAATTAGATCTTCCAATCCCAGTTTCACAGCGGAGAATGAGTGGGATGATAGCAACATCGCCGGTATACCCACATCATCGTCAAAATCTACAAAAGGATATCCAATCTTCACTCTCATTTCTCTAGATGAGAACACTGACGTGAAGGGTTTCCTCACCTTACCAGGTATTTGCTAATTTTTTTTCAATTTTGTTTTTGTTTTTCATTTACTTTGATCGAGGTTTTATACAGGAATATATTTTGGAAGATTTAATAACTTAAATTAATTAACGTCCAGAATAATTCCAGGTAGAGTAGGACGATCCTGCATCTCAGCTGACCCGTTAAAATTACTGGAGAACTCCCATGCTATTTGTAGTAGAGAGGTTACAGATAATTGCAATATGGAGTTTGGGGGAGCTTTCAGTGCCCGCTCTTACCTTAGTCCTACAGAACGTTCCGTCGATCCTTGCGGATGGTATGTGTTAACTTGTTCTCAATATTGTTAAAGTTATTTATCGGATATAATTATATAATGATCATCCTACTAAATCAGTGGCTCACAGGTCACACATTGTATTGTGTTTGTATATTAGAGCTTTAGCCACAGGTAGGTTGGTCTGCACGGAGCCCCACAGTTTCAATTCCTTGTTTAACTAGCCGTACAGCAAGGATATCCACTGTGCTCACCAGGTTAGGCACATAACCAACACTACCCTGCTAAAGTTAACTATATACTATGGTTTTCTCGAAAGTATTTCCTTGTATTTGACTTTTGTCAAGAAAGTACTCTTACTTTCGGTTCAGATGTTATATAAGCTAGCCTTTTATGTGATAATCATAGTACTTTTAAAACCGTCATTCCTTCGTTGTAATCATCACTCAAAACCTTTATCCCAAAACTCACTCAACTTTGGTTCCCTCTTATGACTGAACCCACCAACTTTGTACTATCAAGACATAGATAAATCACTACAATAATAATCACAGGTTTACACGTGTATACTCAAACGGAGTGAATTCAAATGAAGCTTCAGAAGCTATAATAAAAGTACTCTACAAAAAGGACGGAGTGATTATCAACAACTTGGCCTCGAAAATCCTGCAGGATCAATCCTGTGAGCATGCAGTTACAGGAGTGCTGTACGAAGTATCTATCTCCTCTGGTGTTATAATCTATATCACCGCTACAATCACTATACAGGACCTCAGGAATGTTGATAGCGTGATGACGTCATATAGTGTGGTCTACAAATCAGCTGATATGAAATCGGTGATTGCTAAAGAAATGCCCCCAGAGATAGGATACAAACGGCACGAACCACTCCTTGTATCATCTGGCACATTCCAACTGCCCCAGTATGGCAACTGTGATGATGATAAGAAAAGAAATACCCCCGAATTCAGAGTATCTACTATCGTCCAATGTTACAAGATCATCCAGGACAACAACATCAAACAGAACTGTTCAGCACTGTACGATTCACTTCTAAAAGGCTACTTCCAGATAATAGAGAACGGGACTATGATAGGATCAACTCCCGGAAATAGTTCCCTGATAACAGCCACCCTTACTAACCCACTAAACATTACTGATATCACAGAAACAGAGCTCTGTGATTACCTCCCCTCATATCTCCACATTAAAATATACCACAAGAACAACACCCTTTCTGGGGAGGACATCACCAATGTCACCTTCAGTTTAGAACACGGTTCTATCACTCAGTTCAGTGGTGATAGGTTTCTGTTACAAGCTGATCTTCAGTATCTTATCTCTGATGTTCCTGTCACGAGGGGCTCGTTATCTTTTGAGGATATTATCGAGTTCTTTGAGAACAAGCAGGAGCTCTTGAACAGTTTGATTGTTGTTTTTGCGGCGCTTATCTATTTTGCTATCCCCAAAAATTTGTTGTCTTCAAAGCTTTAACGTTCGTGAGATAGATATATTTTCAAACGCTATATTTTAATATGTATTTTAAATTGAATGTAAATATATGTGAATAGACAACAAATTATTATGGCTATAATGATTAATAGTTCATCGACAAGTCAGCTTAAAAATGGGGGGGGGGGGTGTCATGTCCGTCTATGTCCGCCTATGTCCTGTCCTTTTTGGATTCTATGAGACAACGGACGTGTTTTTTGGGACATTGGCGGACACGGACGGACATTGGCGGACTCGGACGGACATTGGCGGACTCGGACGGACATTGGCGGACTCGGACGGACATTGGCGGACCCGGACGGACATTGGCGGACTTGTATGGACATTGGTGGACATTAGCGGACATTGGTGGACATTAGCGGACAAACATTTTGAGGACTGAAGAGTACTGAAGAGTACTGAGGAGGATGGCTGAGAAGGATGGCTGAGGAGGATGGCTCAGAAGGATGGCTCAGGAGGATGACTGAGGAGGATGACTGAGGAGGATGACTGAGAGGGAGGAGAAGGATCAGGAAGACCCAGGAGGAGGAGGAGGAGGACCCAGAAAGAGGACCTACAGGGTGAGTTGAAAATAGTGTGTAGAATGTAAATGGCTCAAAGGTCAGCGCGTGTGTGGTTATTGTATTGCGCGAGCAATTTTTGATCGCGTGCCCTGAAAATCGAGTCTAAAAATCTATCTCCTCCTACATTTTTTGAGCAATCACCCTGAAACTTTCAGGATATGTTTTAGGGATCATTTAGAAGAGATGAGCCAAACAGAATTTTGAGAGTGGCCTTTTTAAAAAAATTTTTTCGATTTTGAAATCGTAGACCTCGAAAAACCATCAAAAAACGAGGTCCAAGATTTTAAAAATCGAATAAAAATTTTTTAAAGCCCTATCTCAAAATTCTGTTTGGCTCATCTCTTTTAAATGATCGCTAAAACATATCCTGAAAGTTTCAGGGTGATTGCTCAAAAAATGTAGGAGGAGATAGATTTTTAGACTCGATTTTCAGGGCACGCGATTTGAGAACCCCATTAGGACGAATTTACGAATTTTTGGAAAACTGCCAGAAATCGGCAGTGTCGAGATAGCCCGACCACTGTCCGCGGACAACTGTCCGCGGACACCTGTCTACCAGATCATATTACTGTATAATAACAGTATCCCCTGAATCAAGCAACAGGTGTTTGTGAATAGTTGATTGGTTACCAGATCATATGAATGGTATGTATGGTATCTTGGATGCAATTAGTTACGACTAGCATAATTAATTGTAGCGTAGTAAATTACTGGGTCAAACTATTGATTACGATTCAAATGACGGATGCTGACGGATGTGCCCGAGTAAACATCCTCCACTATAATAATTGATGGGGTATTTTTCGTGAATAAGTGCGTCTGTTTGTGTTCGCCGTCTGCTCCGAATGGGTCCTACTCTGCTTGTAGAAGGGGGGTGATCAACTGCAACTGGAGGACTAGGCTGCAATACATCGACTGGAGGTGATGGGAGCAAGGATGTTTGTGATGTTTGCTTGATTCAGGGGATGATGTGAACCCTGCTTGATTCAGGGGATACTGTTATTATGCAGTAATATGATCTGGTAGACAGATGTTCGTGGACAGTGGTCGGGCTATCTCGATACTGCCCAAAAATCAACCAAATTATGAGTTAGAATCAAATGAGAGGCAAGAATGAAATTTGTAACGTTTATGAACTGATAGCAATTCACCTTTCAAAATTTGCTCCTTCATAAAAAAAATTATCGATTTTTACATTCTACACACTATTTTCAACTCACCCTGTAGGAGGAGGAGGAGGAGAACTGAGGAGGATGACTCAGGAGGAGGAGGACTCAGGAGGAGGACTGAGGAGGACTGAGAAGGAGGAGGACTGAGGAGGATGGCTGAGGAGGATGGCTGAGGAGGATGACTGAGAGGGAGGAGGAGGAGGAAGAGGAGGAAGAGGACTGAGGAGGAGGAGGAGAAGGACTGAGGAGGAGAAGGAGGACCCAGGAGGAGGAGGACCCAGGAGGAGAAGGCCCCAGGAGGAGGACCCAGGAAAAGGCCCCAGGAGGAGGAGGAGGACTGGGGAGGAGGAGAACTGTTGAGGACTGATGAGGAGGACTGAGGACGAGGAGGAAGAGTAGGAGGAGGACTGAGGAGGGGAGGAGGAAGAGGACTGGGGAGGATCAGGAAGACCCAGGAGGACCCAGGAGGAGGAGGAGGAGGAGGACCCAGGAGGACCCAGGAGGAGGAGGAGGACTGAGGAGGACTGTGGAGGAGGACTGACGATGACTGAGAAGGAGGAGGACTGAGGAGTACTGAGGAGGATGGCTGAGGAGGATGGCTGGGGAGGATGGCTGAGGAGGATGACTGAGGAGGATGACTGAGAGGGAGGAGGAGGAGGACTCAGGAGGAGGACTCAGAAGGAAGAGGAGGAGGATTCAGGAGGAGGACTCAGGAGGAGGACTTAGGAGAAATGAGAAGGAGGACTGAGGAGAACTGAGGAGGAGGAGGAGGACTGAATAGGAGGAGGAGAAGGAGGGGGACTGGGAGAGGACTGGGGAGGAGGAGGACTGATGAGAAGGATGAGGAGGAGGACCCAGGAGGAGGAGGACTGAGGACCGAGGAGGAAGAGGAGGATGAAGAGAAGGAGGAGGACCCAGGAGGAGGAGGACTGAGGAGGAGGACTGAGGAGGACTGAGGAGGATGGCTGAGGAGGATGACTGAGAGGGAAGAGGAGGAGGAGGAGGAGGAGGAGGAGGAGGAGGAGGACTGAGGAGGACTGAGAAGGAAGAGGAGGAGGAGGAGGACTGAATAGGAGGAGGAGGAGGGGGACTGGGGGAGGACTGAGGAGGAGGATGGAGGACTGAGGAGAAGGATGAGGAGGAGGACTGAGGAGGACTGAGGACTGAGGAGGAAGAGGAGGAGGATGAAGAGGAGGAGGAGGACCCAGGAGGAGGACCCAGGAGGAGGACTCAGGAGGAGGAGGAGGACTGGGGAGGAGGAGGACTGTTGAGGACTGATGAGGAGGACTGAGGACGAGGAGGAGGACTGAGGAGGGGAGGAGGAAGAGGACTGAGGAAGATCAGGAAGACCCAGGGGGAGGAGGAGGAAGAGTAGGAGGAGGAAGCATCTAAATGTTATTTCCATTTTGTCCGTTTTTGTCCATTTTTGTCCGTTTTTGTCCGCTCTATTTTTTGTCCGTTTTGAAAATATAGGGTACCGAACGGACAAAAAACATAATCCCCCCTATAACAGCAAAAATTGAACATTTTATTTAGCAATTTAGGTGTCCATTAATGTCCGCCTATGTACGCCTATGTCCGTCTATGTCCGCCTGTGTCCGCCTATGTCCGTCTATGTCCGCCTATGTCCTGTCCTTTTTGGATTCTATGAGACAAGCGGACATAGACGGACGTGACACCCCCCCCAAAATGACACCGATTTAAGTTTCAGAAAACATGCAGTATTTATTGTTTATCATTAATTTATTGATATGTAATTGTTTCTTTGTGTTCGAGCTGGACTACGAATTAAACCCTTTATTACTGTGTGAATATAATATTTTTATGCACAATTCGTGTAATATTTACTGTAAATTATTTGCTTATCGATTTATTCACAACGATGATCGGTGTATTTCTTTATTGATAAATAGAAACAAGGAAAGTATTGGTAAAATTAAATTGTCATCTAGACCTACTTATTTAATAATCACCATAATGATAACTCCGGCATAAGTTCACATAAAATTATAATTGAATTATAATGGGGCAATTTGTTTAATAATATTTTGAATTTGCGTATAAGAGCTTCTGTTCTAACGCAACCGTTTTTGACGTCTTGCTCTCTTAATGAAGTGATTATATTATGCATGTTGTACACATCCATACGAATATTAACGAACGCGCACATTCATTGACATATCTTAACTCTCCAATCTCAGATTGACAATGTAACATGTAAACGCCCTAACTCCCAACGAACATGCTTACCCTGCTCCTGCTCCTCTCACTTCACCCGCCATCTCACACCACCCTCTGCCCCTGTGACGTCACACCTCAAACATGTGACACTGACTGTTGTTGTGACATTTCCTGTTCTGCTGAACAAGTCCTCTCCTTCACATGCCAAACATTCCTGCTCTCCGACTCCAAGTTGTGTTGTGAAGACAAGTTGACCCTGACCCTGGAAGGGAGCTATCAGAACGTCAGGACATGTTCCAGTAACCTGGCTTGTTTGCAGGATACTCCCCGCTCTTACGGAGGGTTCCCTGACGGGGAACCACCTGATAGCACCGTGTGGAGGAGTCAGCTGGGAAGTTCCCCCGCCACGGTAGAAGTAGGTTCTCAGACTCAGTATCAGGACAGTGATGTGTTGTTGCAGGATAACGGGGCGGATCCTGCTTCCAGGTTCATGTTCCCTGTTCAGTTTCACGGCGATCTGTGTGCTAAGAGCCCTGTTTTGTTTTACTCGGAGATACAATCATCTTGTAGGAGGAAAGTAGATATGGGGGAAGTGTGTAATGCTGGTAGTATGTTAGATTACCACAGCTATCTTAACACTCTGCTCTCCTTCCCTGCAGCTAATTCTACTGAAGTTGTAGACTTGTCTGATGCTGACAACATTGTTTTCTACTGCCTTGATTCTTCTAAGGGACTTAAAGAAAAATGTACATTGAACCCGATAGGAGCTGTTCCTAAAGTTGCAAATGGTTTGTGTGTCAACGCTGTTCAAGAAGTAGCGATTTATCTGACAGTTTCTGCCGACAAAATGACTATATCAAGCGCTGCTGTTCGTGTTACCTTGACATCTTACCAAACCAACTCACCAGATAAACTCTCCCAGAAGTTCTCCATATCCTACCAACCAAGCTCACAAGTAAACATGATATCCGGTAATTTTGGGTATGTCCGGGGTTCTCACATCCTCTCAGGAGCAGTCCTGTTAGAAACAAACTCTGATCCTGAAGTTATCATGAACTCAGATTCAACTCACCGGATCTTGTCCCTGTTCAAGTCCCAGGACTGCTCTCAGTTTTCAGACCACCCTATTAGTTTTGGTACTGGGTATTACACAGGGTGTAAGATGGAGCTGCCGTTCTATAACTTTGAGGTGATGTCTGGAGGTGATAAGGAGCAGTATTGTCAGGTGATTAAGGGTATTAGTGGTAGTGTCTTCAACGTTACTAAAGGGATCGTTGTAGGTTAGTGAACTTAGCTAGCTACTGTTATTTAAATATAATTAAGACCCTGGTCATTAGAAACACCCCTAAAAGTTCGTTTTTGAAAAAAAATATAAAACATCCGTAATTTCATTTCTGTTTTAGTTACGCATTCAATTTTTTGTATGCGTATAGAAAATTAATACGGCTTAAAAATGAGATGTCCGGCGACCTCCTAGCTCACTCACAAGACTCAGTAGGAGTGATTGAACTGCGAGGGACAATTGAGGCTAACGAATTTACTCATTATTTTCAAAAAAGAACATTCTCGTGTTACGTCCATGATATCCAGGTTGCAAGTATAATCCATAGTGATTATACTTGATCGAGATCTAAGCTTTAATTATTCGAGGTGAAAATGAGGCTAACCACCTTTTGAGAGGGTGAAATGAGGCTAACAAGTATACTGTTGTGTATATTTTTGAGCAGGTTCAGTATTGTTACTATCTAATAAGTCAACAATAAAAATGTATTCATCCTCTTCAAGCTCAACATTTCAGAAATCGCCGAGTCTACTTGTAGGAGGCCAAAATGAGGCTAATAAATAATTCGACCGCATTTTAACTTTAATGTACGGAAACATGTTATAGACCCACTATAAAATTTGTAATTGTAGCCCGAAGGTTATTGAGACTTTATCGAAACTTATGTGAGGTTGGATTGAGGCTACCTTCCCTCCTTGAGGCAAAATTGAGGCTAACAGATACACTGCGCAGACAAACGTCACTGTGCCGGCTGTCAAGTAGTTGCTGAGCAGCAGCAGCAGTTAGATGAAGAAAATGAAGTTGAGGAAGGAAATGTATTAGAACTGTTGGCTAGAGTAAGCCCCTTACTTCTATGGAGCTCTTTGGCTAATTGCTCTGGCAATGCTCTCTATGGGGCCATGTAATATTACATGATCTGATATCATGCCAATCTAGGCTCTAAACTATATAATAAGGTATAATGAAAATGGAACTGTTTGAGAAAGTTTTACAAGGGAAGTTTTTATTTCGCTTGACACATCTCAAACGCAAGGAAATATTTTTTAACAAATATAAATATAAATTTTTCCACAATTGTCAATCGACTTGATCAATGCACCAATTAACAATGAATCTACCTCAAATCACTAATTTACACCATTAGTTAGATCTATACCTCTTTAAACTGGCGAGAGGGCTCAAAAAAACCAGTGCAATTAGTTTTGTAATGCGCGATTTTGAAAATAATTAGTGGCTATGAAATAGGTCAAAAGTGGAGTTATATAAAGAAAATAAAAGCATTCAACATTAAAACTATCGCTTATAAAATATTATAATAAGCAGGAGTTAGCCTCAATCTTACCTCTCAAGTGAATACAGGTTAGGCAGACCGCAAAAACAATTTGAAATTGAAGGGCTAGTCCGAAGAAGCAGTAGAACAAGAAATGAACAAAACCTTGATAGTTAGCCTTATTTTACCCTCCATCAAAAGACAGAAAGGGTAGGTGGATTCTACCCTCGACCTAAAGTATCCATATAATGTATACCAGGGCAAAGGATAGTTTAAAAAGGACGTTATTGTTCAAACATAATTCAAAAATCAGAAAAGATCTGTTAGCCTCATTTCCCCCTCAATTAGAAGAAAAAAGGGGACGGCTGGGCTAGCCTTCAACCTAGAGCATCCATCTCATGCATTTTAGGTCAGAGGATACTTTGATAGACGTTATTGTTCAAATATAATTCATAACTTAGTAATGACTTGTTAGCCTCATTTCCCCCTCCATTAGAAGGAAAAAGGGGTCGGCTGGACCAGCCTTCGACCTAGAGAGCGTCCATCTCATGTATTTAGGTCAGAGGATAATTTGATAGACGTTATTGTTCAAATATAATTCATAACTTAGTAATGACTTGTTAGCCTCATTTCCCCCTCCATTAGAAGGAAAAAGGGGACGGCTGGGCTAGCCTTCAACCTAGAGCATCCATCTCATGCATTTTAGGTCAGAGGATACCTTGATAGACGTTATTATTCAAATATAATTCATAACTTAGTAATGACTTGTTAGCCTCATTTCCCCCTCCATTAGAAGAAATCAAGGGGTCGGTTGGGCAAGCCTTCGATCTAGAGCATCAATCTCATCTATTTTAGGTCAGAGGATACTTTGATAGACACTATTATTCAAAAATAATTCACAAATTAGTAATAACTTGTTAGCCTCATTTTTCCCTCAATTAGTGAAAAAATTTCCCTCTTCTCTCTGGATTCTGAAAGAGTCAGATCTGATGAATCGATTAAACATGTTTAAACTTTTATAGCATGCTTGGAAGCTGTTATTAGGAGACAAAATGTAAATGACTCGTTAGCCTCAATTTGCCCTCGACTAAATGCTTCAAAACTTTTATTAATCGAAACAAAATTAGTTGAACTATAGATATGTGAAATATCATATGCCTATCTCAAAAGTTCTTCCTGTGAAAATCTTCTAAAGTTAAAATGGGAAAATGTGGTCCATCTCGTGCGAACTTTCCTAATGACCAGGGTCTTAATACACCTTTATTGGGCGAATTTCCTCATTGATTAAACATAATATCCAACGTGTATTGTCTGTTATAACTTATAACAATAAATTGCTGATGGCATCATACAGTTCACCTTAAAATTGAACTGTGAAATATACTAAACTAGTTTTCCAATCTAATGAAAACAAACCACCTAACAGGGGCAACAGGTCGAGCCAGCACAAGTGACTTATCTCAGTGGGTCTACGTAGAAACAGAGCCTGATATCTCAAGCCCAGCAGTGAGCCTAGAGAGCACTGTGAAGTGCAGTGACGTCATTAGTCACGTGACCTACAAAGTGTTCTACACTGAGGTGGGGGAGGCGGGTGATCTGCAGGCTATCATTACCGCCGTTAAAGTACAGTTCACCACTCAGGGTAAGTGTTCGCAATAATATTGTATAGTATAGTTATCACATTATTGTGCTACTGAAGGGTTTGTCATGTGTGTCGCTCGAACGCACTGTTATGTCAAAACATTCCTTAACAAATTTTATAAATATTACGTACGGGTAAATGCCTCACAGAATGGCTAGCCTCACAGAATGGCCAAATTTGTAAATGTTTTTGTAACTAATTTTTTATAAAAGACTGGTAGGTTTTGTGGATACCATATGAAACAAAAGTCTTCTGGCAACACTTCCTGTGGTGAAATCATTAACTAGGACCACATTTTCTGGCATAAATATGACTGTTTATGTAGAAATTTTGAGCACTGAAAAATTTGTTTTCAAATTTTTGAACTAAGTTTACATTTTGGTGAGAACTTCTGGCACCAGTATGACAGAAGATGTTCAAAGAATAGTATTCATCAAAAAAAACGAACATTGTTCAATATAGGAAGAAAAAAATGCTAAAATGGCTACACGCCTCACAAAATGGCCAAAATATGCCTCACAAAATTTGTTTTCAAATTTTTGAACTAAGTTTGCATTTTGGTGAGAACTTCTGGCACCAGTATGACAGAAGATGTTTAAAGAATAGTATTCATCAAACAAAACGAACATTGTTCAATTTAGGAAGAAACAAAATGTTAAAATGGCTAAACGCCTCACAAAATGGCCAAAATATGCCTCACAAAATGGCCAAAATTTAAAACTCCTTTTATTCAATGAAACCATAAGTCTAAAGTATTCACAAGCTATTTATCATACAATAACACCCCAGATGGAGTGTTTTTACAGCCGAATGAAGGTTATAAATCATGAAATCAGGGAATATGAACAACGCCACACAAAATGGCCATTTTTGGTGTAGGAAATTATGCCCTTTTTATTCAGTTCTAAGAAATTTCACCTATATGGGGGTGTTAACAAGGCATATTAATACCAGCAGCATGCCTGAAACAAGAGCCAAAGGTTTTAGAAAAATAAAATTTTCTCGTTTTCTTTTTTTTTTGCCATTTTGTCAGGCATTTTTTCTTTTTTGTGAAATAATTTTTCACAGCTCAGTTTTTTCGTGAGTTTTAGGTTATTACCCCATTCCTTAATAGGTTTTCTAAGAACGTGTGGTGATAGAAATTTAAAAAGTATCTCCATCAACAAAATTATAGAAATTCAGATTTGGCCATTCTGTGAGGCATGTTTTTTTGGAGGAAGATTTTCCGGCCAATTTTTCTCAAAGAAAAAATGGTTATGAGATTAAATGAACCCCCGGGAAGAAAAATATGAGTGTCAACTTAGCTTCTTATGAGATAAAAACTGGAATAAAGTGTGTTTTGTGACTTTGAGAGACCTTCCTTTTTTTTGGCCATTCTGTGAGGCAAATACCCGTATCAGTTAACTGCGCCATCTAGTCAAAATTCCGATTAAGGTATCTTGACAATTGTTCTCTAGGCCGGCTCAGTACAACGCTATGTGACTATGTTATACCTCACACCTCCCCCACATTTCAGATGTAGTATTATACTGCAGCAGTACACACTGTACCTCCAACAAGGCCCAGTACGTGGTGCTATCCAACAGTGTCCAGTTCCACTACAACACCCCCGACCTTCACCACAGATACAAGGTCAACCCCCGTACCACTGCGCTGCTGCCTCTAGACTTCTTCTACCCTATCACTGCGGGAGGGAGACGAGCTAGTGTGGGGTTAGGATGGGGCTGTGTCGTGCTGGGTTATTGTTTTAGCAGGCTTATCTGGGCAGTTTGATCTTTTAGTGTTTTATTTTAGAAGCTGGATGAATTAGCTGCTCCACACGTTTATTTGCTGCAAGATTTCTGACATGTGCTTGTCCATCTGACATTCTTTCGTTATTCATAGAATCTTCTAGGATAGTTAGTACATATTCTACTTTTTGTAATACTACCTGACCATATTTTATACACGAGTAACGTATTTATTCAGATATTTTATTCGCAGACATCGCTAGCTTGTAACGAGCTTTGATTATTTATTGAATGTACAGTTTTGTTGAATGTATTTAAACTGTTAATATCACAATCTAATTTATTAATCTATACAATTTGTTTACGTACCAGATCACCGCTTGGTTACTATAAGTATATTAATGTATCACTTTATATTATGCACTTGACACAAGTGTGATCTTATTATGTATGTGACATTACTAGTACTAAATTATATTTCAACTGATCTGTTTTGAAGATTTATTTTGTATCTCTTTCTAAAGCAAAGAGCTTATTGTTCATGTTTTGCATAGGAATGTATAGAATGATGGTTAGAATGTTGTAAGGTACAAGTTGTGCGGTACCGTGGTAGCTCTCTCTCTCTCTCTCTCTGCTAGCAGCACAAAGTCAAATCCTCTTGATATCGATAATGTCGACCACAAAGAATCCCGATAGATTGAGTAATGTGCTTATTCTCCTTTCATTTCTTGTAAGTTGCTTTTTCAGTTTGCTATTTTGTTCTCAGTTTACAAGTTTATACCCAGTATATCAGTTTATCTAGGGTTACCTAGCAAATCAGAGATCTTGCAAGACTATTGTTTGATATGGATGTTTTAAAAGTACAAATTTAAACTCACCACATTTAAGATCAAATAAAACTGGGTCAATTTCACAGAATGGTGTAGCCCAGTTTACAAGTACATCCCCAGGATTACCTAGCAGTATCGCTGGTGTACCCCAGTTTACAAGTGTATCCCCAGGATTACCTAGCAGTATCGCTGGTGTACCCCAGTTTACAAGTATATCCCCAGGATTACCTAGCAGTATCGCTGGTGTACCCCAGTTTACAAGTATATCCCCAGGATTACCTAGCAGTATCGCTGGTGTACCCCAGCTTACAAGTTTATCCCCAGGATTACCTAGCAGTATCGCTGGTGTACCCCAGCTTACAAGTTTATCCCCAGGATTACCTAGCAGTATCGCTGGTGTACCCCAGCTTACAAGTTTATCCCCAGGATTACCTAGCAGTATCGCTGGTGTATCCCAGTTTACAAGTATATCCCCAGGATTACCTAGCAGTATCGCTGGTGTACCCCAGCTTACAAGTTTATCCCCAGGATTACCTAGCAGTATCGCTGGTGTACCCCAGCTTACAAGTATATCCCCAGGATTACCTAGCAGTATCGCTGGTGTACCCCAGTTTACAAGTATTTCCCCAGGATTACCAAGCAGTATCGCTGGTGTACCCCAGTTTACAAGTATATCCCCAGGATTACCTAGCAGTATCGCTGGTGTACCCCAGTTTACAAGTATATCCCCAGGATTACCTAGCAGTATCGCTGGTGTACCCCAGTTTACAAGAATATCCCCAGGATTACCTAGCAGTATCGCTGGTGTACCCCAGTTTACAAGTATATCCCCAGGATTACCTAGCAGTATCGCTGGTTTACTCCAGTTTACAAGTATATCCCCAGGATTACCTAGCAGTATCGCTGGTGTACCCCAGTTTACAAGAATATCCCCAGGATTACCTAGCAGTATCGCTGGTGTACCCCAGTTTACAAGTATATCCCCAGGATTACCTAGCAGTATCGCTGGTGTACCCCAGTTTACAAGTATATCCCCAGGATTACCTAGCAGTATCGCTGGTGTACCCCAGTTTACAAGTATATCCCCAGGATTACCTAGCAGTATCGCTGGTTTACCCCAGTTTACAAGTATATCCCCAGGATTACCTAGCAGTATCGCTGGTGTACCCCAGTTTACAAGTATATCCCCAGGATTACCTAGCAGTATCGCTGGTGTACCCCAGTTTACAAGTATATCCCCAGGATTACCTAGCAGTATCGCTGGTGTACCCCAGTTTACAAGAATATCCCCAGGATTACCTAGCAGTATCGCTGGTGTACCCCAGTTTACAAGTATATCCCCAGGATTACCTAGCAGTATCGCTGGTGTACCCCAGTTTACAAGTATATCCCCAAGATTACCTAGCAGTATCGCTGGTTTACCCCAGTTTACAAGTATATCCCCAGGATTACCTAGCAGTATCGCTGGTGTACCCCAGTTTACAAGTATATCCCCAGGATTACCTAGCAGTATCGCTGGTGTACCCCAGTTTACAAGTATATCCCCAGGATTACCTAGCAGTATCGCTGGTGTACCCCAGTTTACAAGTATATCCCCAGGATTACCTAGCAGTATCGCTGGTGTACCCCAGTTTACAAGTATATCCCCAGGATTACCTAGCAGTATCGCTGGTGTACCCCAGTTTACAAGTATATCCCCAGGATTACCTAGCAGTATCGCTGGTGTACCCCAGTTTACAAGTATATCCCCAGGATTACCTAGCAGTATCGCTGGTGTGCCCCAGTTTACAAGTATATCCCCAGGATTACCTAGCAGTATCGCTGGTGTACCCCAGTTTACAAGTATATCCCCAGGATTACCTAGCAGTATCGCTGGTGTACCCCAGTTTACAAGTATATCCCCAGGATTACCTAGCAGTATCGCTGGTGTACCCCAGTTTACAAGTATATCCCCAGGATTACCTAGCAGTATCGCTGGTGTACCCCAGTTTACAAGTATATCCCCAGGATTACCTAGCAGTATCGCTGGTGTACCCCAGTTTACAAGTATATCCCCAGGATTACCTAGCAGTATCGCTGGTGTACCCCAGTTTACAAGTATATCCCCAGGATTACATAGCAGTATCGCTGGTGTACCCCAGTTTACAAGTATATCCCCAGGATTACCTAGCAGTATCGCTGGTGTACCCCCAGATGGGTATTAGAATGCGGGAGTTGGGTGCTTCTCAGTTTATGAGCGGTCTTATTTCCTCTTCTTACGGGGCTATCCAACTCTTCAGTGCTACTGCTCACGTTAGTTTAATAATTATTTATAAGTTAACTTTAATCTGCTTACGAGCAATAACTGTTATTAGTGCTCTTAGAAGCTTCAAACCGATCAATTTAATGCCTCATTTGAGATACTACACCGAGCTTATTTTACTCAGTTCCTTTCATTGATAATACCATTTCAATGCTTAATTCTAGATATTTAATATCTTAATTCTAGATATTTAATATCTTAATTCTAGATATTTGGTCTTATATTAATATAATTTTAATACATAACGCAATTTGGTATGTAACTGGGTCCCCTCTCAGGGTGTGGTATGTGATCAGTACGGGAGAAGAATTCCTCTCCTCCTCTGTCTCGTCTCTATCACGTGTTCTTATCTCGCTCTGTCTGGTAGCATGTCGTTTGTTAGTATTCTGGTGATAAGATCTGTGTTGGGTCTTGTTAAACATACTCAGTCTACTCTCAAGGTTATCGGAGGAGATATTCATACGGGTAAGATAATTACTATTATATTGAACTTTACCTAAAAAAAGAATATTCTCATATTCAGAAACATCACAACTATGCGACTCATAAATAATGTTCCTATCCGGACATCACACACTATTATAACCATGTATTATGATATTTTATGGCAATATTTTCATTTAAGCATGTTTATTATCATGTGCAGCGAGTTCGTTACCAACAACTCCAAAATCCTTTTATTTCACGACTAAACTGTTTCGGACCGTTATATTGCATTACATGGTACATGGTACCATTTGATATTTTGATATAATGCGACACATCTTGAAAATCGAATCATTATTTATAACGTTCGTAACCACAATTCAGCGAGTTTACAAATTGCCCACCCAATATAGCAATATAGCAATAGCGCAATATCTGCCTATATATTGTTCTTTTGTTGTACTGTGAAATCAGATGAAATTAAACATAAGCGGCAGTTTACGATAGCAATCCTATCCAAACAGCTAATATTTTGTTTACAGGGACCTCGAGAAGCACATTTATCAGCAAATCTAACAGTTTTAGTGGTCTAGCTTTCATGATAGGACCGTTCTTAGCGGCTTACTTCTTGGAACCCGATACCAGGTACACATGATATTTAACTTGTATCCTGTTTTTCAGAGCTCGTAAGCCTCGGATGAATAAGTAAGGGTCGATGACGATATATATATAATATATCTTGGGTTTCTTACTCTTAAAAACTAAAATTGTTTACAGAAATATCCAGCCGATACTAAAACTTGAAACAAAATTATGTTTGGTAATCTGCAACCCTTATCTTGTTATCCTAGTTTTCAGTACGGATGTTGGATATGCAGTGCGATATTTATGGTTACGCTAGTGATAACATATTTCTTTGTTGAGGAGACATTGCCCGTGGTAAGGGTTAAACCAGATAAACCTCTGGAGTCCAAACCTCAGTCATCTATCTTACAACGTTTCAAAAAGTGGGTACTTTGATAACTAACAAAATCATTATTCCATGTTTGAACTTCTCCACAAATTTATTATTTAACTCCGCCGTTTTGTGATGACTACACAAATTGTTTTAAATACAATATGATAACCAGAATGTAAACCTAATCGTGTTTCCATCCCGGGAACGGTAAATTTATTGATCTGATAAATTGCACCACGTGTTATCTCCATGATATAAACCTAATAATTTGTGTATACCCCAGATACAGCACGTGTTATCTCCATGATATAAACCTAATAATTTATGTGTACCCCAGATACAGCACGTGTTATCTCCATGATATAAACCTAATAATTGGTGTGTACCCCAGATACAGCACGTGTTATCTCCTGTCTCCATGATATAAACCTAATAATTTGTGTATACCCCAGATACAGCACGTGTTATCTCCATGATATAAACCTAATAATTTGTGTATACCCCAGATACAGCACGTGTTATCTCCATGATATAAACCTAATAATTTGTGTACCCCAGATATAGCACGTGTTATCTCCATGATATAAACCTAATAATTTGTGTATACCCCAGATACAGCACGTGTTATCTCCATGATATAAACCTAATAATTTGTGTACCCCAGATATAGCACGTGTTATCTCCATGATATAAACCTAATAATTTGTGTGTACCCCAGATACAGCAGCCTACAAGATATCTTCATCTACCGCTTCTGCGCAGCAGCCAGTGTTATTATACTCAGATACTTCACTCCTTTGTATACCCAACATTACTTTGGGTTCAATGCTAAACATGCTAGTTATATGACGTCTTTCTTTGGATTCTCAGGTTTTATTCTCGTGTGGAATACACCGCTCAAATTCTAGGATATATATTCATTTTTATCTGGAAAATTGCCTAACTTTAGATAGTAATTTCAAATCTTTTGATAAGTCATTGGAGTAAAATTCTGAAACCAAATTCTTACTCTTAAATGAGACCCCCCACCAGGAATAGTGTGTTCCTCTCTGGCAGGATATGTTGCCTGGCTAGTTAAGTTCCTGACAAACTTAAGCTCACCAGATACCTCTCTCTGCTCCTCATTTTCAGTATCGCCTCCACGTGAGTATATTCTAGAAGTTCTAGTGTTGTGATCTAACAGCGAATATCTGCGGTATTTTGTCCAGTATCAAGTAGAGTCTCTCACCACAACTTGATCAGCTGGTCGTTTTAAGCTTGATTGCGCTATTTTTGCTGATTTCATCCTACAACCGCTCATATTACTTTGAAACTATTTCACCTTATTTCAGGTTACTGTCCAGCTCAATAACCGCATTCCTAATAACCCAGTTCATGCTCTCATTTGCCACCCAGAACCTACGGATCATGATAGACTCCCTCATCCTCTCGGCAGCATCAGACTCAGACCGAGGGGAGGTGTTCGGGCTGGGTGCCAGTATAATAGGGCTCTGTAGGGTGGGAGGTCCTGTAGTAGCTGGGGCTCTGGCCGAGATTAACATGATGTTACCGTTAGTGTGCAGTGTGGTGTTAGCTGCGCTGGGGAGTGGGGTGTTGTTTTGGAGTGGGCGCAAGGTCAAGCAAGGATAGGGTCGGGTGTTGGCCGGATCAGGTTTCAGACATCATTCCATTTGGGGGACTGGACGTAATGAGTGGGATAAACATGACTGGTTAGCGTTAATTGGGTCTTCACGTTATCTGATCTGAAGTTTAGTTTTGTTGTAGAGATGTTTTTAGCTACCGAAATGTGGTTTGATTATCAGTTTTCTAGATTGTTCGTGAATCGTTTTTGCACGTTTTGTTTTTTAATAACGGTTTATCGTGTAATTTCTTTTGCTTGATTTCTTTTAAAAGGGTTGTCGTATTTTTGTATTTTGATATTAGGTAAATGATTTATGTCAGTCTGTATAATTTTGATAAACTTGTTCAATTATTTCAGTCAATGCAAGGATTTGTGACAATAACTGATGGATAAAGATTTCAAACTCTTTTCCAGGACTTTTTTCTGTTTACCTCGCTTTAGAAAAAAAGTGTGTAGTTTTAAGCCTACATATAAATGTTTGCTTATCTTTAAGGGGGCCGGGGGGGGGGGGGGGGGGGGGGGTCTTCATCAAAATTCTCTCGAAATTGACTTTATAGTTGTTTCTGGTAGAAGGGAATGATATCTACCAGCTGCTTTTGGTCCCATGGAAAAATATTGTTCCTAGCCGAAATTATCGCCGGTCTAAGGTCAGCGCTTATGTGTAATTGTATTGCGCGAGCGATTTTCAATCGCAAATTCTGAAAATCGAGTCTAAAAATCTATCTTCTCCTACATTTTTTGAGCAATCACCCTGAAACTTTCAGGATATGTTCTAGGGACCATTTAGAAGATTTGATCGAGCCAAAATTTTGAGATGGGCCTTTAAAAATTTTTTATTCAATTTTGAAAATCTTGGACCTGAAAAAATCGTAAAAAAAAGGAGTCCAAGATTTTCAAAATTGAATAAAAAATTTTTAAAGGCCTAATTCAAAATTTTGGCTCGATCAAATCTTCTAAATGGTCCCTAGAACATATCCTGAAGGTTTCAGGGTGATTGCTCAAAAAATGTAGGAGAAGATAGATTTTTAGACTCGATTTTCAGAATTTGCGATTGAAAATCGCTCGCGCAATACAATTACACATAAGCGCTGACCTTAGACCGGCGATAATTTCGGCTAGGAACAATATTTTTCAATGAGACCAAAAGCAGCTGGTAGATATCATTCCCTTCTACCAGAAACAACTATAAAGTCACTTTCGAGAGAATTTTGATGAAGACCCCCCCCCCCCCCCCCGGCCCCCTTAAATAACAATTGAAAACTCACCTTCTCACAGATAGTTTAAACATTACTTTTAACCACATTCCTGACCTAGATGATGATGGAATTAAGAAGATCCAATAGAATCAAAGCCCGCACCGATGCGGTGGGCCCTCGTCTACTGACTGCTGGGAGAAAACGAGGCTACCACATCGAGAGTCAAGAAGAAAAAGACCAGAGAGTTTACGAAGAAATGAAGAGTTACAAATTCCGAGCCCGTCCACCGCCTGAATCTGCTTATCAAGGTTCCTCCTCAACAGGAGTACCAAAGAAGAAATCCAGGAAAGTTACCAAAGCGAAAACTCCGATGGCACTTAAAAGGAAGGCGGTCTCAAGGACAGGAGTTATGAAAGCCAAGAACAAGGGCACAAACAATGCCATGAAGCGATTGAAAGCATTACCTTTGCCGGATCTGAAAAAAGTTTTCGAAGTGGCAAGAGCAGAGCTGAAAGTGACAAAACCTCAGCCGTTTTCTTTCGAATCCAAGTACCCAAAGCCAGCTGAGGTTAAAGAAAAACTCATCAAAGAATCTGCCGAGCAGGAGAAGAAACTAAGAGAGTTCAAAGCCAAGCCTCTTTATGAGACTAAAGGTTTTAAGATTGACCATAACTTATCAAAAACCTGCACAAAAATTGAACCATTCAATATATCCAAACCAGATGCGTACCAAGAAAAATTAATGAAACTGGACCAAACCATTGAGAAAGAGAACATGGAACTTCAGAAGAAACGAGAGTTCAAAGCCAAGTATCCTCACGTCATATTCGAAGAACCTTTCATCCCAGAGAAAGACTCGAGGTATTGTAAGATCGAGGAGTTTAATCTGCACAGTGACAAGAGAGGCGAGGAAAGGAGAAAGTTCGACGAGGAACTGGAGGAACAGAGGTTGATGTTGGAGAAGGAGAAGGTATGTTTGTAAAAATTGCTAGAATACAAGATTTAAAATTTAGCCAAGATATGTTTAATGTGATCTTGGCCCCATATACATGGTTTGAAATATAATAGTCGGTTTTAACCACATTCCCTTTCATGACATTCAAATATGAATTTCCACTCTACTTTCAGGCCCACGAAGCTATAGAACGAGAGACGTTGAACAAAAAGGAAATAGCCGAACTTCGTAAGAAAATGGTACACAGAGCAAACAACGTAGGAGAGTACAGCAAGCAGGCGTATGATGATATCTCGTGAGCTTGAGAACCAATTATCCCTGAAATTCGCTTTGTTTGATTAGATTACTGAGTAATAGTCTGCAGTAGTGGGCGCTTGTTAGGGTTTGTAAATAACTAAACGTGGTCTTCTCTATGGGACTTGAATTTTATGAAAAATCGCTACAGAAGTTGGCGTATATTTGAACTTTGTTTGTTTTCGAAGTCGAGCAAGTTCTTACTGTATTCAGCTAGGCTTTTTGTTTGTACTTGTACCGTACTCTTATATGGCCCGTTTTTGAGTTTTGATAAATGATTTCCGAGATCATCGAGCAAGAAAATTGTATTATTTTTTAATTATTTCAAGTGGTGATATTACTTAACTTAATATTTTTATTAAATTAATCTTCTTCAAAGTAAAATTTTTTTTCTTCAAAGTTGACAATTTTAAATAGCAATTTTAAAGAATAAATGAGCTGTTTATTTATTGTTTATTCCAGTTATTCAAAATAAATTACGATACCGAAATTGTCTGACTACAATAACTATTTTTAATTACAGTACAATTATTATAGCATTTGACCTTCTGGTTTTCATTGCACATCGATTAAATGTGATTCTGTCCCTAAAAATAGACTTAAAAATTGAAGGCTGATCGAATCGTAGATTATTTAAATCACTCTTTTCAATATTGCCGATTTTTCCACAAGTGTCTAATCTCCTAAAGTAATGATTTATGGACACGTTCATTGAAGTTTGAGGATATTGGTAAATATTAGTGACCTTACTGAATGGCACGATGATGTAAAATGTGTCACACTATGAAACTATATAAACCCTCTAACCCTAAGATAATCGTTTCATCCTTTAGATAAACTTTGTCGCATAACGATATCTTTATCAGACGATAAGATATCGCTTAAATGCGGCCGGCAGTGAGTTGTAAACTTTGTCACACTATAAAAACGTGACGGAGTTTATATGGACCCCTTGTTGCCGTGTTTGACCAAATTTTCGAATTTCCAATTCATAGAATAGCTGTATATGACTATTATCTACATATTTAGCGACTTTTTTCCTTAAATGGTAGCACCATGTAAACTCCGTCACACATTTAAGAAATTTATATGAGGGATGTTTATGACATCCTGACAAGAAATGCCGAATAGTCTAGCATTATTTTGTGAGCTGAATGTGTTTGGAATTGTTCACATATTTCATTGTTATAGGCAAATACAAATACAGAAGGCAGAAATAGGTAAATTTAGTCACATAAATTTGTATGATATCTCAACATGTGTGAAATTGAGTAAATATTAGTATACCAACTTAAACACCCTATATTACGTACTATGAATCAATTAACAATATTTCAACCATACGCCGGTCATATAAATTATTATATGGCAGTGATATGTTAACATTGGATAAATTTCAACACCTGAACAGGGTAAAAATTTGTAAATTTCGTCACAAAAAAAATATTACAACTTTATTTGCTCCGTGTTGGCAAAATAACTAATTTATCGACATAGTGATGGTGATAAAGTGACATTATATACTAATTGAGGTATGATTCTTCAAAATAGGGGCAAGAAATGTAAATTTCGTCACATCAGCCATTGCATTAGTTAGATAGATTTTCTTTCATATCAACTGCCCTTATTATAGTTGGAATGGATTTATACAGGAAATATAGAAACCCATGCCCATTTTTCATCACATTGAAATTATACTGTTGGGGCAGGAAAAGTAAATTTCGTCACATTTCGGTAAATTAGTGATATTAAACTCAGCATTGTTCAATTTGAGTTCTGATTTGCTGAAAAATAACCTACCAATAATTCCTGGAAGAATATTGAATTCTAATTGGGGTATGGTTCTTCAAAATAGGGTCAAGAAATGTAAATTTCGTCACATACGTCATTGTAAAATTTAGATACATTTTCTTTCACATCAACAGTCCTAATTATAGTTTGAAATGAATAATTCAGAGATGAAGGAAATATAGAAACCCATGCCCATTTTTCATCACATTGAAATTATACTTTTGGGGCAGAAAAAGTGAATTTCGTCACATTTCGGTAACTTAGTATAATTAAACTCAGAATTGTCAAACTTGAGTTCTGATGATCTGCTGAATAATAACCTACTAATAATTCATGGAAGAATATTGAATTCTAATCGGGGTATGGTTCTTCAAAATAGGGTCAAGAAATGTAAATTTTGTCACATACGTCATTAATGTAAAATTTAGATACACTTTCTTTAACATCAATAGTCCTAATTATAGTTTGAAATGATTAATTCAGAGATAAGGAAATATAGAAACCCATGCCCATTTTTCATCACATTGAAATTATACTGTTGGGGCAGGAAAAGTAAATTTCGTCACATCTCGGTAACTTAGTAAAATTAAACTCAGAATTGTTAAACTTGAGTTCTGATTTGCTGAATAATAACCTACTAATAATTCCTGGAAGAATATTGAATTCTAATCGAGGCATGTTTCTTCAAAATAGGGTCAAGAAATGTAAATTTCGTCACATCAGCCATTGCATTAGTTAGATAGATTTTTTTTCATATCAACTGCCCTTATTATTATTGTGACAATTTTTACATCAACTGCCCTTAACTTGAATCAGCTCTATCCGTGCATCGTCCTTATATACAGTTTTCCCGCCTTCCAAACCAAAATCAGATATAAATGATTTCGGCAATTCACCCAGAATTTTAAATTCCATATAATGTGACAGAATTTACATCATTTCCCAATAAGTGCATGTATTTGCTAACTTTTCAAAACAACATATTTTAGGGCTATGATTGGTAGAAGAACCATCAAATAATGAGTTGAAAGGGTTTTGAGGACACCTCACAGTAGAAAAGAGGTATCGTATTCTGAGTGTGACAAAGTTTACGAAATATTGCCTTAAAACCGTTCGATCCCTGCCCTTTAGCCAAATGTTGTATCATAATTGTAAATTGTTAGAATGACCTAATCTACTATATTTTAAACCAAAAAATGCTAATTGGGCAGCTATGGTTAACACAGTCACAAAAATGTGACATTTTTTACATTATAGTGCCTAAAAACAATAAATTGTATTTCTGAGCCGTGTATATGGAAGTATGGGTCACGTGGCTAATGTCCAGAACTTCTGAACACGCTATATTTTTTGGTTTACCAATATCCTTAAACTTCAACATGAACGTGTCCATTTACGATTTCGTATCATTTTGTGACGATGTTTACATCAACTGCCCTATACTTCAATCAACTGTATCCGTGTATCGTCCTCATATATAGAGTTTTCCCGCCTTCCAAACCAAAATCAGATATAAATGATTTCGGAAATTCACCCAGAATTTCAAATTCCATATAATGTGACAGAATTTACATCATTTCCCAATAGCCAAGTGCATGTATTTGTTAACTTTTCAAAACAACATATTTTGTGGCTATGATTGGCAGAAGAACTATCAAATAATGAGTTGAAAGGGTTTTGAGGACACCTCACAGTAGAAAAGAGGTCTCGTATTCTGAGTGTGACAAAGTTTACGAAATGTTGCCTTAAAGCCGTTCGATCACTGCCCTTTAGGCCTACATTGTATCATAATTGTTAGATTGACCTAATCTACTATATTTTAGACCAAAAAATGCTAATTGGGCAGCTATGGTAAACAATGTCACAAAAATGTGACATTCTTTACATAATAGTGCCTAAAAGCAATACATTTTATTTTTGAGCAGTGCATATGGGAGTATGGGTCACGTGGCTAATGTTCAGAACTTATGAACACGCTAGATTAATATATGTTAAAATTAAACCACTATCGTCAAAAACGCTGTTTTAGAAATTTACCAATTTCCTCAAACTTCAATGAACGTGTCCTTATAGACCACACTAAATTCTTGAAATTGGATCCTCATAACATACCAAAACCCCGTCGTTACCCTGGTTACCCTGGTTACCCTGGTTACCCTGGTTACCCTGGTTACCCTGGTTACCCTGGTTACCCTGGTTACCCTCACATCCTCTCAGTCATGAACGCAGAACGGCAGATGATAGACACGTTCTGTCGTAAACTGAACGTGGTGAAGGTGAGCGAGCGCGCGGCACAGTTCTACACTCAGCTAATGAGTGCGAGTGCTGGACGCACCCACCACCCTTCTCTCCAACATCCTCAGGTACCTTAACTCTCTGGTAATGTGTATTTTCCAACATCCTCAGGTACCTTAACTTTCTGGTAATGTGTATTTTACGTTTACCTCTTTAGTTATAATTGGTCATACTGTACATGTGCTCGATCTAGTCATTATGTGTTACCTTCTATCATCTTGTTAGTGACACATTTCTTTATTACTTTATTACCATATTTTTAATAAATCTTCAATAAAAATGCCATGTTGCTGTCAATTTCGTCCATTTGAAACGATACACATTTATTGCGTTTAATGAACAACAAATTTCTGTTAGGTGACATTTAATCTGTTTGGGTTTTATGACGTCACGCCCCTTATTTCTACAGTACCGTCTTATAATGATCTAAGTATCGGGAGTTTATCTAGCTACCAGTGCACTTTGTAAATGGTTGCCATGGTGACACAACAGATTATGTAGCTGTAGGTTGTGTATAAAGCGGAGAAAGCTCTCTTTTATAGCTAACCATTATCCGTACTGTAATCGTATTATTGGTTTAGTGATTACCTTTACTAGTTTCGTTGATCATTACATGATGGCTTTCACTTATTTGTTATTATTTAGATAGTTTAAGTTAATTAAATTTATTTAATGATAGCGTTAAGATATTTCCTTTACCCACAGGTGAAAGTGTGTATTTGTATAGAGCTAGCTAGTCGACAACATCGTCTACCAATAGAGAAATCATTCCTTATAAAGTTAGCTGGAATCCCACAGAAACAGTATAAAACAGCCTTCTCCGTATCTGAGTCTCTTCTTAAAGTCAAGAACAACGCTACGTAAGTGTTCTCGTGATCTGGATATTAACTTTCGTACGTTCTAATATGAAATATCCTAAATAATTTCCTTTTATAACGCGAAATTAAGGTACAACTAAAATAAGTAATTAAGTGAATCAGTTTTTTAAACAATTTCAACGCACACTGGACTTTGAAGGGGAAATCTAATATTCCTTACTGTTATACACTTCGGTGATCACCAAATTAAAGTGGAATTTTCGATTGTCACCTTAATTAAGTGATAATTCAATTTTGTGTAATAAAGTCTAGTTTTCTCATAAATTCTCTCTTCTTTAATCACATTAAATTAAACTGCCTTACATGAAATCGGATTACAGCCCTTTACTTCCACCTGATATAGAAATGACTCATTAAATTAAACTGCCTTACATGAAATCGGATTACAGCCCTTTACTTCCACCTGATATAGAAATGACTCCTTAACTCTCCTTCTCATTTCCCTCTGAGCCCTTACTTCTAACTTATGACGTTATTTACAGTATGCAGCAGTTAGGAGTACAATTCTCATGCAGTATTCACGTGACTAAAGCTACCGAGATACACAGTTTCTATAGCAACAAGATAAACAGGAGGCAGAAAGAGATGGGACACGAACCCCTGGATTTAGAAGGGCCTCTTTACAAGTGCGCTGCATTTGTTGCTGCTGCCAAGGTTTGTTATTTAGAGGGGCCTCTTTACAAGTGCGCTGCATTTGTTGCTGCTGCTAAGGTTTGTTATTTAGAGGGGCCTCTTTACAAGTGCGCTGCATTTGTTGCTGCTGCTAAGGTTTGTTATTTGCTACTGCTAGTATTGCTCTTTACAAGTGCGCTGCATTTGTTGCTGCTGCCAAGGTTTGTTATTTGCTACTGCTAGTATTGCTCTTTACAAGTGCGCTGCATTTGTTGCTGCTGCTAAGGTTTGTTATTTGCTTCTGCTGGTGTTGCACTTATCTTAACAGATTAACTACTGTTTTCTTCTAAAAATGTGAAATTTGTTTCGTTGAAATCGGTTCGGGAAGATCCTTTCATGTTTATTCTTTGATACTCACAGAGTTATGCTGGGCGTTTTTCATAGTATTCTTGTAATTCCTGGAGTTCTTAACATGCATGGTGTTTATCAGATGTGTAGAAGTCGAACTAACGCCAGAGAGTTTTGCACAACATTAAGCTTAACAGCCTCTCAATTGGAGACCATATCTAAAGACATGCTCTCTTTTAAAGATGAGATGAAAGAACAGAAAGTCTCACAAACATTTGCCCAAGTTAGTATTCAAATAGTTCGCATTTTTAACATTCTTTCAACAGTAAACATTATTTGAATTGTCCCTTGTTCCTTGTTTGTGGTCACAAATTATTTTCAATTTACATTCTTCATGATTTTGTTTGCTCCGTTAATTCGATTAATATTTTACGGATCAAACTTCGTCAGAAATTAGAAGCAAGATCACAGCAACTAAACCAGAATTCAGCCAAGAAAAAGTCAGCTGCAGATGAGAACTTACTGTGGAAATTCTACCCAACTGGAACCCTCCGATCAGTTTATAATCAGGATTTCTTGAACTGGAAGGAAAAGATGATAGCTCAGGCATCGTCTTGATTTTAACGATTTAATATTTTTAATAATTATATTTTACATTTTACATTAAATTGTTTTTAACAGGAATTTTTGACGTGATATAATATTTGAAATTTAAGTAACAGTGAAATAACTGTTAGTTATTGCTATTAAAACTTTTGTACCAGTACAGTGATTGACTTTTTGACAACTAATGACGAATTTGCTTCCTTTTTACCGTTCAACCTGTGAGTTATTGGCAGAAGATGATAACGCTGAAATTGTTCTGATTATGGAAACGCATCTGAGTGTTTCTTTAGAAGCATTTTTTATCTTAATAAAGGAGCACCATATAAACCTAACACCCCTGTAATGATAGTGTATGTCTCGAACATGGTGCACCACACTAGAAGAGAGCATTGTATCAGAGTACCTAGATGGCATCCTCAACAGAAAGAAGAAGAACTTACCCCCGCGCTCACCTTATGAGACGTCCGCTTCTCAGCGCGCACGTAGCGCCGTGCGGCTCGGTGCTGGGAAACATACAGGCAGTAGGCCGGGCAGTGCGCAGAGACCAGGGAGCGCACAGAGGCCGAGTAGTGCACAGCGCCCACGTAGTGCTGTGCGGCCAGCAAGTAGGGAGAAACAGGAGGTCAGACCTAAAACTTCATGTAGTGTTAAGAAGAGTGGTAGTAATATGAGCACTAAGAGTTACGGGTCAGCTACATCAATAAACTCTTCTCAACTATCCGTGTATTCTGCTAATGTTCAGGTACTTTAATTCTTAAGTCCTGGTAGCTTTATATTTTATAATATACTTTATTAACTTTGTCATAAAAACATTGTACAGTCAGCCCCCACCATAATAAGGTTTTGAAGACAATTTTTGCTCGCGTTATTCAATATTCAGAGGGTACAGAGGTTTTGCTGTGGTTTATTTTTCGTTGCTAGAATTTGGCATCATTTCATAATCTCTCCCTAGGGACACCCAGGAAAACATTTTCCTTCAAAGAAAATAGTGAAAAGAGTAATCAAATTCACCGCACCCGACCAATCTAAACATCTCGTCACACACTCTTTTTCGTGAGTTACATGATTATACTCTGTGACATGATTTACTACTTTGTGACTTTAATTGCTGTTCAATCAACCAAATACATATAATTGTTTCAAAGAATATTATGCAAACGTGTACTTATCTAGTGTTCTGGTACCTATACATAAAATTATTAAACTGTAAAGCTGTAAGTGATGAAATAACACGTGTATAATACCCTAAGTGAGCTGATAGAGAAGTCACACTCTCATCATCTGTACACGAGTGACGGTACAGCCCTGACGAGCGAGCTCTACCATCTACTCCCACATAACTGTCACATTTACGTGTACGATCCTACTACAGCTCAACCAGCACGTGCTTCTAAACCTAAGGTTTATTTTAAAATTAACAGAGATTATCGTAACGTTACTTTCATTTGTCAAAATCTTTTACTGTCAGTTTTAGAGAGGTATTTCTGAAAACAAGGCGTGGGGTCAGGCACATGGGCGACTTGAGGTGACTAATATCGATATTAGTCGATATTTGGGCTAACCCCACGCCTAAAACAGCTGGATAGCTGGAGTTCCCAGCCAATCATGAGCCAAATTACTCAAACATAACAGCACCCAAACCAGATAATGTGGACAAAGGACGGTATCCAGGTTTCAGGAGCCCGACCTAAACGAACCACCAAACCCAACCTGTCCGCAAGAATGCAGAAACTGGTAGAGAACCGGAAGCAGCGTGTGTTAGTGTTTAAGAACGGAGAGCACCGCAAAGCAGGCTCCGTTGCTGTGACAGAGGGAAGTTTGAAGAACATGTTGAATGATACTACTAATGTACTGGGATTCTCTGTTAGCAGTTTGTTTACTGTTGAAGGCACTAAACTTATTGAGGTACGCAGTTTTACTGGAGTGCTTCGTTTTTTAGAGTAATCTTTTCTTTAACATTTGGATTAAACATATTGCGAATTATTCGATATGAATAAAATCATTTTGTATAGTGACGAAACTGAAAACTTAATTTAACGCTATCAGGGGGCACCACTGTCCACTAATCAGAAAGTACTTAAAAGTTGACCATCTATATCTCTCTGTTTTCAGGGTGAGCCAGTACCACACGTTTTGTCAAATTGTCACATAAAAGGGCCACTGTGGGCATCACGCGGTAATGAGACATTCTCATTTCTTGGAGCTTACAACTGGTGCAAACAGGAGCACAAAGCTCTGAAGAAGGAGTTGAACTTGTGCCAAGATAAACTTGCTAAGGTAAACACATTTTTATGAAATTCTTGACCAGTTATCTTTTCAGGAAACATGGGTTTTATTAATTTATTGTTTTTTGTTATGAATTTGGGTTTTTTGGAAAGGGGAAAAAACCCCGGTTCCCTTTTTTTTTTTGTTGGGGCCAAAAATTTTAAAATTTTATATTGTTTATTTTGGCCCAAAAAGTTTCAAAAGGGGGTTTTTTACATTTTTTTTCAGGGGAATTTTTTCCCCCAAACCCGGGTCGGATGGGGGGAAAAAAAAACTTTTTAAATTTTATTTTTCAAAGGGGAAAAATTTAAAAAAACCCCCGGGGAAGGGCCAAACCCCCCCGGGGAAAATTTTAAGAGGGGGTTTTTTTTCGGGTTTAAAAATCCCTTTTGGGAAAAATGTGGGTTTTAGGGGGGGGGAGGTTAAGGGGGGGGGGGAAAGGTTTTTAGGGGTAAAAAATAAAACATTGGGCCCAAAGAAATAAAAAAGATAGCGGGTTTTGGTTGGGTGAAATTTTAAAAGGGAAAGGGTTTTTGATAAAACCCTTTGGGGGGGAGAAAACAAACCAAAAAAAATGTTAGGCCCTTAATTTTTAAACCCAAAAAAAACCCCCTTTTTTAAAACCCAAATAGGGTTTTTTGGGGGCCCCCGTTTTAAAAGGGGAATTTTTTGGGGGGGGTGGTAAGGTTGGTTTTTAAAATGGCACAAAAGGGAAAAATTTTTCTCGGGGGTTTTTTTCGGGGTTTTCTCCCCCGATAAATTTTCGGGAATCGGCTAAAAAGGGGGGAAATGGAAAAAAACAACAGTTTTGGGGGCCCTTTTCTTTAAATTTTAATTTTTTATTTCAACATCTGTAATTTTTTAAAAATTTAAAAAAAAAAAAAAACCCTTTGGGTAAAAGTTAAACCAAAAAAAACTTTTAAATTTGGGGGGAAATTGGGGAAAAAAATTAAAAAAGCGGGGGATAATTTTGGGTTTCCCCGGGGCCCCTTTTTTTTTGTTTTTCCCCGGGTTTTTTCTAGGGGGTTTTTTTGGGGTTTTTAAACGGTTATTCTTTTAAATTTTGTTTTCCCCTTGGAAAGGGGGGGGGGGACCAAAAACGGGCCAAAAATTAAAAGGTTTTCGGGGGGAAAAAAGCCCAAAAATTTGGAAATTTTAAAAGTGGGGGGGTTTTTTCCCTGGGGGGGGAAAAAAATTTTTTTGGAAACAAAAAAATCTCGGGGGGGGGGTTTTTCCCTTGGGAAAGGGGGTTGAAAAAAAGCCTTACCCGGGAAAATGGGGAAAAAGGGTAAGAGGGGGGTTTTTTAGGGCCCCCCCTTTTTTTTTCCCAAACCATTTTGGGTTGTAAAGGGGGGGTTTGGGGGGCACCCGCCCAAAATTTTTTGGAAAAATTTTTTTTTTCGGGGTTTTGGAAAGGGGGTTTTGTTTTAAGGGGGTTTTCCCCCCCGGGCGGGGGGGCCGCGCTTTTCTTCATTTTTCAAAAAAAAGGGTTTTTTCCCGGTTTTTGGGAAGGGTTTTAAAAAAAAAACTGGGGAAAATTTTTTTCCCCGGGGGGGGGCTATTCCCCCCCCTTTTTTTAGGGCGGGGTTTTTTAACCCCCAAGGGGAGCATTTGCAAGGGTTTTTTTTTGGGGGGGGGCAAAAAAAAGGGAAAAACGTTTTGCACCAACCCTTCCATTTAACTTTGAAAGGGGGGGGGGACCGGGTGAATTTTTTATTTTTCCCCTTTAAAACTTTCGGGGGGAAAAAACCCCTTCCCCTTTTAAAAAACCAAAAAAATTTACCAAAAAAACTTTTTTTTTTGGGACCCCCTCTTTTTAAAAGGGCGGGGGGGGGGGGACCCCGGGTCCAACAAATTTTTTTCCCCCCAATTTTTTTTGGGGCAAAATTTTTTTGGTTGTTTTTAAAAAAGTTTCCCCCTTGGGGGATGATGGAAAAAACTGGGAAATCCCTTTTCCCAAAAAAAGTTTTAACCCATCTGGAAAAGGGCCTTTTTCCTTTCCCTTCCGGGAAATTAAAAATTTTTTCCCCAAAGGGTTTTTGAAAGGGTTCAGGGGCCCGAAAAACAAGGCTTTTTTCCCCCACTGTGGGGGTGGGGGGGTTGGCCCCCCACGCCCCCTTTTAAATTTGGGCCCCAAAAATTTAGTTTTCCCCCTTTTTTCCCGTTTTAACAAAATTTTGGGAAAAAATCAAAAAAAACGACTGTTTTTCCCGCACCCTTTTTTTCCCAAAATCAGAGGGGGACGGGGAAAGGGGTTCTTTGGGGGGAAAAAAATTTCCCAAAAATTTATCTTTTCCCTTTTGGGGTTTTTTAAAACCTTTTTGGGTTTTTCACTAAAAAATTTAGAAACTTTAAAAACCGAAAGCATTCCAAAAACTAAGTTTGGGAGTTTCAAACCATTCAATATTCAGAAAGGTGGGTGATGATCTTATTGAGGGTTTCATGGTTTCCCTTCAAGTTAATGGTCAGCACACATGGGATTGCACAAAAGAGGGTCAGTTTGTGTGCACACGTACTGGACTGTATCTGACCAGCTTGGAGGAACCAGCTGAAATATTCGTACCTAACATCAGCAGGACTCAATCAACTGGTTTTATCAGACAAAGTACACAACAAACAGAGAAATCAGCGGGAGGAGTGTTCGATATATTAGGGAAAACAGTCGAGGAGGAGGTTACTATTCCTGGTGTGCCAGCTGGGGAGGAGCCTCTTATCGTTGCGTTCCCCTCGCTCAAGAAAATGGAGTTACAACGTTGGGCTTTTAAACAAGAAAACATCGCCTTTGTTAGGTCAGTGGAAATTATGTGAAATTGATAATCCGGAGTGGGCTAAAGAGTGTCTTTCTTGGCCAACAAACTCTGATGGTTCGGAGAATGGTAAACTCTCGTGGCCTGTTGAGGGACTTCTCCTTTCTAGAGCTCCTTCTCAGCAGGAGTCTAAATCACCCAAGAAACAGACTCCAATGCCGGTAGTTCTAAGACTTGGTGTGAGAAACAACGGTAGTTGCGATCCAATCAGACATGTTACTGCTCCAGATCTTAGTAACATGAAGAAAGACCTTGCCATGAAACGGCGGTCTATTGAACTAAAACAGCGAGACAGACAACCAGATACCCAACGCTGGCTTGACAAGCACTCTAAAGAAGTGGTCCATGACGACCAGGAGAAAGTTTCGGAACTAGAGTTCAGACTTTTTCTAGACAAGTGTGGTAGTATGTTGGGCTTAACAACGTCTCCCACTCGGCTGTTTCTAGTTAATGGTGAAGAGCTCGTGTCCCTGGAATCCTTAGAACGGGACACGGAGGTTTATGTAAGCTGCGGGGGCCACAAGAAACTCGCCTGATCAGTGCTGGACAATTGACGAGGTTTCATATACTCTTCTAACGGGCAGACTCTAACTGTGTCCCAGTGTTCGGTAAATCCTCCCAATCCTGTGGATCATGCTGGCTCCAAGCTCAAGATAGCGCCCCCCTTCACGCAAGTAGCCAAATGGGCAAGACACAACCAGAAATGGAGTTATGACATGAACACGGGCCATCTAACCGCGTTTGCTGGAACACCCTTGTGTAAAAGTCTCAATGCCGCTCTGCAAGCTAAAATCTGCACCTACGCTGTGACGAGTAGTGACAACGCTGAACAACCAACCTACATCATGGAGAATCCCGGAATCTCAGGAATCCCCGACGACAACACCCACATCTACGTGTGTGGTTCCTGTGCTACTGCCCTGAGGGACCGGTACTCCGTCGATAAAATAGACCCCACCACATTTGTCTGTTCTGTTGGGTACTACTGCTCAGCAGCAAACCTGACATGAGGAGTAGTTTGTTAGCACTGGGTGGTTTGGTTGGGTTAGTTCCGGGTAAAGCTTTCGGAACACTCTATCTGTGGGAATCGTTGCTGGGTGATCTTAGACAGCAAACTACGTTGAAGTCCATCAAGGACGTTGTCAGACAGACATTGCAGCTTGAATGTCCAAATGAGGGACTTGTATTAGTGAGATGTTATTTGAATGGAACGGGACCTCCAAAACATCGGGGTACTCTCTTTTTAGCTAGGAGTTTTGAGGAGATCCTCAGAAAGTGCTTGATTGAATTGAAGGCTGGCCGACCGCTGTCTAGGATATTTTTAGCGGGTGGAACTGAAATTGCAAACTTTCAGAGCCTCCTAGATTCTAGTGTTAACACGTCAGTCTCACAAGATCAGTTTTCAAATGAAGTGGCAGTTCCTTACAAAGAGCTGTTTGTCAGTGCTGGCGAGGATTTTATCCGACCAAGAAGACCCAAAGGTATGCCCAGCCTCAAGAGACGCCGAAGATGTACAGAGAACTCAACAAACTAGATGTGATGTCCCTCCAGTCAGTACCCACATCTAGAGGTGGATCCAGACCTCCCCACCTCCCTGCCGGTTACACCAAACACGCTCTCCCGCTTTACATTACCCGTAATGGTGACTTCACCTCAGCTGCGGTGCGAGTAGTGGCCCATAATCTGGACGTCTTGCTGGAGTCCGCTACTTCTCGTCTCAACATGCCTGTAGCAGCTAGAAAAGTCTTCTCCTCCTCAGGGGTCGAGGTGGTGTCGTGGGGGGAGGTATTCAGAGATCAAGCTCTCGTGGTATCTGCCGGAGAGGCTTTTATGAGGAAAGGACACTCTAAGAAAAACAAATGGCTTCATAGGAAAGCAGAGAATGAAAAGTAGAAATTGTTAATTTCTTTAGAAGTTATCTTAATGTGAGCAAAGTAACGTATTGAGAACTGAGGTAGATATTATAGTTTATAGATGTTTGATGTAGAATTTCTATTTTTGATATTTTATCTTATGATTATGTTTTTTGAGTGTTGAACAGAGTTTATGATTATATTTATTATGTACAGAGTGTAAGATTGCTGTAGAAACCACTAGAATTGTATAATGTCGATATAGGATATAAACTGCTTCATTCTAACTGTTTCGTGTTCAAGTATAAGTTTTATGATTCTTAAAATCGAGTCTTACTTTTTAGTTGATTGACCCTATTGCCCAATCCCTAACTTGTAACTAGAGCATGATATAGTCTAAGCTATGTAATAAGCGCCATGAGTCAGCACAGAACTTTTTCTCCGATTTTGATAAATTTCCACCGGTATTTTGACGAGCTGAACATTCTGCATCCTTTGAACATCCTCGATTTGTTTTGAATATTCAAAAATGGCAAGCTGGGAGGTCGATTCAATACAAGTTTTATTCCGACAATTCAGTGCCACTTCAGCATGATGAGTTATGTTCAATTTAAGGATAAGACTGGATCTGGACGAGCATTTTAGGCCTACCAAATAATTTCCACCGGTATTTTGACGAGCGGCAAGCTGAACAGTGAACATCCTGCACCCTTTAAGTTTAAACATCCTCGATTTGCTTGCAGCTTGAATCTCAAAAATTGCGAGCTGAAGGTCAACTTTGCAGATTCCTGACCTCTGATTTCAGATTTTTGATCATTGAAATAATGCTTCTCGCTAGATCGGCGAGATGCACATTGCACCATTGGGCCTCGCCGATCAGCTGTGAAGTTAAGGATTGACATCGTGAATCAACGTGACAGCTAGATTGATAAATGATCATCCCTAAGATTTACTGGGCGGCGCTCAGCCTGTCATTCCGCCAAGGCTCTATGTTCATGAACATAATAGCCTGAGATCCCTTGTCATACGCTGTATGACCCGCCGCGCACGAAGTGCGCGGCTCCCCCTGTATCGTCAGTAATTCACTAGTGAAACGACGTGGGAGTCAGCGAAGTGATACAAAATAATACGACAAAAAATCAACGGCAATTTGGTCAACTACGCAACTTTTACAGCTAATTTTGGCTCAAAAAAGCCACGCACCTCAAATATGGCATCTAGGGCGAAACTGACTGATCTGTCCACAAAAGTAGACCAACTTTGGTATTGTGAAAATTCTCACAGTCTCTAAAAAAAGGTACAAAAAATTTTAAAATCTGAGCAAATTTATTTTACTTTTATCGTGCACCCCTATATTGCATTATATCAAAGCGCGCGCCTGAACTTTGCTTAGCTCCCCCCCCCCCCCCCCCACCCCCCCCCCCCCCCCCCCCCCCCCTCCCACCCCGCTCCCCCCCCCCCCTCAAAATACCACATTGCACCCCCGTCCACCCCCCCCCGACCCCCAATCCCACTAAAATCCCCCACCCAATATTCCTTGCTTCCCCCCCCCCCCCCCCCCCCCCCCCCCCCCCCCCCTAGTACCCCAATTCGCCCCCCCCGCATCACACGCACCCCCCCCGCCACCCATTCCAATTCCCCCCCCCCTACTCATAGTCCCTCCCTCACCCCCCAATTCCGCCCCCCACCCGGTAAACTAATTTTGGTAGATTATAAACTTGTTAGCGCGATGGTGTTACGGGACCGGCGCGCGCACCAATTATTGGCTATGCTTCTCGCAAGCAATCGTTTTAATACGGAAAAAATGCGTACTGGGCCCTCGCCGAGCTGCGAAGAACTGAACATCGTCAATTATAATTATAAAAATATCGATATTTTGGTCCAAGGATCCTTGACGATTGTTGATATTTCAAATGTAAGGCGTTTAAATTTACAATGTCAATCCTTCACAGCTTGGATGATGATTAATCACTCTACACTTTGTAGCGCATGCGTTTACTGTGCCGCGCCGCGCACTCAATAAGGCTTTCTCACAAGCTTCTTCATTCTCCAGGCTAGATCGGCGAGATGCTCGCTACTGTTTGCCGCGCGAGCTGCCATGAATTGACATCGTCAATCAAGTAATCTACACTCGGACTGTCACGTGACTTTTTAAACACGTTTCTCTTTGGTGGCCCTGAAATGACTTATTCGAAATCATAGCCTCTAATCTGATGCCAACCTTAACCCTAACCCAAATCCTAACTAAAGCATATGCTGAACCCTAAACACTAAACGAGAAATTCGGACCAACTTCGTTATCGGTCCATTATCACGTGATCAAGACAAGTTTTTTGCAAATATCTCCCGGCCCCAGTTGAGGTGCTCATTTTAACCCCTATGTCATGGGGGGGTGTTTCGGAATCAGCAGCCGAAAATACATCGATTCAAGCTGGTTTCAACTGTCGGGGGCCCTTTTAGAAATAAATCTCGAGATGACTGTTGATTGGATTTAGCACGCTCGTTCACAGCTTGGGCGATGCCAGTTTAAGGTGGCAATTGTGCATCTTTTGATACATGTTTCGTATCCAAATATCATTACCTGAGGGACCCAGGGTATTATGTTCATTAACATAAAGAATAAAGATTTGGCGGAAATGACAGGCTGTGAGCGCGGCCAGTAAAAATTCAGAAAATATTGTGGATTTACGCTTCGAGCGGCGAAAAAGTGGCATGCAAACGTATGTCAAAGTGATTCTTACTGATTTTATTATTGATTGCGCGGCGCAGTCCAGGTAATTTGTATGTAAAGGGTCCACTCGTTGCTAAAATTTTGTTTTGTAGTTGTTATAGTGATTAGTTTTATTTTCCATTGTTTAGTAATAATATTATAATAACATTATATGGGACTGAAAAGCCCGGCAACGAGAAATTTGTTAAATCTTTGCCGAAAGTCATTTAAAAAAAGGGTCACTGGGCACGTCTGCTTCAAAAAATGTCAGTTTTTCATTGGTATTATTCAGTTTATAACAGAAAATCTCAAAATTTCACATTTGCGAAATTATAAACAATATGTTGCTTGGTTATAATTTGCATTGTTGTTTGTTTTCATTGTCGTTGGTGGATTGTTCTCCTTAGGTGATATGGCCTAGTATAGTATAGTGTCTCACCAACACATTTGCCTCATTAAGTATAAATACTTTATAGGTATGTTTCGTGGTGGTCTCCGATGAAATACATCACTGGTGCTCCATCGCCACCAATTACAATCTGACAATGTCAAATGTAAGCTCGATGAATAAATTTTCTACCACGAAATGATTTGAATTAAAAATGCTAATGTTTAGGGAAAGGCATTTTGAAGAAAAGGTTTCGCTTTTACCATCAGTTTAGTTTGTCTCCAGGAACTGTCTGTCATCTTTTGCAGACAGTCAGTCGATTTCATTGGTTCGCAAAATAACTCTTTTGCTTGTTCTTGCCAACCATTCTGAAGTTGCTGCCCTTAGTATTGGTTTTCTCAAAAACTGCAGAATCTTATCCTCTCAAGCATAAGCAAAAATAATGTGTCTTCTCTTTCTTTCTTTCACAATTAAACACATACCCTCATTTTAACGCAAAAACCGCTGGACTTATTTTCCTTCCCTAAACTCTGCTGTAAGTCAAGGTTTTTTACTGTATAGTATGTCACTGTTCTGTTTTACTTTGTTTAAGTGGCTCTGAACACTTTGTTTATGCTCGGCATGATATCAAAGTTTTTACAATTATTTGACCATATTTATTTACTTTTGACTTTGGGGGGGGTTCAGGTAGAAGGATTATGACTTTTTGGAGGGCCTAATCCCTTTAAAGCTGCTCTCACTGCAAAGCTGCATTATAAAACGATGATGGAAAGAATTTGCTGATTTGATGTCTTTAAATCATCCTTTTCGTTTGAGAAAATTGGAACTTAACAATATAAATCTGGATCCACCATTCGATCAGGGATGTTAGGAAATTTCCAGTGTCCGATTGCAGTTAATTGCAAATGATTTTGCCACAGCATTTAATCATCAGTGCAAAGTTATTAGATTTGCCAGAATGTTTAAAAATCAGGAAAGGAAGGACAATGGGGCCTGCCAATGATGAACCTATGATAAAGGGATATGTTTTCTTTGGCTGTATAAGCTGATATTGTTGCT